GGCATCCATTCTCTAGTAAGAGACCTTAAAATCTTTCTAACCAGTTCTTTGCTTGAAAAACTTTTGGCAAGACCTTTCAACCGATTAATCATATCATTGCACCTTTTGTACATTTCAGAGATAGATTCATCTGAAAACATTTGGAAAGATTCATATTCATTTAGCATAACATCAATCCAAGTTTCTCTTACCTCAGACGTACCTTCGTGGGTTATTTGGAGAGATTCCCATATTTCCTTGGCGGATTCAGATTGTGCAACTTGGCTTCTTTCGTCGGGGCAAAGAGCAGAGAAGAGTATATGCATTGCTCTCGAGTCAAGCTGGGCATTGATCTTCTGTTCTTTACTCCAAGATTCTTCCTTTTCTTCATCCACTGTGATTACTCCTTTGCGGATAATTCCCCATATTCCTTGTTGATTCCCCTCAGATAAAGATGCATGTGTTTCTTCCAGGTAACATAATCGGTTCCATCAAACCAAGGAGGGTATGATATTGGAGAGAAGGTACTGGAAGATGAAGATGGACCAGACATGGAGCTTTTCTTCTTGGCGACAGTTAGTCCAACGAGAAGGTAGCTCAGTTACCAATTGTAGAATCAAAGGATGGGGCTTTTGAAGACTTTTTATTGGAAAGAACAAAGGATGAAAAATAAACTAAGAATATTATTAGAATTGGGAGAGAAGAATTCTGCAGAATCAATATGCTTTTAACAAGAAATTAAAGAAGAAGATGAAGAACAGAAAAGGACTCTAGAATCCTCACAACACTTGGTTACCCAGATATCGATCATTATAACCCACCCGGCTATCCAGATCCTAATCACCATAAGCCAAACTATTGTAGGAAACTAGAAGAACCCAACACTCTTAGATTACCCAGCCATAGCTCCTGTAATCTACAGAGTAAACAATCAAACCCGGACCCATCAACAACCCTAAAAGAATTCCTCTTTCCCGTTGTCGAACTGTGTATATTCCATGGAAGGATTTGCGCTGCTTAAATAGAGAGTCAGGGAGATGATCGTTGAAGGAGTTGAAGATGGTGATGATGAAAAGGGATCTTGAGGAGTGGAAAAGGATATTGGAGGAGAAAAAGCTGTTGTCAAAGAGCTTGGAGACAAGCAATCTGCTTTCTTCTCTCTACTTTTGGAGCAGGTGAGACAAGGTGAAGGAAGACCCTTGTACGGGCTGATGAGGTGGGCTTTGAGTGTCATGGAGTGAGTGGGCCAAGTCCAACAGATGTATCCTTTCAGGAAAGGTAAACTACCTCTTTTCTGTGAAAGGTTGTGTCTCTTCGGATGTAACTTCCAGTTTTCACAAGTATAAATAGATGACTGTCATAACTCTTTTGATGGGTGAGATTACTTCTTCTTCCCATTTTCCTTCTCTATTTCATAAACACAGAAGTCTACAAGATTGCTGCTTCCAGACTTAAAATTGAAGGGATTCCTAGGGGTGGTTTGCTCGAGCCTACCAGCAATTTTTAGTGGGGGCAAATAACACTCTAAGGAGAGTGATTAATCACGCTTTCAATCTGATTCTTTCCTACCAGTTCCTGACACAAATCACATCGCACCATAAGTTTACGGTATCGTGCTGTATGCATGATCGCCAATTAATTGGTGTTGTCAAAACCAAACCGTATAAATTGACGATTTGATAGGATCACAACTACATATATGACCGCAAAGTACTTTCACTAATCAATTACATAGTTTATCCTGCATATAGATGCCTGAATCTTTAAATTCAATAAGTTAGAAGTATGGGTATTTGCTAACTTGGTGGAGAATAAAGAAACTAGTCTGAAACAAACCCCAGGGATCCGGTAAGTCGAATTCCCACAATATACAAGTTAACTCCTAGCCTTTCATTCAAAAGTAAAGCTATTGTTCAATAAGCAAGGACACCATCAACGGCCGGACCAAAGGCTGCATAATTCATAATAGGTTCTAGTGGGAGAAGAAAGAGCCTCAAATTAAGTAACAACGTAACAATCAATAAGGATACGTATTAGCTTTCAGAAATATAATACTTTTGAAGAAACAACTGTTTTCTTGGATGACTTATTTTGCGGATTAAAAAGAATTGATGAATTAACACAGTTGATGGTGGAGATTAAAGTGAATCTATAATATTTGTGGATCAATTTGCTTGTCAAACTTGTATTGATTTAACCGATCGCAATTGCATGTGTTGTAAGAGCTTTTCCAGTTTGGGTTTCATAAAAAATAAGCTTCAGAATCGAAGATGTGATTGATTCGTTAATGATTGTCTAGTATGCTATATTGAAAGAGATTTGTTTAGCACGTAAACAATGAGTGTATTTTACAATTTTCAAAACATGAAAACACGTCGTGTTATTTTGTAGTCATTTGTACTAGAATATTTTTCTTATTTATTATTTTTAATTTATATTCTGAAAGAGGACACCCTACATAAAATTCATGTGTCCGCCCCTTTGTGCAATTAGTTATTTCATTTTCATTAGTATGTTAGGATTTGAGTACATGAGTTGGGCACACTATTGTCATACATAATTCGAAATGACTAGAAACTCCATCTAAAAGTTCAGAATCAGGTATATATTTGATATGAAATAAACCAACTCGACATAATCGATCTGTTACAACTCATAACTCGATATCGCCAACTCAAAATTATCCAACGCGATGGCATTGCGAAATATATACTCATGTAACGCACCTAGTCCTAGGGTTGGTTCTATTTTGTTTTTTTGTTTTCAACCGAAACCATACCAATAAGAATTTGAAGTATTTTGATTTTTCAATTTTAAAACCATTTAGCATCTTAGTCAACAACATGCCAGCTAAGTCACTACTCGTCAACAACTCATGTGTAGTACACTTATTTCTGATCTTCATACTGCTAATTACTATTGTCTTTTACTCTATTATGAACTCCAACGGGAGCACCATTTCCTCCTTTGTCCCCATTTATGGCGAGAATCGCCATTTGGTGCCCAAAATTAGGGATGGAAATGGAGATTGCCCTTAAAATGGGGAGGGGTGTGCTAGTGGGGGCCTGCCACCTTTTTCCCCCTCTTTTTAAGATTTTAGGGGTTAATTGAGATTTAATTAAATTAATCATTTTCAAGTGTTGTGTGTAAATAAAAATTATGTCAATTATTTTTTGCCAAAAAAATTTGGTCTTGAAATTAAAAAAAAATTCAATCAAAAATTTTATATTTAAAAATGATGACGAACTATACAAAAATTAACATGAACAAATTATATTAAGATGATCATAAGTACATCTTAAAGTAAATAAAAACTAAAAAAATTGAGGCCTCCAAATTTGGAGACGGTAGTATTCGAGCAAAAATGATAAAAATGGGGATTATCCCCCAAATTTGAAGATAAAGGTCCCAAATTTTGGGGAATAGCATTGGAGTTGGTCTAACAACTAGGGCTGAGAATCTAGACTAAACCGTATGGGAAATCGCGGTCTAGACCGTATAGCATGATTTGGCATGGACCGGGAGACCAAAATTTTAGTCTGGTTTGGTTTGCGGTCTTCTCCTTTAGTGTGTGGTCTGAAGTGGTATGGATCGCGGTTTACCGCAGTAAACCGTGACACACTATCTACTAACTCATACAAAAATAACGCTAAAGTAAAACTCAATTTTTGTATTTGAAGAACAAAGTTAGTTGATTCTTCATCTTGGTGAGAGCCAACAGATTGCCCGAATGATCTCTTATGTGTTATCTCCTTATCAAAGAAGCACACAAAAACTGGAAAGATCCATAAATAATATTCCCCGACAATGTCTATACTATGGAGTCTATAAAACATAAACACTAAAAAAAATCATTGACCTTAAGGAGATAAGGAAAATTATTGAGAGATAAGCTACCATCTTAGTGGTTCAAAACAACCTCGACGTTATCACGTCGGTGATCGGCCGCGAGAATCTTTGAATCACCCGAGAGAGGGAGAGAAGCGTTAACACAAAGAGGAAGAGGGAAACAAGGCTATTTTATGTGTGTTTTTATTTAATGGATACTAGATAGAACCATGGAGACTGGAGAGAGAGTTTGAATAGGGGTGGACAACGGGAAACGTGTATTTGGGTATACCCGTATCCGTCCAGTTTTTTTAGGCTTACGGGTACCAAATACCCGTATTTTTTTTACGGGATGAGATTTGGGATCAAGAATTGCTACTTTGGGTACCCGCGGGTTACCCATTAATACCCGTTTGGGTATTATGGGTACACGTTACACCCATTAGTCCAAAGTTGAGATGGTGGTGAATGCGCTTTGAGGAAACAGGGGATTGTCTTTCAAGTTACTTTGGCCATTTACACTAACAGAGGTGATGGAAATGAAAATGAAAATGTAAATGTATTTTCCCTGGTTTTTTAGGGGAAGGATGTGAGGGGTTTCCTTCCACCAAGGCCAGCCATAGCCAAAGCCGTTTGTGTATATAACTATTCGATTCTATCTTTTTGGTTGTTTATATATCAATTATTGTTGTTATTATTATGAGCTTCTATATTGTTGGTTCTATTTCTCATTGCTGGGACGAGGTAGACACAATTGCAGTATTTCTAGGCAAAAGATCCCTTGCATAATGCAATCAGACATCGCCGCCGGCCAGTAACTGGTAGTAAGAAAAGAACTAGTAAGAAAGAACACTTGCTTCATTTTTCATTTGCAGCGTCTTCTTTTATCCGGAGCAAGTTTCCTTGATAGCATTTCGTATGTAAGAATTGAATGGGTATTTATGGGTAGTATGGGTACCCGTTATCCGTCCCGTATGGGTAATGGGTACCCGTTAACCCGTACGGGTTTGGGACATGGGAAGGAGATTGCTTTTCAAATGGGATTGGGTACCCGTTTGAAACGGGACGGGTCCCGTCCCGTCCCGTTGCCCACCCCTAAGTTTGAAAATTGAAAAAGTCAATTTCTCTCCTCATATATTTCCTCTTATTTTAATTATGATCACTAAATTTTTGTTTCACTATTATATTGGTCACTGCAATTTTTATCTTTATAGATATTGGTGAAGGGTTGGAAGGCTGAATAAGAGTGAATTTTTTTTAACATAATTTACCTAGTCCAAACCGTATAGCACCGCACAGACGTAATTTGGTCTGGACCATATAGTATATGATCTGGATAATAATTTGTATTCCAACCTCCCAGTCTGAACCACAGATCATGTCTATTGTATGTTCTGGTATGGACCCCATCGTTTCCAACCTTACTAAGAACACATGGAGCCAAATGGTGGCAAAGTGGAGAGCAGGCCACGATTGAGGTGGGTCCACCCAATAATGGGCTTTTATCAAGTAGGCCCAGTTAAATCGCACGTAGTAGATAATTAGGGGCCTAATAAAAATGGTGGCATGCAATGATGTTAAATCTTGAGTTGGAGGTTTCATGCAATAATAGTTAGTCTGCAACGAGGCTTTCCCGCCATTTTAAATAACTATTTTTTTTTTGTGATGAAATTAAATCACTGTTTTTCAAATGAAATATCTGGATATATTACTTCGAATAATAATATAAACACACATAGATTACTTATTATTCTTAATACAACTTAGACCTCCTTAACTGGGACTAAACCAAAGGGTTAAGGCTCTCCCTCCTCTCTAGCACCAGCTGTGCAAATCAAAAGCAAAGCAAAACGCTACTAGTGTATGTAGTTACAAACAACCAATTATTCAGAAATAAAAAGCCAACCAACCCAGCCAAACCGATCAAACGTGAAACAACGAGCATCGAACCCCTTCCAACAACAACGAATTAGTGAACCCCATCCTCGATGAATGCAGGTCGAAGTGCACCAAATTATCCTGTATCTGATGCGCCCCAACGACAATAGACGACGTCGTATCGGAACCACCGTCCACAAACCCCAAGCACGTAACGTCGTCGTTTACGTCCACCATGGAATTCTCGCCAAACAAATCCCACTTCACCTCCCTGCTCTCAAACACCAGCGAGATCTTCGGCACCTCCAATCCCATCCTCCCAATCGACAGATCCTTCTTCTCGTAACAGTTTACAAACGGCGCCACCGCTGCCGCCTTCTTTACCTTCTTCATCGTTTCACTGCTCTCGAAAGCCCTCACTAGCGATCTGTAGATCGAGCTGTCGAGAATCGTGTACGGATCGACCGTGCTGATCGCCGAGCCGCCGATCCCGGTCCGACGGAACTCCAGCAGAGACGAATTGATCGGAATCGGAGATTCCGACACGAGGATCGAGGTGATTCTGACGAAGTAGGCCGGGATCTCGGCTCCGGGGACGTTGGGGGAAGCGGTGCGCTCGTAATTCTTCACCAGCCTCGTGTACTTGAATCTCGTCGAGTAATCGACTCTGTTCGCGATGACGTAAGGGGCGGCGCCGAAGAACAGGACGCCGTCGAAATTCGAATCCGACGGCAGGCAGAGTGCGAATTCGCGGCGGAGGGAGCCGCCGAAGGCGGTCGAGATCTGCGACGGGAGGCCAATTCGCTCACTGGAGAGGCCGAGTGCGCCTTCTACCCCGGCGGCTAGGTTATCGAGGCCGAAGACGGTTTCGCAGGCGAAGATGAAATTGGGGATTGAAATGCGGGGCCCGCCACGTGCGCCGCTCGTGGAGGTGGAGTGAAGCGACACCGTATCGAGGGCGACTTCGGACCTGCCACCTGTCGTCCGGATCGGGTTACGGGTCAGGACGGTGCAGGAGTTGTTGAAGCAACCCGGCTGCGGGGGGAGGAAGCAGGGGGACTTGCAGTCGGCTTTGGAGACGGAGCAGGCGGCGGAGCCGCAGCGGGCGAGGCGGTAGGTGGAGGAGGAATTGGAGAAGCCGCTGTAGCAATCGAGCCAGAGCTGTCGGCCGGCGACGTCGACGATGAACTTCCGGGAGACTTGGGGAGTGCCGAGGTCGAGGCGGGTGAGGATTTGGTTGGTGGCGCGGTCTTTGGTGAGAGGGAGGATTAGGGATCTGGGCTTGGATTGGGCGGTGGTGGAGATGGTGAGGGTGGAAAGGATGAAAAAGAGGAGAACGATGGAATTCCGAAGAGAGGACATTGTTGCAGTGAATGGAGGGAGAACTGAGGTGTGTGAATTGAGAAGAAGGTTTGGTTGCTTGGGGGGGGTTTTATAGAGTGGTGCTTCGGTGGTAAGTGTCTAAGTGAGGATCAGAAGCTTGCCGCCATGGGAGACTGACTGTGACTGTCCTGCTGGATGCCGCGCTAGCTAGTTTAGCTGGAGAAGAGGGGCTACTTTTCAAACAAACAACTTGCCTTTGACCCGAGGAAGAAAAATCTTCTCTTGTTGCGTTGCGTTGAATTGAATATTTATTTATTTGAATTTTAGAGCCCGTAGGGGACCAAGCCCAACAAGTTGCGGGCTCAAAAGTCTTGTCATCCAAATTTCATTTTTATAGATTGAATAAAAAAAATTCATTTTTATCAGGAATTTTAACTAAAAAATTCAAAAAATGTCATATTTCTTCAAAAAATGTCAATTCATATTATTCCGTCATTTCTCAAAAATCGCAGTTCCCTATGACGGTTTACAAAAGGATTGCAGAGGGAGCTGCGATTTTTGTTCCTGTCACCTACAGACCGTGTGGAGTTGCTGCGATCAGATTGACCGTAGCTCCCCACGCGATTTTCATTTCAAATGCGGAAACTACCACATTCCCCCATGGGTTTTTTTACAGAAGAGTTTTTATCGTATATAATAATTGTTTTGTACTGAATCAGAATCCTGTGAAATTGTACTAGAAATTGCACCCAAAAAATAAAGGTAGGATATTTTGTACTGAAATCCTAAATCAATTGTTTTGGGTTAATTGCATGGTTGGTCACTGAGATTACAAAAAACGTTCATGTTTGGTCACTGAAAATATTTAAATCCAATCTTGGTCATTCAAATTAGTTAAATGGTTCAAGTGTGGTCACTCTCCGTCCAACTCCGTTAAATATGTCTGATGTGGCAGTTAATCCTCAAAGTTGACTGTTAACTCGGTGACGTGGCAATTAAAAAATAATAAATAAAATAAATTTTAATCTTCTACCATTTCCAACTCATTTTCACAATAAAAAAGTATTGCAATTTTTTTTTATCATCCTCGAGAACGAAATTTTAAAAACACTCAACATACAATGCATAGTTCCCAACGACCACAAAATACAATAGTTTGCATACTTCCAAGGGTAATACTGAACAGTAAAACACAAACGGTTCTAAACAGAAACAGCAAAAAAAAAAAAAAAAAAAAGAAGCTGATTACGAAGAAAGCGAAACAGAAGGTTTGTTCTTTTCTCTCAGGTTTCATGCATCAAATCAATGCTCGGTGGCCGGAGTCCAAAACTAGCGAGAGGGCACCGGCCTTCCTTCACCCTCTGACGGTGACATTACAAACTTGAACCTCCCTTCCATCTTCTTCATCTCCTCACTCGAATATATGACTATCTTCTTCACCATCTTGCAGAACTCCCTGCACATAAAACGATACGGTAATTCATCATCAGTTAGACTCAAAACATGACCAATATTCCATATATGCTACTTACTAACTAATCAATGGCTACTTACTGCCATGGATCATCACCAACAAGCATCATGTCACCCTCATCGTCAATGAAGACAACAACCCATTTCTCACCAGCAGAGAGCTCTCCTCCTCTGATGCCAAACATCTTTTCCAGTATGGTTATCAGATCATCGTACCCATTTAAGCCACTTAAGTCAACAGTTCGGCCGAAAGCAGTCCCCTGCATATGCACCTAATTCACCATATACATAGTAACATTACAAAAAAAGTTTGTAAACCCAAAAAAAACAATTAGGAAGAAAGAAGCTGTAACTACCACTAACCTTTGTGCGGTTATAATGATTCTTGACAGTTGATCGATTATTAACGCAGTACTGGAGCATCATGGAGGTGGCTTTAGTAGTAATGTTGCTAGCAAGGTCGATCCCGAAGATTCGACATTCCATAGGATGGTGATTATCAGCTCTCTGTGAAGAAACTATCTGCTCGTTCCATATTCCTGATGATGGAGTAGCAGTGGATGAAGAAGCCTTGTTGCCGCTGTTGAACTTAGCTGTTGACATAGGAAGGAAACCTTCCAAATTATGGACATTATTACGGCCGTTGTTTTGGCCTGCAAACCCACTTCCAAATAAGGATGATTCCTCCTCCTGGTGAGATTGAACCGATCTAGGACGCCGGATGGAGTTAATAGCTGCATGAATTTTGAAGGAGAAAAGTATGCATTGTTTAATTCCATCAATCGGTTCAAAACTTCTCTACACTTGTTCATACATATATCATATTATATAGTGCCGTGCCTCAAACCGAATGTTCAAATCTTAATTTATTAAATTTTTTTATTTTTTAAATACGAAGTAATATGATAAACAATGTAACTTAAGATTAGTTCAAAAAAGTGTATGTTTAACCATATATATATATAACACTAGGTTGAAGTTATTGAGTAAATCTCTCATTAAAATACTACATTACTGTGCTATAAGAGTAATTTGGACTCAATGACCAATCTGGTCTCATATTCGAAAAAAAGGAATCTATATATACAAAACAAAATATTTTTGGAATAGTTGGAAACCCCACAAAAATTATGAACCGACAAGGATCAAAAAATGGATTGCCGAAATACATGTGATTGAAATATGTATGATCAACCGATACTACAGTTGAATAGTCGAAAAACTTGCAAAGTTTGCCAATATATAATAATTCGAATATGAGAACGTGATTGGAATATGCGTGACCTGCTTGTTTTTTAGTTGAATAGTCGAAAAGCTCGTAAAAAATGTCAATTAGTAAGAACTCAAAAATAAATAAAAAATACATCGTCGGAATTTGCGTCAATTATGAACAAAGATGTTAATTTCACGTTAGAAAAAAACAGAAAGATAAAAAATTAAAATACAACAGAGAATTATTGAAAGGTTCTCATATATATGATTGAAAAAATAAAAAATAAAAATAGAAAATATACCTGCAGAAGCTAGAACATCTATGTCAAGCCTTGACCTTTTCTTCCTAACTATCGTTTGAGGAAGAACACTACTTTGCAGAGATGGATCAGCTGCCAAAGGCTCTATCTCCCATGGAGAAACACTGCTGTCTGGCTTCAGAATTGTTCCTTCCGAATGATCCCATCGCACCTATAAGAAACGCCAAAAATATTCTCGAGAAAAGAATCAGCAGATAACAATAACCAAAACAACAAACTGCATTAATTACTTGAAAGTGTCATATATATACAGACCTTGAGCGATCGCCATTGGGAGCCTGGCCAGTATTGTGAATAATCTCCAATACCAACAATGGTGCCTGTGAATCCATCATCACCAGCACTCTTGAATCGCATGCCGATATGATAAGCACGGCTAGTGGCTTTCAGATACTTGTTTATCCCAACAAGGAACGGAGTCGTTCTGTAAGTACAGGGAGAAAGAAAGAAAAAAAAACCCCTCCAGAATAAGATCGGGCGTGACTAAAAACCAGTTTTCCTGTACTGCAATCATAATATCTTGATCTCGCTGGATATAAAAAAAATGCACAAACATATATACCTAGGCTTATAATGGACATAAAAGACGGTTTCCGGTTTAATGGAACGGTTAGTGGAACAAAGAACTCCCAAGTAAATGATCTGGCTCGATATAACAATCGATGCCTGCTGCTGCCGCCTGGGATGACCACGACGAACCCCAACTCGCAGCTCGCCGTTGTACCTCAGGAACACGATTTCGTCTCCGGCTACTAGCTGCTTCTTATTGACGAAGTCACTCCATCCTGTGGAGAGCATATGCCTTCGAGGTTGGCCTTCACATAGCACAATCATTCGATGATCTTCGTCAATGGCTTAGCTAATCAACGAATATCGAGGCGATGATAAGAATGCAAGATGAAGAAGTCAGATCCTCACCCCTGTATATGTGCCTGAAACGCCATAGATGACCCTGGAGATCTTTGGCAGCGAATTCCTGAGTTGGAGTCTTCTGGATCATATCCTGATATTATCATTTATCAAGGCGAAAATGGTAAGTTCGGGTTTGCAAGTAGATGGAGTGATTGAATGAAAGGAGATACATGGTAGAATGATAGTGAATTTCACCAGTGGAGGTAAGCATTCAATGGCAAGCTTCTTCGGAATGGAGAAACCACCATGGGTGCTAGCATCAGAAGTTGATAAAATCTTGTTGTACGACTGAACCGGTTTGGGCGGTGGAGACTCAGGCCGGTCAGGTTGAACGCTTCTGCTGGGTGTTTGCTGGTCGATTTAGAATAATAACGTTTAGAATTACTGTTAGTATTTGAAGAAAAAAAATGTTCGAAACTATGGAGCTGAAGAAGATGAGAGAGACAGAAATCTCACATCAACTTCCGGATGAAGAGTGATTCCGACATAAAGTTCGTCTGTGCGACGTTCAACCTGTGAAAATTTGTTTCATTCGTGATGATTGAAAGCTAAGAGAAACGGGAGAGAAAAAATTGATTTTTTGTTTATATATATTTAAATGGTGGATACAGAAATTTGAGAGAACGATCGAGAAAATAGAGATTTACCAATCTTTCAACCTTGGTAACTCGACACAAGATTTTCGAAGGGATATTGATTTCGGGGAGTTTCTCGTTCAATTGTTGACTCATCAAAGCTTCCAACTGTGCCTGGTGATAGTATAAAAATGATGAAGAGACTAATAAAATGAAAATAAAAAAGAGGGCAATGATCAATATATTTGAAGGGAAAGAAAATGACTCACTTGTTCCATGTGACCCTGGGGGAAGTAGTACAAATATTGTCCTACTTTTGGTATGTCAGTCCAATCCCAAGCACACGCCCTCCATAATTCATAATCAGACTCTAGACGCAATGCAAAAACATAGTCAAAATAATCCAAAGTAAATAAATGGTCGGATCGGAGACGGATAATGAAAATAATTCATCTTGTTTTAACTAACATGAGTATTATTTATATAAATCCACGATATAAGTTCCCTTTTGTCATATCAATTAATCAAGTGTTACCAATCCAAAGTATATGATATTCAAACACGCGGAAAAAGGTACAACATAAATTATAAATATTAAGAAAATTCATGGAAAACAATCATTCATGAATATTCTATATGTACAATGAGTATCGAATATGTTGAGAGAAAATTGATGAACTATTAATATAGAATGTATTGAGAAAAAATGACGAATTATTAAAAAAAAACACATAAAACAAGAATGATCAGGGTTAGACAACGAGAAAATATGGTGAAGTATGGTTTAGTTTAAGGCATCAAAGCGATGGTTCCATACGCACCCAGCCGTAGGATAATCTCGTAGAGGTCGTATATATCTGTGTATGTATTTTATCCATGTCTAAAATTACTCATTTAGTTCGAATTTGACAGCTTCTAATAAACTAATATTCGAACAATCGTCCATCCTACAATTGAAGAGATTTAGCCACTCTCTTTTGACTAACAATTACAGAGAAAGATAAAAAAGAGAAGAAAATTGAAAACTCAATTGTACATCCATCAACAACCAACTAACCCATTGAAAATTGAGACTCACAACCTTCTTTCCTCACAGTCATGAACTCGTAGGTACTTGTTGGGCCAAAGAAGCTGGTCCAGTCCATTTGAGTACCATCGCCCTTTGAATGAGCCATGAAAAATGAAAGAAGAAGAAAAGAGAGTGAAGAAGAAACAAAGAGGTGAAAAATTGGTGGGGGGAAGAGAGACTGTGAGAGTGATGAAGTAAAGGAATGAGACTATCCCCTTAAATAATGAGACCAACAAGAGTGAAAAAGGTATAAAATTAATTAAAAGTGCAAAAGGACATGAAGCATTTTCATAAGAAGGTAATTGAATGATTTAGATACGACTTAATAACTGGAGAGAAATGTCAGTGTGCCCTTTTAGTGATATCACAAAAGAACTTGTTCCTGTTTTCGGTTTCATTCATTTTTTTGTTTCAACAAAGACAGAAAGGTCTCATGCATGCGAATTTAATTTCTATGCATATATTGGTTGTTCCAGGTCATGTAAGCAGATTCTGGTTAGACTGTTAATTTAATGCATTAGTCAGATGTTTGACTTGTTAAAAAAGAAAGTTTTTTATAGCGATGTAGTAAGATGTTATAGACTTCAAAAGCGTTACAATAAATTATACAATTGACCATTATGACGTCATTTTTGGATTTAGTTTTGAGACTGTTGATGATTATAGTTGAATGCAAACATGAATTGTTCATTATATTGCCCTAATTTGCTTTGTTCTTTGGTTTTTGTTGTTAATATTGTATCCGAGAGAAGACAATGAATCATAGAAAAACTTGTTGCATTTTTTCGGTTTTGATGTATCCTTCTGTTTGGGCATGAGAGAAAAGTAGGTTTCATCCTTTTGGTTCATTTTCATATATCTTAATTGTCCAAGCTCATGCAAGTAGATTATTTGGGATGGGATTAGGTGCTAACCCTTATAGGGGTTAGTACCGTGATAACTAGCAAAAAACACTACGAATTATTATAAAATCAATACAACATCTAAGCTAAATCACAACTAATTCAAACCAGTAGTAGTTTTTCCCTTGGTTAGGACGGTGCTAACTATTGTACAATTAGCATCGTAGCCGTTCTCAGATTATTTGGCTTGTAAAAAAGATAACTTTTTTTAACCATTATAGTAAAATGTTAGACTTCAAAATGGGAGCGTATCCAGTCAATAACGATGCATAATCCAATCAAAATACGCCACATCAGCGTCCCTTCTCTCTTATGAAAAACCTTTAATTTTCCCTCTTAATCTTTCACGGACGATTTCTTACTCGTTTTAAGTCTAAATTTAATTTTTTTACACAATTAGATTAGATTAATTGTGTTTTTCAAAACGATATTCACTTTGATATATTTTTTGAACAAAAAAAATTGAGCCATTTTTTACTAGTCTACCATATGGTATTGACTGGTATTGAACACATGATAGTAGAAATATATTAACTGTCATTTACGACTTTTAAATTGTGTACTACAAGATACCACCCTGTGGTATTCTTTGGTCCTGTATTTTTTTCACCAAAAAATTTGTAGATCCAATAGATTATGATGAACTCGTTTCTTCTGTGAAAAATTTTTCAAAAACGTATTAAAGATACCATATGGTATGCAGTTGGTACCGAGAGGCCTGAATTTTTTTTTCACAAAAAATATTGAAAATGGATCTCATTTTGTAGAGCACAACGAACTCGTTCCATCTGAAAAAAATTGAAAACCAAGTTAAAACGAAGAAAATATGAGTCGATTAAGAAAACAAGTCGAAAATAAAAAGATTTTTAAGTCTCCATCCTTATATCTCAATTTTCTAAATAAAAGGTCAAAATTTAGTTAATGATGGATGCACACTGTAACTTGAGGTCTTCAAAATCACACTAAATTATCAAACAGTTACCCGTTACGCCATAAATTTTTAGATTTCTTTCTAACATTGGTAATGATTATGGTTGAATGCATAGATAAACAATTTATTAACTTGCCGTAGTTTGCTTCACTCTCTGGATTTTGTTTCTAGCGTATTTTCTCTTTGCTTCTGATACTGGTAATGATTACGGTTGCATGCAGACATAAACGATATATTATCATGCCGTAATTTGCTTCACTCTCTGGTTTTTGTTTCTAGCGTATTTTCTCTTTACTTCTCCAATAAGAGTTTGTTGCACTTTTTACCTTTTCAATCATCTCTTTTGTTTGAACAGGGATAGAAAAGTCTCCTTTTCTGTTTGTCTTGCTCTTCCTTGGTTGCTTAAATCAACACATAACACACAAATCCCTCAAACAAATCAACATAATGAGTAGGACGGTTGCCTTGTAAAAATGGAATACCCTAGATGGAGTAATTGTGTGATTCTGACTTTAAAATTGGTATCGATTATGGAATTATTTTACCATTATGCCATCACTCCATATATTCTCCTGTCAGAACAGAAGCGTGGCAATCGAAAATCCAAACCAACACGAACGAACACAATTTTAATGTGGTTCACTAACACAATGCATGCTAGCTAATCCACGGGCAGGGGGACAAATTTCACTAATTTGAGGTGAGTACAGGTTACAAACCAAATTCGAAATGGACAAACCAAATAAACTAACCTGACTGACCTTTTACTACAGACTAGGGTGATGAAGAGTATTTATAGAACTCTTTTCCTAATCCCAAACAGAAAACCAAACATCTTTTCCAAACCTACAAGAAAAAGGCCATAACAAAGCCCAAACAAAATAGGCCCAAACAAAAAACAAACTCAAATCAAATTCAAGTCATATTCTAACAATCTCCACCTTGACTTGAATTCTCTGTCAAATACCAGATGTACCAAACGCAACCAAAGTTGCCAAATGTACCCAGACGCGATACATATTGCCAGACGTATCCAAATGCGATCGAAACCGCCACACTCAAACACAATCAAGATTGTCAGACATATCCAAATGCAATTCATATCGCCAGACCAAACGCGATGCAAATTGCCAAACTCAAATGCAATCAAAATTGTTAGACGTACCAAACTCCTCCAAATCAGCTGTACCAGAATCTCCCCTGCCTCCAAATGCCCCTAAGAGCGGTCAACAAATCAAAACATGCAACAAGTCCAATCCATGTTGGGACTTGCCATTATAGGACAATGATTCGAAATCAGAGGTTCTAGCATTCTTCATTTCACTTTGTGTGAAATCATCTAACCAGCCAATGCTCACAAATAGAAATCTATCCAACCGTTTAGCTATGGGTTTACCTATTTGGTGATTTATGCATGTTTACCAAGGACTCAAAGTAACATGTTCTTCAACTTCCAGATCTACTAACCAATCATGTGTTATTTTGAAATAACTCGTTTTACCATTCTGCTTTTACCAAATGCCACATGTCAAATACCATATTTTCATGGTTCAACCAAATGAGATACTTAATTTCAATTACCACTAAAATAACATTGAAATACCACATGAACATTAAATGAGTTATTTAACTCTACAAATACCACATTGACAATTGACCCATCCAAACGACCCTGTTACGTTAAGAGTTGTTTCCACTCTTATAATAACTGAATCGCTATTTGCCGCCCGTCGTTTTACTATTTGCCGCCCATAGTTAAGAAAAAAAAGACAAATTTACCCCTGCCCCTAACCCTATCTATCCACCCCACCCCCACCCCCAACCTCCTGCCAACATCCCACCTCCTCCCCCCTCCCACCCTCACCCCCACCACCACCCTGCCACCGCCGACAACAAGCCGCCGCCGACGACCACCCTTCCTCCTCCCTCCTGCCAACCTCCGGCCGCCGACCAGTGCAGAAGAGCCCGCCGCCGACCAGTGCAGAAGAGGTCCGCCGCCGAGCCGCCGACCGAACAGAAGAGGTCCGCCGCCGACCGAAGAGGACGCCACAACAGCCGCCGACCTCGCCGAAGAGCTCGCTCTCACCGCCGCGAAGCCTGAAGGTAACATTTTTTTTTATTTTTTTCTCGCCGCCGTCCGACCAGCCGGAGCGGACGCCGTCCGACACGCCGGAGCGGACGTCGTCCGCCTGGCCGGAGCGGACGCGGTCCGCCTGGCCGGAGCGGACGTGGTCCGTCCGGTCTGGTCGGACCCCGCCCGCCCGGTCTGGTCGGACCTCGTCCGCCCGGTCTGGTCGGACCGGTCTGATTGGGTTTCAGATTCGATTTGAATGGTTCGGTTTTTAAAAATATTTATTACATTTATTTTAAATACAATTGTTAGTATATTAATTAGTTTAATATTGATAGTTGATTAATTAGTATATAATTGTTAATTAATTATATAATGTGTTAGTTTATTAATTGAGTAAGTTGAAATAATTAGTATATAATTGTTAATTAATTATATAATGTGTTAGTAATTAGTATATAATTGTTAATTAATTATATAATGTGTTAGTTTATTAATTGGGTAAGTTGAAATAATTAATTTAATAACTATCTATCGTATTTACTATAAAGTAACTATCTAGTTAAATTAATTAAATAACCAAGTTGTATGTATCATAATTAGTAATTGATAAATTATGACTATGAAGAAATTGCTAATCTAATAATTTATTACAACAGAGTAATTGATAATTATTGAATATGCTAATAGATAAAATATCACAATAATTATTGGATTAAATAATTATTGTAAATAATTGTTAATTTTAAATAATTATCTATGATGTTTTAGTTAAGTAATTGAATAAGTTGAAATAAATATTTAAATAACTACCTATCGTATTAAGTAAAATAACTATCTAGTAAAATTAATTAGATAACCAAATTGTATGTATCATAATTACTCTATGAAACAACAAGTAATTGCTCAACAAATAATTATTATAAGATATTAATAGAAAATTATTGAATATGTTTAGAGATGGCGTCACGTGACAATTCTGGAGGATCACGTAGTTCTGGAGGAGCTGGAAAGAGATTGAGAAGATTCGATGGGCGTAACATTAGCGCTAGTGCGAGAAATAGGGGCCCAAATGATAGAGATGAGCCACAGCCACAGATGACACCGATGAGATTTAGGGTAGACGGTTTCCCTGAGTTTGATTTTCAGTTGCCTAGTAGGGCTGGTAGTGGAGCTGGTCCTAGTATTGATCATCATACTTCACCGTTTGAGCCTTCAGACGAGATTGACGACGAGTCGGAGGAGTATGAGTCGGATGCTATTGAGCATCGGATTCCACGAGTCAGTCCGATCAGAGACAGAGTTGCCCCCAACGGATCGTCACATGTCGTTACTGGGGTTCATGCTGTTACTGGGATCTATAGAGACCATGCCGGGCGTTTCTATAGAGCTCCACAGCCTGGTGAGGGCCAGAGTGGTACTGCTGATGTGGGAGAGGCCTGGGAGCCTAGAGGACCGTGTCCTGGAGGGCCGAGCGACCCGAGTTTGCTCCGTAGCTTTCTTGGGCATGTTGCCCACCGTCTGTACATGGGAGAGGCTGATAGAGGGGTAATCACTTGCTACGACAGGAGTTCGACCCTCCACCACGTTCTCGGCGGTTATGAGATAGCAGATGATAACGCTAGGACTACCGTAGAGACATCGGGCCTTGCTCACCTCGTTGATATCACCTTCCAGAGCGAGTTGGATCCTGCTCTCATCTCGGCATTTGTGGAGAGGTGGCATCCGGATACCAACACCTTCCACATGCCGTTTGGAGAGATGACGATCCTCCTTCACGACGTGGCACACATTCTTGGGCTTGCGGTTGATGGAGAGGCGATGGTAGTGGATCCGAGGCAGTTGGAGAAGTGTTCACTGGAGACTGACATCCGAGCACTACTGGGATTAGATCGTGACGAGGATGAGTACGAGGCGCAGGTTGGCGAGGTTGCTAGTCTGTCTAGGTGGTACAGAGGATTTGGTTTGTTGGGTGTGGGAGCTTTGACTCATTTGCAGCAGTCTGGTCCGCCAGCTAGGGAGGCTCAGTGTTACCTTCTTGTGCTGCTTGGGTCCACACTGTTCGTAGATAAGAGTAAGGACCGCGTTTCTGCTATTGTGAACTTGTTTGTGAAGAGGCCGGATATGCTAGGAGAGTACGCGTGGGGGGCAGGAGCACTTGCTTATCTGTACAGGCAGCTTGGTATTGCCTCCCGGGCGGAGGCTAAGGGAGTGGCGGGTTGTCTGACTTTACTACAGTGTTGGATTTACGACCACTTTCCTACTTTGAGACCTAGTCGGTTGGAGCCACGACAGCTGGAGCGGGGGCAGGCAGGAGCATTCAGGTGGCGCGGTACAGCACCCCGGTCGAGTAAGAAGAGGGATGCACAAATGCTGGCTTATTATCGGCAGGCGATTGATAGTTTGACCCCTCAGTCAGTTTGTTGGACTCCGTATGGTCAGCGTCCTCATCTGACGCCGAGACGTACCTTGTATCAGGGCCTGCTCAGATTTGCAGAGATAGTAGAATATTATAATCCTACTAGGTGCCTCCGACAGTTAGGCTACGTGCAGTGTGTACCGTATCGCCCGGAGCCTCCGCTTGTTATGCGTCGACCTGCTTCCACGCTTGGATACTCGCTTAGCTACCAGTCGCACCTTGATGGATATTGGAACAACTTGGGGGCGCATAGTGTGCATCTGGACTATTATTCTACTCCGATACGACGTAGGCCATGGGAGGTTGCTGATGATTACATGGGTTGGTACATTAGGCACTCGCACCCACTTATACTGAGTGACAGCCGACCTGTTGACGACATCTCGGATGCTGATACGGTTAGTACAATCATATTTTAAATTATTTGTATTAAGTTAAAAAAATGTTTTGATTGTAACTAACATGTATTTAAATTGTATGGTTTTTGTTTACAGTTGTCACGCGAGATGTGGATTGAGATATCTCCCGTGATGGATGCTGCACAGGGTAGTATGGAGGAGTGGATGACTAGCGCCAATGAGTACTATGACTTATGTCATGGAGTTGGGAACATGTGGCCCGAGTTTAGGAGGAAGTCGGGTTTTCTACCACCTCCACAGTAGTTGTATGATTATTATGTCATATGTATGAGTGTTATTTGTTGTTTTTAGACGAGTTGACTTATGTGTTCTACTACGACTTATGTTATGTGGTGTTCATTTGCTTATTTGTTGTTTTGGGACTATGACTTATGTTATTATGTCATATGTATGAGTGTTATCTGATTATGACTTATGTGGTTTATGTTGTACTTTGGATGTTTTTATTATATCATGCTTCCATGTGACGTAAACTAAATGCAATACAATTTATTTAAATTGAAGACGTTCATTACAATTTATTTATGAGTCGGACGAGTACAAATTTATTTCTTTGGAACCTTTTTTTTGCGTGATGGAAAGTTATTCGCAACACCCCCAAGATCGAACCACATTTGACTAAACGGCGCGAAATAGTTCTCCCATCCATCCACGCTTTCTTGGTGACCGCCTAGCCAAATGGCATGTAGAGGGGGCAACGGTATCTTGTCCGCCGGGAAGGAGAGGTTGATCCAATGATTCTGGACGAAATGCAGAACAATGACTCCTCTAGGGTGGGTTTCCCCATATATGTTGTCCACTGGCAGAATGGTACTGTTGTACTTTTGTGGTTTTGGGTAGAGGACACAGCTGTACATGACAACAGCCAAATTAAATAGTGTGGCAAATACGAATAGATCCACACCCATCATCCAATGATGTTCAGTCGTTGGTGTTGTAGTAGAGATGTCAATGCGTCTGATTGCGTGATTGATATCTGCACCAAAGATGGGTGCGTATCGCCAATCGTGCTCACGCATTTCTTCAGCAAGTCTTCGCCTCACCTCTGGGAACCCTTCTTGATTACCATATAGTGCAAAACTAAGTGCACGAAACCCACAATGACCGTCTGGCACCGGGTCGTGGATGGCAATGACAAGCGGTCGAATGAAGACAGGAAGCAGTTCCATGTGTCCGTAATCAGAATGGGTGCTGCTGGTTCCAGGGATCTCTGTGAAGGAAATAGATAATCAGCACAAATTCGACGTAAAATATTAATATAAATAACTACACTTATGAAAAATTTAAATTGTACCTGTGTCAGGACAGTTGTATTTGTTGTTTTCTTCGGGTTCGTCACACTCCTCCGCTGCATGGTCGTCTGACGGGTACTCGTCTGTCTGAGTCCCCGTGGACTTGGTACTGGTCGACTTTGTAGACCCCGACGTTGTGCTTCCCGACTTCTTTTTCATGTCTTTCTTCTTGCCTCGCAATATCTTTTCCCACCACCCTTTAGTTCTTCCGGTTGATTTTTTGGTTGGGCGTCCCTTTCGTGATTCGTTCACTTCTGGCTCGTGAATGTTGTCTTCCGCCGGGTGGAGACCGCGAAAGACGTTCTTTGCTGCTTTTTTCGTTGCCTCTGGTCCTCTGCGTACAGCCTCATCAACCAACTCCTGAAGGTGACATTTAGCCTCCTCCTCCTGGGGAACGTACTCCTGAGCATTGGGTGGATGCTCGTATGACAGTGTCCGCCAATATATATGAATATCACCAGGGTATATCTCTATGTCTCGCGCTCTGCCATCCATAACTTGACATCCACACCTCAAGCCGTGTGTCACAGAGAAATGACATGCACATCGGGAGTTCTCATTTTTTTCCAAGCGGGCAGCCAATTCTTCTTCAACCTCCTTCATTAATATAATTGCCTGCATGCTGACCTTCCTTCTCAAGTATGTGAATGGTGTACCACCGGATGCTGAAAGGGTTTTCTGTCTAGAGTTTTCCAACATCATCCTAACCTCCCCGAGTTGGTTAGTAATGTAGCGGTGGTTTCCTTTCCATACAGTGTCCATAGATCCCCGCGAGTTGTGGAGGAAAGTTTTCAAAGCGGAATGTGACGACTCAACCCTGTTTGTGCTCGTATTTCCTAGATGAAACATATTTTTTGTATGACAAACAGCCCACTTTTCTCGATGTTGCCACCACACTCCCTGTATGTATTGCAACAGACGTGGTTCGTAATTGCCCCATCTTGTCCTAAAGCGGCCAAACGCGGCCAACATACCTTGCTCTGACCAAGAATAAAGCATAGGACACCAATATTGATCATACGCCTCGTTGACCAAATCCATCCTGTCCTTCCCAAATATTTCCAAACACTTCTTCTGCACATTGGTGTTGATGTGCCAAACACATAGCAAATGCGGGTTGCGGGGGAAGACCACAGGAACCGTAGCAAGTAGTCCACCTTCGTGGTCGGTGACGATGACACTGGGCACGCGTGGATGGAGCAATTGTTGTATGCACTGCAACAGCCAAAGATACGACTCTTTTGTCTCATCCTTCATGAGAGCACAACAGATGTTGAAATTCTTCCCAACTGGAGTAGCACCTACGACCTCCACCCACGGCCATTTATATGCATTGGTCTTATACGTTGAGTTGATCAGAATCACGTACGGCCAAGCCTTCAACATCTGGATGGAAGTTGGATGGGCAAAAAAAAGATGTGTCAGCACGTCGTCATCGTCCTTCATAACCTCTGTATGATAATTCTCACGTTCAGCTGCTAGCAACACATACTGCACTGCATTCATCTCGCCCATCTCGTCTTTCCTAGACTTGGACCCGAGGTTATACATCTGCCTTTGGGTGTGATGCCCTTTGTCACCCTTCTGCTTGTTTATTGTCTGCTTCTGTTGCGACGGAGGTACCCCAGCATCTCTCATCTGCCTCAGAGATTCTTTATCCTCCTGACTCAATTGATTCATTTGACTGTGGCCTTCGGGATAAAGCATCTTCTCATGATTGTGATACTCTCGTCTTAAACCGGTTCCTTGCTCCGTCACTCCTTGTATCTCCCAGAATGAAGGTCCATCAAGAGCATTTGGATTAACCAGTAGTTCTTTGATTTTAATCCTGAACATGCACCCCGATCCTTTTGAACTTGTATTGCCACGACTCTCCTTGGAAGGATCCGGCTTGTATGACTTCCTCTCCCTACTGCATCTGTCGCAATACATATAACAGATACCCAATAATCTTTTGTTGCTCAACTCACGTGGCTTCATTGATCCCTTAGTTAGAAAGAAACCAAGAGACATCGCGATGTTTTTGGTAACTGTTACAGCATCTTCGAAATTGTCGTATCGGACGCCATTGAGAAAATTGTCCGTGTAATCACCAATTAGTTCAACATTGTAATCCATGTCCACCTGCAATTGTGATTTTACAACTCGTTAGAAATGTACAAAATTAAACTAAATGCAATAATTTAATTAAGTCTAAAAAATAATGATAATTTAAATATAAATTATTAAACCAAATTAGCTCTACGAATTAAATCTAAACACAATAAACTAATTTGCGCTACAACAAAACACAATCACTTAATTAAACTAATTGTGCTTCAATTGACTCTACAAAATTAAACTAAATGCAATAATTTAATTAACTCTAAAAAATAATGATAATTTTACAATAAGAAAATTATTTAAATATAAATTATTAAACATCTTTAGCTCTACGAATTATATGTAAACACAATAAACTAATTAGCGCTACAACAAAACACAATCACTTAATTAAACTAATTGTGCTTCAATTGACTCTACAAAATTAAACAACATGCAATAATTTAATTAACTCTACAAAATAACAATAATTTGACAGTAAGAAACTAATTACCGCTACAACAAAATACAATCTCTTAATTCAAACTGCATATGAATTTAACTATGTAAAACAGAAATAAAAGCAATAAATTAAATATAAATAATTAGCTCTAGAAATAATAACCTGTCTCAAATTAAAAAATATATATAACACTGCTGACTCCGATGCATCCGCTCGCCGGTGAGCGGACGGGGTCCGACGACGGTGAGCGGACGGGGTCCGACGACGGCGAGCGGACGGGGTCCGCCTCAGGCGAGCGGACGGGCAAAAAATTCCAGGAAAGTCAGTGGGGTTTACCTGCTTCGCTGGTCCGACGATGGGGTACGGCTGCCGTCCAATGCCCGGCGAATTATGCTGACGAGATTGGTCCGGTGGCCGGCGACTTAGGCTGCCGTCCGGTGGCCGTGAATCTGGCTGTTGTGTTTGTGGGGAGTTGGTGGTCGGGACTCGGGTAGTGTGTTCGTGTCTAAAAAACCATTTCAGCGAATAGAATATAACGAAAAATTTGGAGGGCAAAATTGTCTTTTTAGTATTTTTTACGGGCGGCAAATAGTAATTACCCGGACGGCAAATAGTAACCCTCTATAATAACTCGTTACACAATAACTCATCAAAAGTCAAAACTGCCTCAAAGACTTTATAACTGCAAACATCTCACCCCTTATATTATTCTAATTTGAATCATGGACAACAATAGCAAAAAAAACATAGCATTACCTCAAACTAGCAATATATGAACAAATCAATAATGTAGTTAAAATCGCGTTTTAAAACTAAAAAACTTACGATTTTACGTTTTTAGGTCACTAAAATGCTTCTACACAAAATCTCAGTTTTTTAACTTATCAGTTTTTTAACTTATGTAGTTAAAACTTAAAAGCTTACGATTATACGCTTCTAAATCACCAAAACGTTTGTACGTAGAAACTCTCTTTTAACTACATTGAATCTGAGTGATGAAGAACTTGCAATTGCATATCTATTTTCCATATCAGCCAATTTTCTCCCAAGTTTATAGCATTATGAATAATTTTTTATCCTCGTGCATGAAACCTTCCTTTTACTAGTTTATCAGAATCCTTCTTCCTAACCGGTGTCTCAAGCCTCAAGTATAGCTATTATTTCTATATTGTATCTATATATTAATTCCGGCACTGTGTTTTCTATTTTTTCCAGAGGCTTTAATTCTCCTAGGGATTTGAGAGTGTACCGTTTGGGAGAGAAGTAAAAGCATCCAAGTCTACATCTCTTGCTAGCACTGCAAAGGTATTGGCAATAGGAGTCCCACTTTGCTGTTTTTGATCAATTTTGGCTACTATAGTCGGTAGTGAGATCAAGCTCCCACTTGAAATTGGTGACTGAACAACATCCTGCATTAATGGTTTAGGACTCCCTGTATTACATACTATTGATCCTGTGATCACCACTTTGTAAGAAACACGGATCTAGAGGAGTACGTCTAGGGTTCGGGAACTGGGATTTGATAGATAATTGAGAATTGAGATTGGAATTAGGAATTTGTTATGAAAAAAAAGGAATGAATCAGGAAGAGAAGAAGAAGATCGGACTCCCAAGAAGGAAGAGGGGGCGACGACACCAGAGGCACAAAAAAAAAGAGAGAAATTTCGGATTGCAGAGAGATTAGGTTTAAAGAATAATAATTATGTTATTGGTTAATGAGTAAAATCTCACTAATCACATAATATATAAGCCGATACATTTTCTATAACAACTCAAAATAATACCTACCATAAATAAACCCCCAATAATACAAAAAATTCCCCAAATTGTCAACCGAATATCCAAATAATCATAAAACGACAAATACAGTCCAAAACAGTAAATGAGTTAAAAACAATGTTTCTAACACCCTTCTGCATTAGTGGTATTGTAGTTAGTGATGGCAATGGGGCGGGGCGGGGCAGGTACCTCAATTCCCATGCCCCGCCCCACGCTACTACGGGTCGGGGCGGGTAAAACACGCGCGGGTACGGGGCGGGGCGGGTCGACTCACTCTTACATGTTCAAAAAAAAAATACAAGTAAATTTTACTTTTTACAATAAAACGTAGGGAAAAACACTTTAAGAATGAAAAATATTGATAATCGAATGGATAATTGAGCCTAACAAGTTGAAAGATCGACTCTAACTAGTTGAAGAAAAGTCAAAATAGGAGAAATATGTATAGATATTGTAAGAAATTGAGATAAATATGAGTCTAGAACGGGGTGGGACGGGGCAGGGCGGGTCGGAAGTAGATACCCATGCCCCGCCCCACGCTACTGCGGGTCGGGATCGCGGGTCAGGTCGGGTAATACCCGCGGGTCGGGTTGAAATTGCCATCACTAATTGTAGTGCATGGTAGAAAATCCCAATTGTGCTCCATATTTGGATCGAACATATAGTGAAAATTCAAACACACTCATATAACATCAATATTCAAATGTTCAACTTAGAATTACAAATATAGGGTTGGACAAAGGGAAAAACCGGAAAAGAGGCACAATTCACAAACCAAAGGAAAAAAACGACGTGGTGTGGCCAGTGGCGGATCCAGGAATTCTACGTAGGGGTGTCCTCTATAAAAAAATAAATTAAATTAAATATTAAATTAAATTTGAAAATATCTAAACTAATAAAAGTTACATTAAAAGTTCAGACGTGTTTCGTAAAATACATTCGGTGTTTATACTGCTCAACAAATATCTCTCGACATATCCTACTAGACAAGGGTATCCGTAATTGAGTTTAATCGTTATGTTTTAAAAATAATTTGAGATAAGAATAACATTTTACTATTATATTTATGGATCTAAAACACAATAACAAATGAGTTGTAGCGTAATTGAAAATATATTAACTAATAGTGGCAGTGTCCCAAGTTTAAATCACATAAACTACTACATAAATATTATTTATACCAATACGCAAACTACTACGGGAGGTTGAATAATCATTTTCCCAAATTTTAAAGGTGTCCCACTACCACTTAAATATGTTTGTTATCATACGCAAACTATTATCGTAGGTTGAATAATCGTATTTCCAAAACATGCATGCATCCCCCACTGGGTGTGGCCTCCAAACCCATGAGCCTTACTAGGAATTGACCCGCAAGTATGTGGGTATGGCTAGGGATAGGCAATGGGCGAGTTGGATGGTTTTGGTCTCAAATTGACCCGCCCACTTACTAGCAAGTTGTTATAACCCGCTATCCACCCACATTCTTCTTCGGGTTGGGTTGGGGGGACGGCTGATGGGTGTGGTTGGGTTGTGGGTTAATGAATTAATTACTACCAAGTTTCCTTCTTTTACATGGACAAGGAACAAGGGACTCGGAGGACAATGAATTAATTACTTGATGACTAAGTAATTAATATCCACAACATATAATTTCTATTAAATATTGAGATGCAAATTATAAACTATTAATTGTATCAAAATCTAGAAAATCATTAATTTTCTCTACATAATTGGTTGATAGAGTAATGAAAGATTTGATCCAAATACTACACGAATCCTCTATGTAATTAATATCCACAACATATACTATCTATTAAATATTGATATGCAAATTATAAACTATTAATTGTACCAAAATCGAGAAAATCATTAATTTTCTCTACACAATTGGTTGATAGAGTAATGAAAGATTTGATCCAAATATTCAAATGTTCAACTTAGGATTACAAATATAGGGTTGGACAAAGGGAAAACCGGAAAAGAGGAACAATTCACAAACCAAAGGAAAAAAAACGACGTCGTGTGGCCTCCAACCCCAAGAACCTTACTGCGAATTGACCCGCGAGTATGTGGGTGTGGCTAGGGATCTAGGGGAGTACGCCTAGGGTTCAGTAACTGGGATTTGATAGATAATTGAGAATTGAGATTGGAATTAGGGATTTGGTATGAAAAAAAGAGTGAATTAGGAAGAGAAGAAGAAGATCGGACTCCCAAGAGGGAAGAGGGGGCGACGGTACCAGAGGCAAAAAAGAGAGAGAAATTTCGGATTGCAGAGAGATTAGGTTTAAAGAATAATAATTATGTTATTGGTTAAGGAGTAAAATCTCACTAATCACATAATATATAAGTCGATACATTTTCTATAACAACTCAAAATAATACCTACCACAAATAAACCCCCAATAATACCAGAAATTCCCCAAATTGTCAACCGAATATCCAAATATTCATAAAACGACAAATACAGTCCAAAACAGTAAATGAGTTAAAAACCATGTTTCTAACACCCTTCTGCATTAGTGGTATTGTAGTGCATGGTAGAAAATCCCAATTGTGCTCCAAATTTGGATCGAACATATAGTGAAAATTCAAACACACTCATATAACATCAATATTCAAATGTTCAACTTAGAATTACAAATATAGGGTTGGACAAAGGGAAAAACCGTAAAAGAGGCAAAATTCACAAACCAAAAGAAAAAAAACGACGTGGTGTGGCCAGTGGCAGATCTAGGAATTCTACGTAAGGGTGTCCTCTATAAAAAAATTAAATTAAATATTAGAATTAAATTAAATTAAAAATTTATTAAATTTGAAAATATCTAAACTAATAAAAGTTACATTAAAAGTTCAGACGTGTTTCGTAAAATGCATTCGGTGTTTATACTGCTCAACAAATATCTCTCGACATATCCTACTAGACAAGGGTATCCGTAATTGAGTTTAATCGTTATGTTTTAAAAATAATTTGAGATAAGAATAACATTTTACTATTATATTTATGGATCTAAAACACAATAACAAATGAGTTGTAGCGTAATTGAAAATATATTAACTAATAGTGGCAGTGTTCCAAGTTTAAATCACATAAACTACTACTTAAATATTATTTGTACCAATACGCAAACTACTACGGGAGGTTGAATAATCATTTTCCCAAATTTTAAAGGTGTCCCACTACCACTTAAATATGTTTGTTATCATACGCAAACTACTATCGTAGGTTGAATAATCGTATTTCCAAAACATGCATGCATCCCCCACTGGGTGTGGCCTCCAAACCCATGAGCCTTACTAGGAATTGACCCGCAAGTATGTGGGTATGGCTAGGGATAGGCAATGGGCGAGTTGGATGGTTTTGGTCTCAAATTGACCCGCCCACTTACTAGCAAGTTGTTATAACCCGCTATCCACCCACATTCTTCTTCAGGTTGGGTTGGGTGGATGACTGATGGGTGTGGTTGGGTTGTGGGTTAACCCGCAAAAGTAATTCTCTAACTTGTCATTACGCAAATTGACTAACATTTATAATAAGTTACTTGCAAATTAGTAAGACTCTAACAATTTAGACACATCCCATTTTTTCTTTTGTGGATTCGTGTAGTATTTGGATCAATTCTTTCAATACTCTATCAACCAATTGTGTAGAGAAAATTAATGATTTTCTCGATTTTGATACAATTAATAGTTTATAATTTGCATCTCAATATTTAATAGATATTGTACAAAACCGTAAACAATAATAATTGTCCAAATCTTACTTATTCCCCGCTTTTACAAGTCAATGATGAGTGTGTAATTCGGTTAGGGGAAAATATGACTATTTGATAATATAAACAAGAAACATCTTTTTTGTCTATGTGAAAATAGCATGCGTATCATTCGGGTGACCCGCAATCCACCCACCAACTGTCTGAATACGTGCGGATAGGGGGTTTATCAATCTGCAATCCACCTACATCAATCACTCACCCAGTGCGGATCGAATTATTTACGGGTGGATCGATATATCATCATACCACGAATTACCCCTCACGTGCTGCCCAGCCCTAAATGTGGAACCATCTTTCTCACCGGATTTGGATCAATTCGAATCAAGCCGCAGGTTAACAACCTTGCTATACACCAACTCTTGCATGTACTCAAAAAAACCTCGCAGCCGCTTATAACGCGTTGATCAACACAGCACACATAGAGGAAGGTTCGGCTGTGGGTTGTTATAATGATTCTATTATACGATCCCACCTCCTCTGAAGCAGCTCCGATGCTTCCTACCTTTTCTTAGAACTAAACATAATTCTATATTACATGTTTCGACTTACATCATGATATCCATTGTAATACGTTTTTAAGTAAAAATATGTGCATGCAGAGAAATGAAAGGATACCTGCCGCGAAGCGCGGGTCATCTATCTAGTAATAATATATTTGTAATAATATATCAAAGTATTCAGTCAATTTATAATTTAAATATTCTCTTATATATAATAAATGAGATACATGTTTACCACATATTCAAATCTCAAGCCTCTCAAAAGCCACTACCGGACCAACTCACAAGTTCAATCAATTCATGCGATGAGCTCAACGTCCCACCAACTCGAACCAACTTGATATCTCAATGATCTGAACAGAGAGCTACGGAGCTCATTACTAAACAAGACGTTGAGTCAGCTTAGTTCGCTTGCAAGCTTGGCGTATTTGAAGAAGCGAATCAGATCAAACACCAAGCAACTCACGAGCACCCCCTATCTCGCTCAATTGAGTAGGTATAAGTACAACTTTAAGTAGCAAATTCAGCTGCATGTGCCAATTTTATAACTTGAGTTTTTTCTATGTTCATTTCTAGATCAGTTTAATTAAACCAAACCAAGAACTAAAAAAATGTACTCTGAAGGGAACAAATGGTTGAATTTGAAGCAGGAGGATGACGGAGTGAAATCAAAGTTACTACTCAGATCTTGGTTAGATTATTTCATCAAATCACATCAATCTAACGGTCCAAAACAAGTAATCAGAAATAGAGGTAATTTCGTGATAAAAAACAATATTGACTCATGACCAACCATCTTTGAGGTCCTCATTTTGATGCGTGGTAGGAGAAGCAAAAAGAAGAGAGCAATTAAACTGTGACCAGAATAAAATCCTCACCTGAAAACAGACAGATCGGAGATTCCCCTGCATCAACAAACAACATTACCGCCGATCCGCTCCTATATTACAGACCTCTGCAGTACTTACAGTTACCGACCCAAAAACTGGCATGCCTTAGCTTGCCACAAAATTGTCCCCGATCTGTCCCCTTGTGTCTTTTCAGTTCACCTTGGCTCCCAATTTACATAAACCCTACCTTCACCACCATCATCTTTATACATGGCTACTCATAGAACGGTTCTCCCTGCTTACCTATAATCAGTCTTAAATACCGAACTAATGTAAATACACCTTCACTTTCTTCCGACTTCAAATAAATCTTCACCTTAGCCGGAAAGCCAAACTGTAAACAGCTCGCCTCAATCACCTGCAGCCTCTCATCATCATCTGTGCTGCAATTGATGATGATATACAAGAAAACTTGGCATTACTGCATTATGAGATTTGGAGAATATTTTTTGTTTGTTTCAAACTTTCGATCTGGAAAGCTCAAGTGGCTGAATGAAATTATTGCATGACACAAGTTTATCACAAGCTGGGGTGTTTGTTTCCTGCTACTACTCCTCTGCTAGGGGTTGGGGTTCCACTTTCATGCACAAGGATGAAGTTGTTGCATGATAACATTACAAAGTAAGCCTAAAAAATAGAAACAGAAATCCAATATAGGGCTGGCTTACCGGGAGACGAGGAGACCAGGCACTCCTGTTGCAAAAAGGATCAAACAGATCAAGTAGTATTCGTTACATGGTGAATTAATTAGTTAATGAAGCAGAGCAGTAGCTTAGCAAACTTAAGTCACTATTCACTGAACAGTTGAACGTAGTACCTTTCAGCTTCTTCGCTTTCTCGTCTTCCATTTCCAATGTGATTGAAAAGGAATCGAGTTCGTCGGAAGGTTTAAAGATGAAATTCAGGGTTCCCTCCTCCCTTCTTATAAGTTATAACAGACATATTAACAAACTAGTAAACAAACAACACATGCATGCATGCACAAGCAAAACCAGACGATGTCAAATGAAACTAACTATACTGGTGCAACTTGATACAAGACAGATTAATATTAAGTCTACCTGTCGGATAAAACAGGGGCCAACATCAGAAGGATGAATTCCGAAAATTCCCTCTCCGTGGTGAACACCTTGTCACAGGGCGTTTTCCTTATAATGACCCACTCATGCCGCTCTTGATGATGATTATCCATAATGTCGGAGAATGAGCAAGGGAATTGAGGCAAAGGCGTGTAGTCGGCCTCCTCTTCGTCGCAGCCAGAGTCGATCGCCAAGTCAAAGTCGTTGGCTTCGGAATAAGCCCGGGACGATTGAATGACATGTACACCAGGAATTCCTGGTTCAAAAAGGAAAAAAGAAACTGAATTGAGTTCATAGGTTCACTATGTACATGGCAAGCCAAAGCTAAGTAGCAGCAGCAGCTTAACAACTAGCAATAACAATTAATACTAGTAATAAACCACCAAAACCTTTCAGCTTTGTCGCAGTCTCCTCATGGATCTCGCATCCGAAGGCAATGTCACTCTCGTACGATAGGATATCCAAGCTGTACTTGTTCAGGAGGCTGATTCGAACCCAACAAAGCAAACAGGTTAAGTAAACAACAGACACACACACGCACACCCCAACCAACGATGTCAATGCTAGCAAACTAACTATGTACATTGATGTAACATTAAAGAGATAAGTACCTGTTAAGGATGGGGACCAACTTCGCCATGGAGTTACCAATCCGTTGTGGCTCGGAGAGTTCTCCATTATGGGGCAAATCCATGGTAATCATCCAGTACGGAATCTGCTGTTTGTTGCCAAAGCCAGAGTCGTCCGGTGACTCAGAGTGGTTTGCTCGATCACTCGGCCTCTCGCTGTTGCAAAGAATGACATTGGCAACACCAGGCGCTCCTGGTTTCAAAGTAAGCAAAATAATTGGTTTCGAAGCTTAATTAGTAACATGGAAACCTAATTAATCAGCAGCTGCAGGGAAAAAACCTTCAAGCTTTTTCACCGTCTTGGCGCTCATCTTGCAACCAAACGCAATCTGATCCTTGCCCCTATAAGTGTCTAAGATGTATGCCTTCTTCTTCTTTGTTCCCTGGGTGCTGATGGCATTACGCATAATCAAACCGATCCACGATGTCAATGCAAGCAACTAACAACATGTAGCCGTAAAATGAAAGAGATAATAAATATACACATTGGCTGAACGTTTGAAGCTGAAACCGAGGCAACTAACTCGTGTACACCTCTCTTGAGTTTAACTATAATCAAGCAACAAAGAAACGACACATTGATATAGAACAAGCTACACTCTCAGGACTTTTGACAAGCACTTGGTCGGCAGAATCGTTTAGTCATTTACGGGACAAGGCAAGCTCTATGGACAACACGTCCTAGTTGTCTAATTCTCATATCACTACAACCCAACCCATATTGGTACAAAATCCAGAGAAATCAACTGTGAACTTGCAAAACTAGAGAGAGTAGTCAGTGGCCTACCAGCAAAGGAGAATGATCAAATGATTAACGGATTTGACGAGCATTTGCTCCTCTGTTAGTGGAAAGCCGCGGTGCTTCTCCATAACCACGAGACAGTACTGTAGCTGCTGCTGATGGTCGCTGTGGCGAGCTGGGGTAGGCCGTGCCGCCACTTCTTCTTCTTCCTCCTCTGTCTGGAGGTCCGTTGATGCGGCGTGGCGCTACCTAACCGCTGTATAACGGGCGACGGAAGATTCGCTGAAGCAAAATCCGGCATGGGAGGGCCGGAACGGTAGTTGAGGGCGGCGGCGGAGAAGATGAGGAGCAGGAATGAGGCGGCTGACGATGGCGGCAGAGGAAGAGGAGAAGTCGGTTCGCTTCGTGAGGAGGAAGCTGGAGCTGGCGAGATGGCGCGAAGAGTGGAAGTAACGAGCTAGGGTTTGCGCCATGGCTCAGAGAGTGACTCGCTGACTGGAGGAGAGCAATCGCAAATTTGGAATTGAGTGAGAGTGAAGCGCGGACTTGGATTTTCATTCTTTGAGGGAAGGGAACGGGAAATCGGAGTCCGTGAGGGATTCGGAAAACGGGGTTTTAAACTCCTGAATCCCGTTGAACGGACACGTGGATTTGTCTACACCCGGGCGGCCGGACCCGATCCATGTTGCTCTCTTTTGACTTTTCAACTCTCGGTTTCGTATTAAATTCAACAAAGTCAAAAGCAGATAATAACCGCATTTTTATCTATTCTGTTTTTACGAAAGGTTACAAGTTTCCAATTCTTTGTCATTTGTTTATCTAATTATATGAATAGGTAAATTGATTCATTGTACTGTGTATATACGAGCAACATTGATATATTACACACATGATATTCTCACCAGCTACATGTTGAACAATCATTTGGCTAGGATGTAATAATTTGAAGGGAGAGGTCTCTCGTATATTCTCTCGTTACTTCTTCATTAACAATTCCATGTATTTTTAAGATTCAATCATCTCTTTTCTTACATAGATAGTTTGGACACAAATCGCACATGTTGTTGGTCGTGATGAGATAACATGAAAATTGTTGATAATAATAATTATAGTAACGAATGATATACGTTAAAAAAAATTATACATTCTCCATATATTTTATATTTCAATATATACCAACCAAACCTCTTCAATATCAAATAATACCCTAAGCCAATCTCATCCCAATCCGCTTAAAATATTTCGTATTAAATTCTACAAAAAACCCACCACAACATCCATGTTTTATCTTAGGGTGCATATCAAGATTACTTCTCAAAAGATCACACATCATTGCAGTACTCCACAATGAGCACTTTAATTTCAAAGTTCTTATAAGAAATCTTCAATTTTTACCACAAAATGCGTTTTAACAATTAAAATCTATTTATTACTTATGAATCATAGATCTCTCCCTTCTTTTGACAATGTGAAATTCGCCTAACCTCTTGCATTATCTAAAACATTACCAAACTTTTAGCCCACCTTTCTCAATATTGTGTACAATAATACAAAAAAAAAAAATGAAAAAACTTGTTGCCTTTGGCAAGAAAATGTCGATGGAAACAAAGGAGAGAAAGTAACATAAAGATGAACAATCAATCACCCCACACAAAGATAGGTTTGCTGGTGGAGATTGGATAAACTATGTGGGCAGCATTGTGAAATGAAAACAAGTAGAACAGTTAGAAAGAACCACCATGAACGAACTGTGTTTTCTTGGGGTTTCTTTCTGCTGATAGCCCTTTCTCTTCCTTTTGCACCTCTCACTTCCCAATTTATATAACCCTTCATCTTCTTTATACGTGACTCGAAAAGAACACATAATAGCCCAAATTTAATTAACATACACACTATTAAGCGCACTGAGTGTTGGGGGTGCTCTGTTTTTGCACTTCTTTCTCTACTTACTAATGTGGCTTGGCTAGAATGCACTTGGCTAGAATGCACTCGCTCCAACAATATCGTCCCTCCCCCGCCGCACCTCACAATGCATCAAGTAGCGGCTCGTTGGGAGACAACCATGTTCGAGAAGTCGTCGCTTCGAACAGTATCGTCTCGAAGTCCAACCTCTGGCGCTACATTCAGGGGATGGACTTCAACCCTGCTCGAATGGTATGTAACATTGTTTAGTTTAGTACAAAAGATTGTTAATTGAGGCTAAACGAACCTGAAGATTTGGTGCATTCATGGCAGATTTTGGCTGAAATGATGGGGACGTTCATACTAATGTTCTGTGTTTGCGGGATCATAGCAAGCACCCAAATTCTCAAAGGCCAAGTCGGGCTGTTGGAGTACGCGGCCACGGCGGGGCTCACCGTCGTCGTGTTGATCTTCTCCATAGGCTCGATTTCCGGCGCACATGTTAATCCCGCCGTCACCATTGCCTTCGCCGCATTCGGCCATTTCCCCTGGCCTAGGGTAACGCTAATAATTAACACAACCTTGTTTTCCTCTGTTTAAACAAAACATTGTACAATGTCGATTGATTGTTGACTCCAAGATTCGAATTTCGAAAAAGGTTCCGTTCTACGTATCGGCTCAAACGATCGGTTCGATCCTGGCAACCTACGTCGGGAAGTCGGTGTACGGGATCGACCCGGAGCTGATGGGTACTAGACCGCTTCAGGGCTGCGTGTCTAGCTTCTGGGCTGAGTTCATGGCCACTTTCATGATCATGTTCGTCGCCGCCGCGCTTACTTGCCATGCTCAATCAGTAAGCTAAGGAAAATTTAATCCCCCCATTTTATTTTAATTTCCAGGTCTGATTCTAGTATCCTCGTTGTAATCTGTCTTTAACCTTGAGGGCAATATTCTTTTTCAGGTGGGTTACTTATCTGGATTGGTGATCGGAATATCCATCGGACTCGCAGTGCTAATTACAGGGTACGTACAACAAATTGAACCCATTTCTTATTGGACTCTGAATTGTATTAATTAATCTGCCCAAGTTTGGTTTTGTTTTCTGTGGGAGCAGGCCGATTTCAGGGGGGTCGTTGAATCCGGCGAGGTCACTTGGTCCGGCGATCGTGGCGTGGAACTTTAAGGACATATGGGTGTATATAACTGCGCCGATAGGGGGAGCTCTGGCCGGAGCTCTGACGTTCCATGCGTTGAACCTGCAGCAGAGGAGAGCGCAGCCGTGCGCCGTGGAGGAGTCACCGTCGCCGTCACCGGATAGTGGGTTGCTGGTTAGCTTTTGGGGATTCTAGTGGTTGAGATTAGAGATGGTCCCAATTAATCAAGCTGGCTTGGTTTCTGGTTCGTAATTTGGTGTGGATAAAAGTGAAAAGTTGTGTAAGAACATTATTTCTCATCAGCCTTTCTGGTGGTGGAAGAAGATGATTTGGTTGTTATTGTCAGTTGTGGAAGGAGAATGAGAAGGATGTTCATATTCTTGGTCCATACCAGAACTCTTCTGTTCTGGTTTTAGTTTTCAATGATTTCAAAGAAATAGGGAACAAGACTACAAGAGTAAGTACTATCGAAAAGTATCTTTTACAAGTGGGCTTCATTATTGGATTGGGCCCCGAGTGGGCCTGCATATCGAAAAGGGGATTTATATTTACTATTTAGCACCAACACCAAGTCATGTGAATCCCCTTAGCCAAGTTTTTGTGGTTCAAGATAATGTGGAATCCACATCTTTCATGGAACATGTTTCAGCCTAGTTCTTTTGATCCAGTTGGTAAGGTGGGTGTCTTAATCATCTGGGTAGCTTTGATAAATGTAGAAGACAAAGAAGGTTGTAGTTTTGTTTATAGCAATTACTTTTTCTGAGGTGGGGAATGTGAGTAACTGAGTATTATAGGTGGATTTTTTGGGGATGTACAATGGCTGAGTTATGTGATTACTGAGATTATGCATTTATAGTTCTTCTACAAATCACAACGACAATGAAAAAAAAAATCGTTTGAATGAAGGTTCTCGGGAATTTATGAGGGATTTGGAACTAAAATTTTTCACTTAAAATTCAGATATTTTATGTGTAAGTGGGGGCTTAATCACATGTTTGAGGGATGGTTGTGTTTAAAAGTATCGGTTTAAAAATTCGGCACCTAAAAAATAGTTTATTTTCGAATCTTTTACTAGACGTGAAATTTTTCAAAATACGACAGAACGTGAGTTTTGTCGAAATTCTTCATTGAAATCCCTTATCATTGACAAATCCATACTAATCAAATTTCTTATCTCTTTCTAATTGGTTATAATGGGATCAGCGTTGTCCCTTACTGGAACAGAGGGAAGCCGGTGATCTACACAATTCCGTCAGCCAAACAGATCCCATACTTGTGGCACAAATGGACACTAATAGCTATAGCAATAGCTAAGAAGGAAACGATGATTACGGAACTGCTGAACATATATTATTTTTGTTTGTTTGTTTTTTTGTTTGTTGCATTGTTATGAGTATTTAATAGAGGGAAAATCTAGCACACAAGCCACCAGTAGTGTAAGATATACATATCCAATCAAACGCATGGTTAGTGACTCGTCTTTCAAACCTAATAACTCTTGTTGGGGCCAATTGACTTTAAAAATATCAACAACTCCCTCCTGCTAAACATCCATACTTAATCAGAACATAATTAATTATCCATCGAAATGGGAAGGAGCATTATCAGGAAAAAGCTCTGCTTTTCAATCAGAGAAGATGAAGGAGGATTCGACCGTTGCTCAACACGACAACGTTTCCACAGAGATTTCGGCTGCTGTTCGCAATGACGCCGTTCCCACAAAGACACACAGGAGCTGGAGTGATGCCGTATCTGGCAAAGTGCATTTTAATCCTCAAAGTTCTTAATTCCGTTTATTTCCACTTTAAGCAATGTACTTTCTTAAGCCACAAGCTTTGTCTTCTTCCTCGTTCTGTCTGTACTGAACACATCCAGCTATATAAGCTGAAGACTCAATGAAAAACAACCAAGCTCTTTTCTCTCCAACCCTAAATGGTTGTTAAGCATTTCAGACACAAAAAGTAACATCGGGTTTATCGGGGTCACACTACTCACATAATGTTGAGGGTTATGTATATCAATTTTACGGAGTCAATTGTAGCAAAAAAGCGTTGAATGAGGAGAAGATAATCACTTTATCATGGTTTCATAGACTGTCAAACTAGTTTCGGAGTAGAGTTTAGGCCAAATACACTTGTATACCCAAAACTTTGACGGTTTTGCCCAATATAGCCACTTTTGGGGAAATACCAATAATAGCCACTTCCGTCCAATTCTTTGACGGTGTTAACCAAATAGCTGACTGGACTAACGACATTGTTGAGGTGGTGGTGACATTTTTAAACAACATTGCCACATAGATTAATGAAAAATTTAATAAAAAATAAAAAGAAAAATTGTCCAAACCCCACATCCCCCTAAACCTAACTCCGTCTCTGTTTCAACCCCACATCCCACAAATCATCAGCCTCTTCCTTCCCCTTCAAATCGAAACCCGTCAGACCACCTTCACCTTCTCATCATCTTCTCCAACCAGTTAACTCCCCTGAATCGATCTTCCCCTGTTACACTGCTCGCCATCGTCTTCCACTACCGGCCACCATCGATCCACCCCTATGCCATCGCACCCAGATCTTCATCGTTGTTGCAGTATCATCATCGTCGTTGTCTCGGGCCCCATCAATCTGTCTTCGTCTGCATCTTCGAGGAAGAAGAAGAAGAAGAAGAAGAAGGGATGTATCTGACCGTCATCTTCCGTCGTGTGATCTCTCCCTCCAGAACCGCCAATTTGAGCTAGAAGAGAACAATCGATTCTGGGTTTTTGAACGATAGGGTTAGGGGGAAATCGATTCTGGGTTTTTGAACAATCGATTATGGGTTCGAGAACGATAGGGTTAGGGGGAAATCCCTGCTTTTGGATAGCGGGTGTTGGATTCTTGCTTTTCTTTCCGCTGGGTTTTGCAGGGAGATGACGACGGGAGGAGTTGCGGCATGGGATTGTTTCTGGATTCGGAGTGCTGCTCGCCACCGGTGTCGAGTTTGCCTTCTCTGTCTCTGGTGAGAACAAAACAGAGACAGAGATTTCCGTCGGATGCTATGAGCCAGAGGGAGATCGTAGGGTTAGTATGTTGTCGCGGCGGTGTCGGCGGGGTCGGTGGTGGGTTGGATCTGGAACGCTGTCGGAGTGGGAGGAGAGGATATGGGTTTGGGCTTGGGGTCGGTGGTGGAAGGAGAGGGAGAGGAAAGAGTTCTTCGACGGCGAGTGGTGGGAGAGGAGAGAGGATGAAATTTTTTTTGTCATTTTTTATTTATTTTTAAATTAAAAAATGACATGGCAAGTATTGTTGAGTTGTCAATGATGTGTCCGGTGAGTTGGCAACCAGGTAAGTGTTTGGCTAATTTGACTAACGGTGTTATTGACGCCGTCAAACTATGTAACGGAAATGGCTATATTTGTCATCGAACTTCCAAAATTCTGGCTATTTCGAGTATTTTTCCAAAAGTGACTATATTTGTCACAATACGTCAAAATTTTGGCTATACAAGTGAATTTACCTCCTCGTATCAGTCTAGCTAATACGATAGACCAATTACACCCACCATATCCCATCTATGTGCATCATGAATGTCACTTTCAGTCTGTGTAGCTCAAGAGCTGGAACCCCGTTGGAATCATTTTGGATCATGCGCACAAAACTAGTGCTTAATTTCTCTATTCTAATGTTTTCTTCCCCTTACTATGCTCCAAGACTAGATGAGCTAACCTACCTTTACTCATACTCTAATGTATGTAATACAATGCATGATTAGCACTTGTAGCCTGTTTTTAATGTTGTTTTTATACATTGAGATGACGTTCTCTTGTTTCTGTTTTTGGTTTCCCAATTGATTTAATAGGTGTTCGCATCTTGGGGAGCAATCCGCATGATAAAGGGATAGAGATATGGTGACTAATTCAAAGGGGTTTGCTAAGGTATTTTGGATATTGGATTTTTTTTTCTGTATTAATTGACAATTAACATATTATATTAATTGTGTTTTTTTATTTAAACTCATATTAATTACAATTATCTCTCCTTATCTTTATTTTTTGTTTTTTCAAAACAATCTCTTTGCTTTCCATCGACAGAATTCTTCCAACTATATTTCTCCGGTAAGACCCGCTTCAACAGACTCTCTCCACCCGACAAAAGAATATCACCGCATTCACAAATGTACGACTATGTATACTAAAATGATTATCACTGTATCAATAACATTACCACCAGATCAGAAAACAATATCGGTACACCCACAATATCAGTACCACTACATCGATTATATTATCACTATACCAACAACAACACCGCTACATGTATCGCTACACCGATAACACTACCATTATGCCAATAACATTACCAGTACTGCACTAAAATATGTACCACTACACTAAAAGACACCCAGTTCACTAACTTCTCTGGATTCCTATCAAACGAATTATTATCCTTTCGTTATTAAAATTCTGGCAAGGCGTTGGATTAAAACTGAACTATCCGTTTCCAGCTCCCTTCTGTATTGATCGCTGTCAACATTTATATAATTGAGTTACAAACATGAGGGGACTTTTTTGGATCACGCAATTATAAAACAAGTAAGCAACAATGGATTAATGATGTGAAAGGTCCATCTCAATGTATAAAACAGATGAGGATAATGTGGTCCTTCGGATCAAGTCAATAGTTTTGCTGGCGGTCGATCAGAGTTTCAATTACCCGTTGATTCATTCTTCTTTCGTACGTGTTGATTTCAAAAGCTAAGATCTAACTTGGTGAAAACAGCGGTTTGATGACTGCTAGTTTTGTTTTACTTTTGTGTCCAAAATTTTTATGGAATTATATTACTAAGTACTAACCTTGTATTTACCACCTACATTAAGATGTAAGCAAAGAGAGGAGGTTTCTCGTCGTGGGCTCGTTGACTGAAAGTATATGAAGATTTAAGAAAATATATACCAGGTATAAAGATTAAAATGAAGGGAAAGCATAATAAAAGAGGTCGGAGTTGTGCTTTCGGTGATAATGATTTCTTGCCTCTTGAATGAAGGACTTCGGAGAACCTTATACCATCACAACATTTAATTTCGCAACTGGGGTGTGCATCCTTAGCTTGTTTGAAACACCCCCCATGAGCCACAGTGTGTTGAACTATTCTCTAATTGCAATAAAGGTCGGGAATGCGAAGTCAGGCCTCGCGACTTATCGAAATCATTTCCAGATATCGCGACTTATACCATCAAAGCATTTAATTTCGCAAAACTGGTGTGCATCCTTAGCTTGTTTGAAACACCCCCCATGAGTCACAGTGTGTTGAACTATTCTCTACCTGCAATAAAGGTCAGGAATGCAAAGTCAGACCTCGCGACTTATCGAAATCATTTCCAAATATCGAAACTCTCTAGGGTCTCAAGATCGTCTTATAGTAGTTTATATAAGGCTTGAAGTTTAAATGTGTGTTTTAAAAATTATAATCAGGTTTCGTTTATAAAAATAGACTAATTCAGCTTCACTCTTGTTTATCTTAAAAAATACGTTTATAAATAAAAGACTAATTCAACCTGACTTCATCTTATCATAAAAGATAAATCTCTTTCTTCTTGGATAAAAAAAAGATTCTACTTTCTTACAAAATATTCCATTGATATTATATACTTTAGTTGAGTGAAAAGAAATCCTTGGTTGGAGATATACATTAGGTCCTTAGATATTGGAACATCACCATCAAAATGATGAAGGAAAACATTACTACCATACTACAAGGATCCCATTAGCTTGCTCCAATTTATGATAGTAATAGTAGTAGTAGGGTCATGACATGAGCCAAAGCAAGGGAATGGCTATGAAACAAAACCATTGCCATCGATGGACCCAACTCCCCACTTGTATAAATAATATAGCATAGTATAATTGGCAAAAACATATGGATCTCGTAAGTTTCAATAATTTGGGGCAATTTGGGAAATGGGATTAGTGCATAAATTACACAATCAATCACCCTCAGGTCGTTTTCGATGTTGCTTTCACCTCCTAACTTTGAAGTGGTTCCAATGTCAAGGGGGAAGAATAGATAGAAGGGATCGGTAAGTTAGTGAAGGCCCAAATAAATAATGACGAGAAAAACAAACGACACTAATAAAAGAAAGAGATGAATGATGCTTGGGTATTGATTTTGGTGAGTGTTTTTGTAGTTTCTCTGATTGGGCCTGTCTCGATTCTTTCCTGTGAGTGGTGCTCAACGACCCAGGTTTTTTCTTTCTTTTTCTTCTTCTAATCAAAATCATTAGTTTTTTAATTAGGCAAAATACAGTTGTATATCCACAAATATCACGTTTGTGACAAATATATCCACAACTATCGAAATACACGAAATATCCAAAATTTGGAAGGTTGTGTGATAAATCTATCAACTTCCGTCTGAAACTATAACGGTGTAGTGACGCCGTCAGATCTGTTAGCAATACGCTGATTAGGACGCCAATTCAGCGCACACATCATCGACAAGTCAGCACCAAGTGACACGTCATATTTACTTATAAATATTTACAGATAAAAAATTAATGAAAAAGAAAAAAAATTGCTTCTCTGCCGCAGACCCTTCCCCTTCCTCCCACCTCCGCCCCTCATCCCTCTTCCACCGCCATTCCACCCACCTCCACCCTCCTCCCTCTTCCACGACCATTCCACCCACCCCACTGGCGGATCTAGGGGGTGGCCACCCCGAGCCACGGCCCAGCACTCCTCTGGATTCGGAGCTAGTATAGTCCTTATGAGTTTATAGATTTTAGTCATTCGGCCAATTGTTATTTTATAATAAGATTGTGTGTAATTGAGAAAATGGGTTAGATGAACATAATCATATCACAACTCTAAATTTAGCCTAGAAATTCTAGCTCCAATGATTCTCTTCTAAAGAAAAACAATGTAACCTAAAATTCTAAGAGTCTAAAACGTAAAGGACTAAAAGAACTGAGGTTTGCTCTCTTGAAAAATTACCAGAGCAGCTTGTGGAAATATGGATGAACACACAATAAAAATTGATTAGTCGATTGTTTTGTCTAGTATTGACATTGCCCGTTTCAACAGCTACTATGGAGAAAACCTTTTCAACAATGGAACAGGTGAAATATGATTTGCGTAACAAAATGAGCGATGAATTTCTTACTGATTGGTAAACTGTTTTATTTGAGGGATATTAGTATGCTATTGGTATTTCACTCCATTATTGATGACTTCACTATATTAAAAGATCGACGTATACAATTGATATTGTAAAAAAAAACTATAATTTTTTTACAGTATCTAATTTTCTAATGAAATGCGGCCCAGTGCACTACTATGTCCTGGATCCGCCGCTGACCCACCCCTCAACTTCCTCCCATCTCCGCCCCTCCTCCCTCTTCCACCGCCATTCCAAACCCACCCACCCCCAGCCGCCCTCCACCATTGATTCATCTCTGCCAACTCCCACTGCATCCAAAGAAAAATAAAAAAAATTGTAAGCGTTGCGCCACCATCGATACATTTGCCGTTGTTGGGTCGCCGTCCAGCCATCGAAGCTTGCGCGCATATCCGTACAGCCAGATCTCATGGACATGCCGTTGTCGCAGCTGTCGCTGCATCTTGCCGCCGTATTCCCTGTCTCACCATTGACGGCCAGCCATCGAAGCTCGTTGATTCAACGGCGCCGCCCTTGCTCCCTGCTTCGTGTGAATAGATCCATTCAACAACGTCGCCCCTGCTCCCTGGTTTGTGTGAATTATGGATTTACAATCACCATTGTTTTGCGACGGGATCTGTCGATTTCACTACAAGAATCAAAATGGCAGTTGAGCGGCGACGAGAGAAACTACGCTCTGGGGAACTGGATCTGCAACGGTGAACGGTGGTGGGAAACGAATAAGAGGATGAGATGGGAGCACATTAACCTTCAGCGGCGATGAGGGTGGAAGGAGGGCAACGAGAGAGAGGGGAGGTTGAGAGGGATAAGATTTTTTATTTTTGTTAATCCACATAGATTGGTGGGAACAAAACATAGGCAACTCAGCTCATTCCGTCAGTACAGTCAGACTGTTAATTGACACCGTTAGAATATTGGACGGAATCGAATATTTCATGTATTTTGATAGTTGTGGATAAATTTGTCACAAACCTGATAATTGTGGATATACATGTGTATTTTGCCTTTTAATTATTAGTAACAAAATTGTTAATCAAAAGTTAACATTTTACTAATTATTAGTAATTTAATAGATTTGGTTAATAAAAAGAGTGTGAGAAAGATTTGCTAATAATTAGTGTTAACTCTATTAGAAATGAGATAGTTCCAATTACTCAAATTCTTAAATAAATATTGTTTTATTGAGTATATATTAATTACCTGCTATGGAGAGAAGGAGAAGGAGAATAGTGAAAACCACGGCAGCCGAAACCATGGGCAGGGCCAAATATCTATGGCACTTGGCACACTTTTTCTCCTCAATTCATTATCCGCAAAGAATCAAATCTCCTTTGCACCTTCTTTTTAAAAAGGAAACTCCTACTTCACACATCATATATATATTTTTCTTTTGGTGAGATACTTCACACATCAATTAGCTTTGAAACAAGAAAAAAAATATTTAAAAAAACACAACTACTTAATCTACACGATGTGAATGTACATTCTCCGTTACTTAATCTACACGATGTGAATGTACATTTATCGTCACTTAACAACTTGAGGCCAACAATTAACGATAAAATATCTAGTAAAAAAAATACATAATGGAAGTGTAGGGTTGACAGTTGAGAACAAATTCGGATGAGCGTGGTTTTTCAATATACAATTTTTAGTTATGATTTTAAAAATAGCAATTATTTCCGGGAGTAAAATTTAATGAAATGGTCATCTATTCGATTTTAGAAAATCTATCTATATCATCTATAACAATCATATATAGTTCATACCCGTCTCATACCCATGCGGAAGAGGTTTTTCAAACCCAACGGCCAGCTCCATATCCGCGTTTTTAGATACCCATGGGTAATACCCGCCTCGTATTTTCAATATGACCATATACCTGGAATTAAACATGTGGATCTTGAATTATAGCACTAAATGTATCTAAATAACTCATGAAATCAGCAGAGATAAGATATGATCATTCTTAATACACATTCAAAGCATCCAATCCTAAAATGCGTTTTAATCCATAAGAAAAAGTACAATACTATCTAAATCATTCATCTCGACTCCAACAATAATTCTCACAACTATGGAAATGAATTGTACTTTTAACAATAATTAATAATATAATTTTTTATCTTGAAAATAAAATATGAATGATAGAGTAAGATAATAGTGGGCTAATAAAATAATAATAAATATTGATGAGACACACTAATTTCATCTACATAAACTCATTTCCTATAAATTTCTATAGGAATTGTAATTTCCAAAACTTAGGCCAAAATAGAATTCATTTCTCAACCCTTTTATCATTCCAAACATAAATTATTAAAATGAAAATGGAAACAGAATTCCAATTCTTGAGTGTTTTGTCTATCCAAACAGGCTGTAAAGAAATTCATTTTTAATTCTAAATTTTGAATTCTGTGTAAATAATGTTAATTTTATCAATTCCGAGTACTTGAGATGGAATTTCAAAATGAATTCCACAAGTAGTTTACTGATTATGATAAAATGACATACTATCCTTGATTATTAAGTAAAATACCTATATATAATTTGTATATATATATATATAATTTGGCACTAAAATCCCATATTTGCGCGCCTTACATTCCTCGCTCATACGCTACATAACCTAATATATAATCATGAGGATATCTATATCTCTTGGTTCGAGAGAAAATGAGTTCCAGTGAAGGTTTTTTGAAGATGGATCTTCAAATTGCTCACTAGTTTTATGAAGTTCGTCTTTTTGCTTGGACGGATTGGTTGGATGTTAACTTTGAAACTTGCATTCTAGAAAATGGATTTTTTTACGAGAATGATTTTAAACGAGTAATAGCAATGTTCTTTGTGCTGGAAATTAAGAAGGTATAATTAAATTTAATTCAATGATGAACATTTTACAAACACCACTTTTGACAATTCAATATAATTCATTTCTAAAGATTTGAATATCACATTACAAACATAGAAATTCATTTTACAAAGAATTCTACACATGAATGTAATTTAAAATAAAATGAATTCTTAATTCGTTTGATTCCAAACGTTGTGTAACTTTTCTCTCTCTCTTTTCGCTTTCCTCTCACAGCTTTTAAACAAATTGGACTCGCCTTGCTAAGGGGCGACAAGGGTTTTTGGTGTTCGCTCTTCCCAGTGAAGCCTGCAAGAATTGGGTGTTGCAGAGGACTCCTTGGATTATCAAGGATAAGATCCTCCACTAGTCCACTTGCCTGCAAGAATAGTGGTTTTCATGCTCGATTCGTGGGTCGGACTAGCAATATGGTAGCCCATTCAGTGGCTAGGAATGTCATTTCTTTGTCTCCAGTTTCGTGTCGATTGTATGATTTTCGTGCCTGAGTTGGGTCTAGGGTGTAATCCATGATCTTTTTATCAATCAATATGATTACTTTTTATTAAAAAAACATAAAAATAGAGACTTTTTATGGTTGTAAAAATAGAGATTTTTACCATTTATATATAACCATACTTAAAATTGGATTTGCACCGTAAAGAAACATAGTTTGGAGTTTAGACGCTAATATGGGAGCATGTGGCTTCTTAAGCTAGCCAGGACAACATCGCCACGCCAAGACCAAGGTAGTACGTGCAACATGCAAAATAATATTATTAATTCTAATAGTTATTAACTTACTATTGTCGTACCTCTATTATGTAGAAATTAACAAGTAGAGCGCTAAGCCGAATTGGATTATAACATCCGCCAACTTTGATCAATCAACCTATTTTTCTACTAATTAATCTGTTTCTTCTTTCTTAATGCACATTGTCGCCGTCTTTCGAACAAAATAGTCTGCAAATGGTGTAGCACATGATGCTATCAATTCGAGCTTTTCTTGTTAATTATTCTGCAGGGATCAATTTGTTGGCCCGGAGAGACCCACAGACTTGTATCAAAACCGGCTAATTAATCCATAGTTTTTGCAAGCAATAGATCATTTAATTAGTTTACCCTACATTTTGGCTTTTTTTCCCTTTTCAACAAAATTAGGCTGGGATTGAATATTGGTTTAAATAGTTATATATATACCGATTCATTCCAGTTAGTACCAAGAATGTTCAGTTTCGTCACGTCATCTGACTTTTATGCACACACTTTCAACTTGTTAGAGGCTGAATTCTTAATTTCCCCCCTCAAATAGGATGCTTAAAGACGACACACCTAACCTTTATTCATAAATTAAATGTAGGGTTTGTATTTCAACCAAATCAAAGTTAAACCATTAATCATGCATAATTAGATTTGAGCCTTTGATATTAAAGTGAGGCCACACCAAATCTAGCAATGAGCTAGAATTAATGGTTTTATTTCCTGTCTTTTTAGTTGACTTTTATTTTAGTTGTTATAACTTGAATTTCAAAAAAAATTCACAGATGAAACGAATTCATTGAGATCTACAAAATGATATTCATTTTAAATATATTTTAATAACAAAATTTCATACAACTCATGTCATTGGTTACCATCCTGGTATCACTTGGTACCAACTTCGTTTTCAACTCATGCTTTGAAAAATCTCAGAAGGGATGAGTTCATCATCGAGTTATATTATATCCATAAATTCTATGGGTGCTAAACGGTCGGTAACCGCTTAAATCGGTTACCGTTTGACCGGTTTCCGGTATACCGGAATTCCCCTCACTGCTGTCGTTAGCCGTTACCGAGAAAAATCGGTAATACCGCATACCGACTGGAACTGAATCGGTAAGGAGAATGGTTTCCCGAATTCTGGTAGGCAAGTGTTGCTGGCTTGCTGCGGGCGGGAATTTGTGGAAGGCTATCACCCATCATTATTCATTATATTTGTCTTGTCTTCTTGTGAGTCTTGTCTATTTGTCTTGTACTCTTGTGAGTCTTGTCTACAAATGAAATAAAGTGAGAGACCATCATTTTCATTATTCATTCATTCGATTTCGGAGCAGATGGAAGGGAAGGAAACCCCTATGAAATAATTAATCAATTAACAAATCATTAAATCAACATTAACTTACCTCTCATCGACGGAGAGGAGAGGACGAAGTATGAAGTACGAATTGCTGTATGGGTTCAGGGCTTCAGGCTGTGGGTCGAGGCTTCGAGCAATTAAGCTCCGACGGCGACGGGTTCGACGGAAAAGGGCAACGGCGAAGGGGGTCGACGAAAACAGGGCTTGGGTCTTGTCTCTTGGGTGGATCTTGCGCCGGCGATGGAGATGACGAAGATCCTGCCGGTTTCGATCGGCGACATTTGGATTCGAGAACGGAGGAGGGTCGGCGGCATGACTGGTCGTGCTCGTGCGACAGGCAAGGGAGAGAGATGGAAATAGAGATTACGATTTAGTTTTCTACTCTTTTCTATTAACTAATTAATTATTACAACTAGGTTAATTAATTTACTTGGGGGAGTTAGGGTCGATAAGGGACTAGGGAGTTGGGCTTTTGGTGTTTGGCTGCTGTCTTTCCCATTCGGTATCGAAATACTGAGTTGCCGACGGTATTTTACCGTTCCTCCCTCGGTATACCAGTTGCAACGATCCCGCCGCCGATTACCGTTTGGTACGGTTAACGATTTAACCGGTAACCGCGGTTACCGGTTAAACCGTTAACCGCAATACCGTATACCACCCCTAATAATTTCTCAGGAAAAAAATTTGGAAAACAAATATACCACCCTGGTATATGATGGGAACTGGTGCTTTGATGTGATGAAAGTTGGTAAATGGCGGTTTGATACATTCTCACTATTATGTATGCAAGTATTCTACATTCTGCTATGTTCGTACCACCATGATACTCTTTCATACTACATGATATAGTCTTATATAGTACCAAACATTACAACATGGTATGAACTGGTAATAAATGTCACAATCTTTTTTTTATTTATAAATAAATCAAAGTGAATGTCATTTTGAAGAAAACAATTAATCTGTGAAAAAATACGACTTAAAACGAAAGAGATATAACCCGTTAAAATTAATTGAAAAAAAAAATAATCACCTTCCATAAACATAAATCATAGTTTTAAAATTATGCATTGGTTATTGATGGGTTGCTCTCTCTATTTTTTGGGTTCATAAAAGTATATACTCCCAAAATTCAAAGGAAAAATAGGGTTAATTGCATGATTGGTCACTGAGATTACAAAAAAGTTCAGGTTTGATCACTCGAAATATTTAAATCCATTGGTGGTACTTCACTTTACGAAAACCGTTCACTTTTGGTCGCTCTCCGTTAGTTGGCGTCCATCGCCGTTAACAAAGTCTGTTAAGTGATGACTTGGCGGACGAAATCACCTAATCAACGCTATTTAACCCGAAAATAGTCTAACCCGACCCGCCACGTCATTGAGACTCGCCATGTTATCTAAACCTACCCAACCCTCTAACCAAACCAGACCCGATCAGGAAGTCCAACAGGTCGAAGAATCGCCACGACGAGATGAGCGCGCCGTTGGACGCCACAACCATGGTCTTCTCGACCTTGTACTTCTTCTTGATGGTGTCAATCCGGTGCTTGCACTAGACGTCGGTGCGGTGGGTCTTCTTGGTGAGGCCGTTGACGGCCTCAGCGACGTCCTGCCAGTCCTTCTGGCGGAGGTTCCCGCGGTCGAGCTCGACGTAGCGGTTGCCTCAGGCCTCGACGAGCGTCGTCGTGGCCTCCTCGCTCCAGCAGTCCTCGCAGATGGGGAGCGAGCGGGAGATGACGGTGCCGGAATCTGTCATGTTGCCCATGGATTGAGAGTGGAAGGGGGACGGAGAAGAATCAATTGATCGGCGACGGGCGGCGGTGGAAACCCTAGGTTAGAGATTGGGAAGATATGGGAATTGAACGGAGAGAAAAAAAAGGTGAGGATAGATAGAGAGAGAGAGAGAGAATAGGATAAAAGAAGGGGAAGGAAGGTGTCGGTGCGGCGAGAGAGTGGTGACGCATAAATACTCGACCGACGATTTGAGCTCCCCCGACGAGCAACAGTTGCTCAAGAGATCGGCCAGCCTCGGCGCCGGGACCACCAATTTCTCGAGTCTGTACTTGAACCCCAACAGCCCCTCCGGATCCGAGCTCAGCGAATCCGGTAACAACGCCGCTTCTACATCCCCTATCTACCACCCTCTCGGTAGGACCGCGTCGTTGATCCCTCCGACTCTTTCAATGGGTGTGTCGTCTTGGGATCCGTCGACCTCGCTCTGCCTATCTCTGGTAGCCCGACGCACGGTACGCAATCTCCTGTCCTCGCACTACCGCCGCTGGATGGAGAAGGGGACGATGTTGATTTGTTTTAGAAATTAGGGTTTTAATCTAGCTTAGAGGGTAGTTTGGTTAGTGGGTAGTTTAGTTGGTGGGTCGGGTCTGGTTTGGTTAGAGGGTTGTGTAGGTTTAGATGACATGACGGGTCTCAATGACGTGGTGGGTCCTACTATTTTTGGGTTAAATAGTGCTGATTAGGCGATTTCGTCCGCCACGTCATCACTTAACGGACTCTGTTAACGACGATAGACGGCAGCTAACGGAGAGTGACCAAACGTGAACGGTTTTCGTAAAATGAAGTATCACCAATGAATTTAAATATTTCGTGTAATCAAAGTTGAACGGAGTTTGTAATCTCAGTGACCAACTATGCAATTAACCAGGAAAAATACTACAAAATAACCCTCGGTTACACAACTGGCTTACACACGTAAAATCCCCTTTATATACTTCTCACCCGTCCCTTACGTCGACGTTTCTTCCAAGGTGTCCTATTTCATTTTCTTTCATTAAAATTCAAGTAATTAGATAGATTTTAATCACACTCCAGACTCGGGAACTTTCAGCCAATCACGAAAAGTATAATTAAGCCAATCAAAAAATGCAGTAAAGAGCAGCCACAATCAGACAAAGAAACCCCAGAAAAGCAAGTCAGGCTAGAAAAACAGTCAAACCACCAAACCTGAATCCAACGGCTCCCATCGAAGATCACGCGGTTGCCTGTAAGAAGATGCACAACTTCCCCCCTGTACCCGCAACCACCCAATTCTCCCTCCGTTTGTCCCATTACTCTTATCGTCAAAAAGCCCACCCAAAGAATCATCGCCCATCCAGCGGGCCCATTCCCATTCCACAAGTTCCCTTCCACCTCTTTAATTAAATTAAATAAAATTTTCACTTCAATTATTACAGGTCCGACAGAAAAAAAAAAATAAATCAACAGCTCATTTACGATAATACCCTCATCCCTGTCCTATAAATCACTACGCCATGGCTTCCTGATTCCGAATCCCTCGTTCGAGCTCTGAACTTCATTTTTTTCCTATCTCCTTTTCTTTTCTCGCTTTCTGATTTTCTTGTAGTAGGTGAGATTTGAGTGGAAAAAATATTTGGTTAGAGAAGATGTTGGGAGTATTCAGCAGCGCGATCGTGTCCCCGCCGGAAGAGCTGGTGGCCGCCGGAAGCCGAACGCCGTCGCCGAAGATGACGGCCGACTCACTACTGAAGCGGTTCGTCGACAGCAACTCCTCCGCCGTTTCGATCCAGGTCGGAGACAACGCTCAGCTGGCTTACACTCACGCCAACCAGTCCCTGCTTCTCCCCAGGTAAAAACAAAGATCGGTGCTGACGGCAAACAAACTTTCCTTGCTGGTCGAAATTTAGTTTATCGGTAGAGCTTTCTCTTACTACTTAGGCACCGCCCTCTGGTCGACTCGGTATAATTGCTTGCTTACGAACGTTAATTTCATGGTTGAGCTTCTTAATCCCGCTTTTTTCCTTGAACAAAAAATATTCCACGGAAATGGTGGTGGGGAATAGAGTTACAGAGAGAGACACCGCCGGCGGTCGTGGTTTGCCGGGGAAATGGATATTTTGTCGGTAGCGCAGAGCGGAACTTGTGGAGTGCGGGTGACGGATACCTCTAGAAGAATAATACAAGAAAAGCAAGTCCCAGAAAATAAAAATAAAAAAATTAGGAAAATATGGATGATTGAGTCAGGACGCGACACGTGTGCTGATCTACCACGTGAACGGTCCGATCTATTTCCCCCCATTCGAGTGACTTTGTCTCTTTCTTCCCGCGGTTGTTGTGCAATGGGTCCCACAAATACCACCGGCGGTGATAAACTGCTTGGTCGCGGAAAGAAATCGCTAAACTTAAAATGGTCCGTCAGTTACAGTGATCGTCGCCGGAGCATCAACGACGACAAAGGATTCTTTGTTTTCTATAATTTTGTGGATTAGTTTACTAGGTATTTATTCTCGTCAGCATATATACCCTTCACTTTACGGTGGAATCTGAATCTGTAACTTTCCATTTTCCCTAATTGATAACTATTCTGCTTAGATGAACTGATTAAGAGTAATAAGATATGAGATTAATATTTGGTTCCCCAGTTATTAACCTCTAATCCGGATCATTGATCCGGTGATTAGTGGATTATTACTGATCAAGAGTAGATTACAGAGACCCAGAAGTGGCTGGTGGGTGGGTGAGGCCCTTTATGCAGCCATACTATTTCTTGCTCTTATCACAGATCATATTTGGGTTCCAGTGTGGCCCTTATACCAAATTCAGGTTTGTTTGTGGGTGGCGTATGCAATTTCCTTTTGAAAAAGATAATAATGACCAATTTCGTGGGGTATAGCTGGGATCAAGTGACCTTCAATCATGTCATGAAAGTCATCTTTATGGGTATGGGATATGGGCAAAAGAACAGGGGACTTTATGATAAGGATAAGGTAACTTCTGATGGTGACCCGCATGACCAGAAAGATCAATAATTTTATGTCTGCCACCAAAGTTAATTAGTAGGGTGAGATGTATGAATCTTGGTTTCATGTTGGTTAGTTGGTTTATGGGGTTTGATTGGAATTTTTCAGATCGTTTGCAGTGAAGGACGAGATATTCTGCCTGTTTGAAGGTGCACTGGACAACTTGGGCAGCCTGAGGCAGCAGTACGGTCTAGCTAAATCTGCAAACGAGGTTGTTCTTGTGATCGAGGCATACAAGGCACTTCGTGATCGGGCGCCTTACCCTGCAAACCACGTCGTGGGGCATCTCAGTGGCAGCTTCGCCTTCATCGTCTTCGACAAGTCCACCTCCACCTTGTTCGTCGCCTCTGTAAGTACTTACTCCTTCTCTTTTACATCTATCTCACAGTCAAGAAGTTGGTAGTATAAGAATCATGAAATTAATTGGTGTGGTGGGTTGTTGTGTTGCAGGATCAATATGGTAAAGTGCCACTTTCCTGGGGGATCACTGCTGATGGGTATGTGGCGTTTGCTGATGATGCTGAGTTGCTGAAAGGTGCCTGTGGCAAGTCCCTTGCTTCTTTCCCTCAAGGTATCTAATTTGCTGGTTCCTTTCTTGTTCTTGTATGTGAAATGAGAGTCCTTATGCGGTTAGGTTATGCCTAATAGCTGTCTGTCTGCATTGAAATTGGGTTTTGCAGGATGCTTCTTCTCCACGGCAGTTGGGGAGCTGAGGAGCTTCGAGAATCCTAAGAACAAGATCACTGCGGTGCCTGCAAAGGAAGAGGAGATATGGGGTGCAACCTTTAAGGTATCAAATAGCTAGGACACAACACAAATGGTGGTCGTTTTAAAGTGGTTGCGTTGCGTTGGTTTCGATCGATCGCTGATGGGAATCCTGTGGTTGCTGTGTTGTGTATGATCAGGTGGAAGCAGCAGTTCTTGCTGGGTCTAAATAGAGGGAGAGATTGAGGGTGTGTTCGATGGAGAGAATTATCCAGCAACTGAAGAAGAGTCTAATTTATGTAAATACCTACTACCAAAGGGGGAAAAGTGAGAGCAGCCAGTACTGATCTGTGGTCTTTAAGTATATGCGATACTTGGTGTAATGTTTATCTCTGCTTTGAGCTGTAGGTCTGTTAATTGGGTTTGTGGTTGTTGTTGTTGGTGGTGGTGGTGTTTGAGTGTTTGTGTACAGCAGCCTGTGTCCTTTTCCAGCTTAATAAACGAAGCTATGGATCATCCAAGTTTGTTTGCTTGGTGCGTTTCTGGAAATGGTGGATTCAAATTCAACAGAGGTATAGAAATTAGGAACATGTCAACCACCAAACCTGTATATGGTGTTTGTTGGGTTTCACGGAATCTCCAACAGTCTTGTCAGTTACACCGGACAGGACAGAGACTGATTCCAACTTTATTTGTAGTTAGCTCGACGATTTCTCCCATTGTGGCATCAGTTTTGACGTGCAAACCTTGAAATGAGGGTGCAACCACCGATTAACAACGACCAAGGGCTTTTATTTTTCATGGTGAAAGGAGAAATTAGCAGAAAACGTGGGGTTGATACAATTGAGTAAAAATCTATTGGAAGATGCTCAATACATTCTCGAATAATAGAATAGTATATTACGAAAAAGATGTCACATATTTGTACGACTTGATATTTTGATTTCTTTTGTTCTGTTTGTAAACATGCGTGAAGGTAACTTGTTAGGTTCTCGTACAATTTTGTTTTTTGGTACATTATAAATGATTTTTCAAGATGCCACTCACCTTTGGACTACTCACACTAAGCATTTCTAACTTTTAGAGTTCTTTCGAAATTATTTCGTTCCATCCTAAAACACGTCTTCTTATTTAAAGTTGGATCGTTCCTTGAGAACCATAGAACTCTCTCATACTTTGTCGATGTAGGATTTGGCTAATGTGTTACATTACATCCCGTTTGGGACTCCATCGTTGAAGAGGCACACAAAGAAGCTATGATACCACTTGTAACATCCCAACACTTTGCTCACCGTCACCGACGGATCCAGAAAACTATAGAGCACTAGGCCGCATTTCATTAGAAAATTGGATGCCGTACCAAAAATAATGATCATAGTTTTTTTACAATGTCAATTGTACACGACGACAATTATACACAATCTTATTATAAAATAACACTAGCCCGAATGACTTTGGGGCTAGAATTTTTAGGCTAAATTTAGAGTAGTGATTTGAACCATTTTCTAATTATACACAATCTTATTATAAAATAACATTGGACCGAATGTCTAACATCGGAAAATTTATAAAGGGTATACTAACTCCGGATCCAGGGAAAGACTGGGTTGTTGCCCAGGGTGGCCACCCCCTGGATCCTCCACTGCTCACTATGATATTTTTTGTTTTGGGCCTACCTCGCATAGTTTTGCTGTTAGGTGTATAATGGTGTCTCATTTTTATAAGAACTCATTTCACCCCAAAATGAGTATTGGAAGATTGTTCCTTATGAAAAATTTCTCAAATGTTAGGGCAATGTACTTCAATCCTACGTAAAATTGGCTAGTAGGAAAAAAAAATTTGGAATGCGAGGAGCTCTCTCCTCTCTCCTCCTCTTTTGTTCGATCCTCGGCCGGTGGCTATCGAGCGCCGCCGTTGCCTTCTTCAAGGTCAGCCTGGCTAACCAGAATCACTGGATTCCTCCTTCGCCTTCCCTGCGCCGGAGTCGCCTTCGGGAGCGTGGATGGGAAGAGGAACCGTTCGTTAATAGGGAAGGGGGAAATCGCCTGGAATCGGCGAGCCCTGCTCCTTCAAGGGTTTCGACTGGGATGGCCTGGCGTCGAGCAAAAGGGCTCCGCCTGAAAAAACGATCGACTCTTATGGCTTTTGCCGAGATTAAATCTGCAGAAGAACGCCCAACCAAACGATGTCGGCCTGGGCCACGGAATCAATGGCGATTCCGGCTTCCGCATTCGTCAGAGCTGGAAAATGAAGACTCTGGCGCGCCCTCGTTCGCGGGGAGTAAAATAAGCCTTCTTGGCGTCCAATGACAGAATCTTTTCTTAATGATCGAATCAACAATCGGTTCAGCGCTTCTGGACCCTTAGGGGTGGGGACTGCTCTTGTTTCACCAGAGCAAGTGCAAAATGAGAATAGTGTTCCCGGTTCCAGTGTTGAATCAAAAGAAATTCCTTGCGAATTTGTTCGTCAGAGTGATCCCCTCGGGGAGGGAGACTGCTGGGTCATGCAAGGCAGTGCGATTGTGCAGTTAAATCCCATAAACCTCATCCCAAATGTCGCCGGCTCGGAATTGATCGGCCGGATTGACGGCGCCGACGGTGAGCGCAGGCGGGTGGGGGCTCAGTTGCGCAAGGCTGAAATGGATGGATCTTCATGAGATTCTTTCACTGTGCTGGGCGAGAACAGCGGGGTTCTGATCCGATCCTGGGCGAACAAATCGCATCCCCAGCCCAAGACTCCTAATCCAAATCTAAATCGTTCTCTAACTGAAAGCCGGATCAGGGGAGTTTCTCTTTTACTAGGGAACTCGGAGTCCACATCCTATAAATTGCCCTCTCCCCCTGATACCATATATCGATATTCTTTTCGGCACCTTGGGACGACTGGAGAAGAGAGAAGAGTAATCTCCCAGAAGCTGCTCGGCGCTCCAGTTCGGTTTCGAGGTACAGGATTCTTCCCCCAATTCCATTCGCCTGGTTCTACGTTGAGGAATCTCCTCACTTCCGTCTCGGCGACTTCCCATCTTCCTTGGCAGAGCTCTAATTCGAGGATTATCCTCTCCCCTGCCTCGGAGGTAGCCCTCCCCATAGCGAGCATTCCCTTGGCCTCGAGGGTGCTGGCCGCTGCTTCGTCGGGTGCCCGATGGACTTAGGGGCGGCCAGTAATGGCCCATGTGGTCCAAAAACAGTTGATTTAGTGGTGGACAGCCCAACTTCCTCTATATTGGTCCTTGAGGCCACCATTGCCGGCCCAAGAGATTCTTTGGCAGATTTATTTGTGCCTGACCCAAAAGCCCCTTTTCCATTATGCCACTTTATTAGTCTGGTTACAGATAACCCCAGTGATTCTAAAATTTTATCTACCTCTTTGTGGCAGGTGAATACAATGGCTCGTGTAGCGGAGGATCAAGTTGTTGAATTTTCACTCGATGAAGTTCAATCGGTGAAATTTCGTACTTCGAAGACTCTTTTGGGGAGACTATTTTCGGAGACCACTTTCACTACTGGAGAGTTGAGGGAGGGCTTCCTTGAGGCATGGCGGGTGCAAGGAAACCTTCGGGTTTTGGCCACTAAATTTGGCCTTTTTGAAATCAGTCTCCCAAGTGATGAGATGAGGGTTTGGCTCCTAAAAAGATCTCCATGGATTGTTAAGGACATGATTCTAAAAATTCGGTCCTGGACGCCCTCTATCACAAGGCCTATTTTTGATTATTTGGCCATTGCTCCATTACGTGTTCAACTATGGAATGTAAAAGAAGATTGTTGCACGAAGCAATTTGGCCAGAAAGTGGCAACTGGGATTATTGGTCAAGTCTTGGAGGCTGATGTCTTTTCTTCCAAAGACACTGATGAACGCTTTGTGAAAGTGCATGCGCTCATTGATTTTACAAACCTTTGCGGTCTCAATTCATGACGGTTAGTGAAGAGATTGGAAACTTCTGGGTAAATCTCAAGTATGAGTTTTAACCAACCTACTGCTACCATTGTGGCCGAGTCGGGCACTCAAAGCCGGAATGTGTTTATGGCCCCCTTCTAGCAAGGAACGTTTTGGACCTCACATGTCTACACGCAAGCCAGGAAGGAAGATTTATCGGGAGGATGAGGATTACCCTCAGTACCGCAATGCCAGCAAAACAGTGTGGGTGAATAGAAATACCCAATTGCACAAGGATGGGGGTGAGAAGGTTGCTAACAGATTTCCGGGTACTGTTACCCGCCCGCATGCCCAAGTGGCGTCTCATCCACTCCCACAAGAGGTGGAAACCAAGAAGAAGAGAGAGACGCAGACTCGGATGCAGGTCCCAAAGAATATCCCCCTTGGGAGTAGGGCTAGCCCTAAGCGTTTTGCCTTCAAGACGTCTCCTCGGTTAAGATTGGTGGAAGTATTCGACACCAACGGAAGAAGGCATCACCCAGAAAGGTTGTCCCTCCTCCTCGGCAGGGCACTAAGGGACTCCAGCAGCCTGGTCGGCGTGCCAAGCAGGCTTCACAAGGCTAGCAGGGTGTGGGCCAGATGGCGGGAGCTTTCGAGCAATCAAGAAGGCGCAGGTTGATTTTACTAGAGGAATCTGAGGAGGAGGAGGAGGAGGAGGAGACCATTGGTGATGGGTCTAATTTGCGTGCTCCTTTTGGTCCGGCAGAGGACCCTAGCACGAAACTCAGGACTAGCCCGCGTCTTCGAAAAGGAGGAGCAGTCTGCTCTCTTAACTCGCATCACAAGCATGGGGGCTCTACTCCTTCTGGTGATCTGCTTGACTTGGAGGATAAGGATTTTGTTGATTTGGAAGAGCCTGTTGACGTAGATCAACAAAATGACTTTGATTCAGATGAGGATCAACACTCTTTTGAGATCAAGCGACGGTCGCTAGCTGAGGAAACCATGAAAACTCGCCATATCATGAAAGGGCGTGTTCACCAAGTGGTGGAGGCATTTGAAGCTGGGCTAGCTATTGCAAGGGAGGAGGATGATGAGGAAAAGGGAGTGAGTGTAAGGCTGAATGAGTACGGGTCTAATATGATGGACCCTATCATGGAGAATCGGAAACGAGTGCTTGACGAGTTGGAGGGGGATGTGGGTAACCCTCCTACTCCAAAGAAACAGTTTGTGGAATCGACTGATGATCTGGATAAGGTGGAGGAAGCCAGCCTTGAATGGCCCCAGGAGGATAAATGAGGCTTCTCACCTGGAATGTGAGAGGAATTGGGCCGTCCCTCACTTTCCAAACTGTTGTAGGGCTTGTTCATTCCAATAAACCAGATCTCCTTTTCTTCTCGGAGACACGATCGAGCCGGCGTGTAGTATCCCGCCGTATGCGGGATTTAGGTTTTCTGATTTCTCATTGTTTTTTTGTAGATGCAGTCGATGCATCAGGTGGTGTAGTAGTTGCTTGGGCCCCCGGAGTTGACACTTCGGTGTTTTGTCATTCAAATTTCTATGTTTGTTCGCAAATTAATGAAGGAGATTTTTCTTATGTGGTGATCTTTGTTTATATTAGCTGTAATATTGCTATTTGAGCTACCCAATTGGCTCAATTGCAGAACGTGTGTGCAAATATCAATCACCCTTATGTGGTCATAGACGATTTCAATGCTACTCTGCAAGAGAGTGAAAAAGATGGGGGACGGGCGTGGAATGCTGCGCAAGCCTTTAGTCTCCGTGAATTTGTTCATGATTTGGGTCTCCATGACCCTGGTTACCAAGGTGATCAATTTACGTGGACAAATAAGCGCATGGGCGATGCATGCATTCGTGCACGTCTGGATAGAACACTGTGCTCTCAATCCTGGATTGATACTTACCCGGAGACACTGGTCAAACACTTCACGGATCAGGGATCAGACCATCGTGCCCTTCTCCTTGCTGATAAGCCTTATGTTCGTACTAGTCGACCTCTATTCCGTTTTGATGCCCGTTGGGCGGATAATCTGGAGGTAAGGGCCATGGTCAACTATGTCTGGCAGGAGGAGATCCAAGGCACCCCTATGTTTCGGCTATGGGAGCGCCTAAAGAAGCTCCTTCATCTACTCTATGATTGGAGCAGGGCGGGCACAACTAATTCCCTGCGCAATATCAAGACGCTTCAAGCCAAGATTGATAGGATAAAGTCGATCCATCCGGTGGATTGGGATGAGATCAGGGCCCTGGAAACGGAGCTCTCTCACCAGTGGGAAGCGGAGGAGGTTTTGTGGCAGCAAAAATCCAGGGTTAAATGGTTAAAAAAAGGAGATCAAAATTCTGCCTACTTCTATATGGTCACCAGGGCTCGGCGGAAGAGGAATTTCGTTTCCGGGCTTCGAAATGAGGAAGGGGAATGGGTCACTGAGGAAACTGGGAAGGCTTCTATTACCACCAATTTTTACCAGACCTTGTTTACCTCAGAAACTCAGGTTCCTAATATGGCTGAGAGGGTGGCGAGTCTGCCGATTGCCCATAGTGTTACTCTGCAAATGAATGCGCAATTGACGGTGGAGGTTTTGCAGAGTGAGGTTCGGAGTACGGTCTTTGCCATGGGATCGAAACAGGCCTCAGGATCGGATGGCTTCACACGGAAGTTCTTTAAATCTTTTTGGGATATTGTTGGCACTTCGGTGGTTGAAGCAGTAATATCCTTCTTTACTTCGAGTCGGATGCTGCGGAGTTTTAATCATACCTGGCTCACTTTGATCCTTAAAGTGGACTCGGTGGAAACAATTAGACAATTGCGTCTGATTAGTCTCTGTCAGTTTGTTTACAAATTGATTACCAAAATCATGGCTGAGCGGCTGGCTAGCATGCTCCCTCAGATCGTTTTGGAAGGCCAAAATGGCTTTATCGGAGACCGGCAGATTATTGATAATATCCTTATAGGACATGAACTAATGCATTATCGAAAATAAAAAGGCAAGGGAAGAAGGGGTACATGGCTCTGAAGGTTGACATGTAAAAGGCCTGTGATAGAGTCGAATGGCCCTTCCTTCTTGCAATTTTGGATAAGATGGGTTTTAATTCAGTCTGACAAGGATGGATACACGAATGTCTCCGATCCTCCTCTTTCTCGGTTCTAATGAATGGTACACCCTCTGGTTATTTCACTGCCTCTAGGGCCTTCGCCAGGGGGATCCGCTTTCTCATCTCTTGTTTGTACTCTGCACGGAGGGGTTTGCAGCCCTCCTTCGAAAGGCGATTACGGAGAAAAAATTAGAGGGGGTGAAAGTAGCTCCTCATGCTCCAAGAGTCTCGCATCTATTCTTCGCGGATGATTCTTATTTATTTTTGCGAGGTTCTCTGCAGGAGTCCGAGAATTTGATTGAGGTGTTGAATGAATATGAGTAATTGAGTGGACAACGGTTTAATTTGGAGAAGTCGGCAGTGTGTTTTAGCAAAAATATTCCCACACCAGATCAGGAGTTCTTGGCCACGATCCTAGGGGTTGGTGCGGTGGGGGTCCACGATAAATATCTGGGGCTTCCAACGCTGGTTGCTCGATTCAAAATGGCTACTTTCATATATTTGGAGGAAAAACTCCTAGAGCGCCTTCAGGGGTAGAAGCAAAGGACATTATCGTGGGCTGCTAAGGAAACATTGATTAAATCCATAGCGTTGGCTCTTCCCCTTCATGTTATGTCATGTTTCCGTCTTCCCCTGGCTCTTTGTCGTCTTTTAGATAAGCATGTGGCCCATTTTTTGTGGGGTGCTGAGGACGGTAATCCCAAAATTAGATGGGTGTCCTGGCGTAACATGTGCAGGATAAGCATGATGGGGGGATGGGATTTCGTCAGTTCGAGCATTTCAACCAAGCTCTGTTGGCTAAGATAGGCTGGCGTATTCTCAATGAACCTCAATCACTTATTGCCTAGGTCTATAAAGGCAAGTATTTCCCTCAAGGGTCTTTTCTGACTGCGACTGCTAGGTCTCGTCCCTCTTGGGGGTGGCAAAGTATCCTTCATGGGCGTCAGTTATTGGAGAGGGGTTTGAGATGGCAGGTTGGTAATGGCCAATCGATCTCCCTCCTTCATTCTAACTGGATTCCTAGGTACCAACTTGATCCCCCAAGCTATAATCCGCGGATCTTGCCTGAGGGGGGTAATCCCTTGGTGGCGGAGGTTATTTGTGAGGGGGGAGGGAGGTGGTTCGATGAGAAGCTCAGTCAATGATTCGACCCTCCCACCTGTAAGGCTATTAAAGCTATTCCTCTCCCACGTTGGGACGTGCCTGATAAGCTTATCTGGCATTTTACGGTCGACGGGTCTTCTCGGTTAAGTCGGCCTATCATTTGGCTGTCGATTTGGACAGGAGAAGGGGTGGGTGGTGGTCCTCGGTTAGCTGGATGGATAAGCCGAGTTGGATTAGAGTTTGGGAGGCGAAGATCCCTCCAAAGTTGAAGGTTTTTGTTTGGCAAATTCTTAATCAGGCTCTGCCGACTACGAAGGCGCTTATTGAGAAAAGGGTCCAAGTGTTACCTCGGTGTCCATTTTGTTGGGATGGCCCGGAGACAATGGAACACATGTTCCTTTATTGTCCGGTTGCGCGGGCCCTCTGGGATTATTCTGGGCTGGAATACTTGGGGGAGGGTTTGCCTAGGCATACTTTTCTTTGTTTCCCAAACGTTTGTTGGGATTGATCCATCAATCGTCTGTGGTTATGGTTGTTGTTGCCATCCTTTGGAGGATCTGACGATCTCGGAATTGGGTAGTCTTTGAAGGCAAACAATTTGGGATCCTGGCTCATGCGACAGCCAACAATATGAGGAATGGGTGGATCTACCAACGGACCAGGCACCTAGGACTCAAATCCCGATAATGCACTCTACAGCACATGTGAGTGATTCCCATTTGGTTTGCATGTGGGACGGAGCTACTAAGGGTGGGTCACACTTGGCTGGTGGGATGGTTCTTTTTTACCCAATGCAGACACTCCTTCTGGCTAGAGGGGTCCAGTTTTCTCAAATGGATGATCCTGTAGTGGTGGAATTGCTTGTGCTTAGGGAAGCTATTATTTGGTGTTTGGAGCAAGGTTTGTCGGAGGTCCGATTTGAGGGCGATGCAAAGGTGATTATTGACAAAATTAATCAAGCCGACACAAGAGATAGCCGGTTGGGTACGGTTCTGGAAGAGATTGCTCATTCTTTTCGTACTCAGCCTGGTTTTAGTGTGCGTTTTGTAGGTCGGGAGAACAATAGGGTAGCTCATTTGGTAGCTAGGAAAGCCCTCTCTTTGTATCCGACTATGAGTCGCTTCTTTGATTTTCAGACCTGGCTGGCTTCCAGGGTGTAACTGTCTATTTTTTCGATCAATACATGATATCTTTTGACAAAGTAAATAACATCACATTTTGAAGTTTTAACTTCAAAGTTTTACACAGTATACAAACTTGCCCTTCCCCCCAATTGTTGTAGTTCCAGTGATCTTTTTTTTAAGGAGACTGGTCGAAGCGTGTTTTTTTTATTATTATTTTGTTTCAAACGATTACTCTTTAAAAGAGGAAAGAACAAGATCTAACTGAATAGAAAACAGAACTTATAACTAAACAGAACGTAACCAAGACATAAAGTCAAACCTCGCTAATAAACGAGGTTATAAAGACAGAGCCTTATGGGCCACCAAATGAACCATTCTATTGCGATCCCCCCAACGAAATAGTAGATGACAACCACCAAACTGCTCCATTAGCAAGATGATTTCTTGCAGGACAACACCAGCCAAAGCATGAGAAGAATCCCTTGCCAAACATTTATCAATGATGATCTTGTACTATGCTTTTCAGTTTTGGCCCAATGGACATGTGAAGCAAATTTGAGGGCCAACCAGACCAGCGACGATTCAGCCCAACAATATGGGCCTTCAATGTTCTTTTTCTATAATGGAAGGGCCAATTGCGTTCTTGTTCGTGCTTGAATGGTTTGTTGTAGTAGCTAAGCCCAAAAAGGTTTTCCAAGGTTCCCAACCTATTTTCATGATTTGAGGGGCTTCTTCCAAGGTGTTGCGTATGTACTATGTTTGTTCATCAACCATTGTGGCGGAAGTCGAATATATCTTGGTCGCTTCTTGGGATTTGCAAAGACACCAAACTGTTTACTGTCGCTCACTTCATTCTTATGGAGTATCTTGTTCTCATCAAACCCTTTCAGGATCTCTCAATATCATGGTTCTCACACCGGCCGCGTACCACTGGTTGAATCTGGTTCAACCTGTACCGGTCATAAAACCGGTATGACACTATCAGTACGATCGGCATGATCGATATACGAATCTCTAAGTAAAATGATATTATATTAGTGAATTTATTTGATAAAAAGTAATTTATTATTTATTTTATGTGTTAAAAAGTTAAATGTTGATGTTATTTGTTGGATTCAAGTACAAATATTTAGGTATTGACGTTAAATGTCGTGCTTAAATATGAGTATTTGTAATATTAACCGGCATGAACCGGTATGTACCACCGGTCGAACCATTCCACTTGCTAAACCGGCACACTGGCACAAACCAGTTTGACAACCTTGCTCACTATTATTGTGACCGCGTGATGGAATGTCGAGCTTGATTGCACTCCATGAAGGACATCCTTTCTAGCTCGAACTTGATGGAGGTCTCTTACATACCACGACACTAAAATGTCCAAACATATTTGGTTGCTTAAGTCTCTCAGGTATGGGATGCTCATCCTTCGGATTGGATCTAGATTGTGGGTCTCATTTCATTTCGTTTTGATAGGTTGTTCAACTACTATGACTGATGTTCAGAAACCACACTTGATAAGAAGAAAAAAAAAGTTAAGATTGAAAGGCTCGTCATACACTACTCCACTCGATGATACTCGACAGGTCTCGTTATGTGGGGAATAGACGAATGAGCAATTTTTGCTAATTTTTTTTAGTGAATTCTACTTTACATTTGGGAAAGAACTACTTTCAAATTCAATATGAACATTCTAGTTGTTATGATCATCATAGTAAAAAACGCGTTTCTACGTAGAAGCGTTTTGGTGATCCAGAAGGGTAAAATCGTAAGTTTTAAGGTTAAATGCGCGTTTTTAACTACAATAGTCATAAAAACTGTAATTCTGCGTAGAAAGTTTTTTATGACCTAGAAACGTAAAAACGCAAAATTTTAAACTTTAAAATCTGATTTTGACTACATTAGTTATAATTACGATTGAACATTTGTTTTTGCAGTCTTCTTTCGGTTGCGAGTAATTACACAAAGACAAATTTAAAGAACGTTTTAAAATGGACAATTTGAAGCCAATATCATACTATTATGATAAAGAATTTTCGATCGATCAATTGGTGGGTCCGAAGATCTAGTGTGCATTATTTACCTTTGTCGTATACATTCTAAGTTCCTAAGTGCGTGGGGGTGACGACGAAAACAGGCAAAATTCTGGCGTTTGGTTTTCTTTTTCCCCTTAAAATGCTTTCCTTTTCGTCTTTTGTCTTAAATTCATCGTGGGGTTTATTTAAGACCAGTGGAAGTCAGTCTCAGAGACGAGACACACAACGGTTCCCTTCTCAGCTCTAACCCTCCATCCAATTTTCCTACTTCCCAACTTTGAGCTCTCTCTCCCAATTTCATCCCTCCACTCGCTTGCTCGCCCGCTGCCTCTCCTTTATCTACGACTTTCCATTGAAAAAGGTCTGATCTTTTCCTATTCCCTTTTCTTTTCCCCTCTTTATACATCTCAAAGTTCGTCGCTTTCTGTTTTTCCAACTCAGTTTGTGCGCATATTCCGTTGTTTTTTCTCACCTTGTTCACCATCCAACTCGTAATCCTTGCTACTCTTGTATAGGGATTTGCATCAGTTCTTTTGGAAGAGACGACCCAAGGGAGAATCGAGTCCAACAGGTAATCATCTGTAATTTGATTCTTCTTCTATCTGGGTTCTGCTGATTTTGAATCCGGCTCAGTGGGTTTGCTCAAAATTGGACGACTGGGGTTTTAGGGTTGCAGCTCTGGTTCTTCTCTTGGAATTTGCTTGTGGCAAATCAATGATGTTCATGTCACTCTTCTAGGGTGTTCGATATTTTGGTTGTGTTTGGCTTTTAGTTCTAGGGGCATCCAACAATTTGGTAGGGCAGCCCGAATTCCAGTTCCTTGTCCCAACCCATAATTCAGTTTGTTCTTTAGTGTACTGTGAATCATGTGGGGAGCTCTCAGCTCTGCGTTTCACCCTCTCTATGGGAGTTGTCATTGTCACTAGCATTTGTTAGTTAGTTCTAGCCTTTAACTATCAACAAAAAAGCCTTCAGATGATCATGATGTTGGTGAAGAAGCAGTGATATCTAGTGGTCTATAGAGAACCACGTCACATGGGTTTCATCCTCTTTATATTGCACCTCCTCCAATCTTTGGCAATTCGATTCACTGAATCTGACTTGGAAGCTTGAAATGTTTATGAGTATTTGAATATATTTTCTGGGATAAATATGAACAGGGTGGTGGTCATGGATCAACAAGGGCAGCCTCCTGCAGCAACTGGGGTTGGAACTACTGCTCCAGTCCCCTACGGAATGTCTCCATACCAGCCTAACCAGATGATACCTTCAGCTGAGTCTCCAGCTCAGTTAGCACAGCACCAGCTGGCGTATCAGCACATCCACCAGCAACAGCAGCAGCAGCTTCAGCAGCAACTCCAGAGCTTCTGGGCCAACCAGTACCAAGAGATTGAGCAGACGACCGATTTCAAGAATCACAGCCTGCCCTTGGCAAGGATCAAGAAGATCATGAAAGCCGACGAGGATGTGAGGATGATCTCGGCTGAAGCTCCTGTCATATTCGCCAGGGCGTGCGAGATGTTTATCCTTGAGCTCACTCTGCGTTCGTGGAACCACACTGAGGAGAACAAGCGGAGGACCCTACAGAAGAACGATATTGCTGCTGCGATCACCAGGACTGATATCTTTGACTTCTTAGTGGATATCGTTCCAAGGGAGGACTTGAAGGACGAGGTTCTGGCATCTATTCCGAGGGCTGGTGGACTTCCAGGTCCGGCTGAACCTGCTGTGCCTTACTATTACATGCAGCCTCCACAGGTGAATGCTGTTGGTGGGATGAGTGTTGGAAGGCCGGTGGTCGATCAGGCATTATATGGTCAGCCACCTCGTCCTTACATGGCGCCACAGATGTGGCCGCATCAGCAAGAGGAAGAACAGCAGCAGCCACCCTCGGATTCTTGAATGTGGATTGTATAATGGAACTGGTCGTTTGAGACATGGAAAGATGTTCCGAGAAAAGATTTGGTTTTAAAGTAGTGTTTTGGGTTGAATGTCTTGTAAAATTGGGCATTCTTGCTTGGCTGTGTATTCTGTGGTATGTTGTTATGATTGATGCTTTTTGTTTTTACTTTGCACCCTCTCCACTTTCCAATCATTCATCACTTGATTGTCCCATATGATTACAACAATACACGGGTATTAACATGACATATATTTTAAAGACTGATTTAACCTAAGATTTCAACAGCCCATCGTGTTGTATGGATCCACATTCCATCCTTAGAATACCAGAAACGCATTCTTCCGTGGAATCCACAATGGGTCTACCATGAGATGAGACCCATAAGTTGTTTCTTACTAGTGTTTCTTACTAGATGTAAGAGCATCAAAGTGGTATGATTCTTCAGCACAAGGTTTCATCAAAATGTAGCTAATCCTTTCATTATAGTGTTATACATTGCAACTGAACAGAGAAGAACCCGTACATGTACGAAAACCCAGCAACTTACTAACAAGAAGAAGCTTTAGGTGGAAGAAGAACACTATAAAGATGAAGCTCAATAGGCTGGGCAGATATCCTCCAAACTGCAATAATGAAAGAAAAAAGGAAACGACCTTCAGTTTCGTCGCACCTATTTTGAAGGAGACGACACGAATTAAAGAAGCCAAATTCATTACCTTCTTCCCAGACACTCGATGATATCAGTGGTTAGAGTCGATCTTTTTCGGGTCTCGAAAGCGAGAGATGCAGCCTTCCTGAGTAAAGCTGAGCCGGCAATGCAACCTAGAACAGTTGGATTCCTGTCAGCAGCTACGAATGGTTGGCGTGCCCAAGATAGAAATACTGCAACACTAGTACAACAAAAAAGAGAGATAATCAATGACTAACTTTCCTTTGTAAACACAGGCATATAGGGGTGGTACATAGGGTGGGGTTGGTGAGTTTGTTGGTTGGGTTTGAGGGTTAATACGGTTGCAGGTTGGTTGTAAATGGTTTCAGTTGGTTGCCAGGAAATTAGTTCATGGGGAGCGGTTACGGTGCTAATTGTACAATAGTTAGCACCGTCCCAATCAAGGGAAAAACTACTACTAGTTTGAATTAGTAGTGATTTAGCTTAGATGTTGTATTGATTTTATAATAATCCGTAATGATTTCGTTATTTTTAGTAGCGTTTTTTGCTAGTTATCACGGTGCTAACCCCTATAAGGGTTAGCACCTAATCCCATCCCATTCATGGGTTGATGACATACTGGTGAATATTTGAAGTGGTTTGGAAGTATCGGTCATCTGTCAGGTCTAAGAGCTTTAGGTTAAAGAGTTAGAACTTTTGTTATTGAACAGAGTGTTACTATGAAGTCACCCTCATATGATTGATCGAATAAGATCAGTCACTCACCTTCCAGTTCCCCACACCGCCGAGGCGACCCATAGATGCTCACCGAGTTCACTGCATAAAAATGACCCAGTTGAGCAATTCTCATACAGCAAGAGAGACGCATATAAAACTGAATTTGATGTGTCAACCAGTTGGTTCCATACCTATATCACCATCACTTATGAGGTCAGATCTTCCTTTCCTTAAGATGGTTACACCACCAATCCTGACCAATATAAGTCAGTACGTAGAACCTTGGGCTAGCTAATAAGGCCAAGCAAACCGTGCTGTTTTCACTCACTGTTTAGCAAGAGATGATAATTGTGTGTGTGCATCAGCATCATCGACCTCGCATTTGAGAACCGTCTGAACCAGTCGCTTGTATTCATTCACGTTGGGGGTTAGAACGGCCAAGGGATAACCATGAACCAGATCAAGACTGTTTGTTACAAGAAAGAGTCCATCCTGCAAGAAAAATGCACTTCCTCGCATCAGAGTCAACATGCGGGAAAAAATCATAAGCCCTCTTGTCAGAGACCAATTTTGATTCATCTGAACACAGTTGCATACCCCATCTACAACAATTGGAACATTCGAATGCCTTGCCTGCTTCATGATCTCACTGACACAATCCTACATATATTGCACCGGTTTCAGTACGTAACCACAAGAGATCATATACCTCGAAGGTTAAGAGATACAAACCAGAAGAAATGGGTCCCTTCCAAGACCAGGCCCAACCACAAGACAATCGAATCTCTCCATCCATTTATCGACCTCAGCTACAACTTTTGCTGATACTTGCTTTCTCTCTTCCTCCCTGAAAGATTCGAATTTGTAACATAGACTTCACATTCTGCTCACTAACCAGATTTTCTGCACCATCAATGTAATGTAAAGCTGAACAAACAGAATACCTCACACTATAAGACTCCTCCAAAATCGGGTGAACGATCAACTCTGGACTATAGCTCTTGATAACAGGAGCAGCATCTTTGGTACAGAACACATGAGACAGGTCTGCACCCTGCCAACCAACATAACACACCATTAAGTTACTCCGACACACCTTTAGACTAAAAGAAAAAGAAAAAAAGTTTCATCAGAGAAATAGGAGATGTATAGCTAACGATTTTCAAGGCCGAAATAGCAGCAAAGTAAGGAGCTCCAGTGTACTCCCGGCACCCTCCAATCACAGCTATTTTCCCTGAGCGAACAATTAATCCAAACCCAGTTGGAAACTACAGACAGAGTGAAACTGAAACCAAAGTCATAATCTTTATACTCCAAATTTTCTATTTACCCGCCTGGCCTTTATGTCGAGTTAAATCCAAAGTAGGAGTGATTGCTCTCAAAATGCTCACAGCATCAGCCTCAGTTTCTTGCATTGTACTGCCGGCAGTAGTACTATGAACTTTATTATGAACACCTCCTCTCAGTGCCCTAATCAAGAAACTCTGCCTTCTCAGAACAGCATCAATTGATGAAGCGAACGAGTAACTCCGGGCAATGCTCAACGAGGTTAACTGATTCATTCCATGGTTAACTAACATCACCAAACTCCACCCAACAAGCGCAAGCCTCCCTTTTTCTACAATAAATCTAGACACCAAATGGTCATAACGAATTCCATTAACCACTGATAGTAATCGATATGTACTGCAAATAACTCTCAGCTTCGCCTAAAGAAACCAAGCACCGGCGAGGGGAGAGAAGCTTCTATGACTGGTGTTAAAGTTAGAATAGCAAAATTGGACTGAATGGTACCTGTCAAAATCGCGGCCGGGAATCAAAGGTAGTCGGAGATTGTGTCGATGACTGATTCTGCATATTTCATCGGCAGGTTGCTCGGTGGGGTTCTAGACTAAAAGAGCGGAATTGGGGTTCTGCCGTTGAGCTAGTTTCCTTCGTCAGCTGACTCAGCACTTGGTTTAGCTGTGGTGGCGGCCACGGCAACTTAGTTATGCTGCTCACAGCATAAAGTGTGAGTATCTGCTCACACGGTGGATCTGTTGTCCACGTGGGCGAGGGTCAGATGGCGCTGGGTTTGGGTTGAGGAAGGGTTTGCCGGTTTGGGTCGGCTGGTCGAGCCCATGGCTGACCAAGCCCATCGGGCCCACAATTTCAAAAACCAAAAACTGAAACACCCCTTTCCCCCATTTCAGTTTCTCAATTCACTCTCCCCCCACTTCGACTTCCCCTCTCTCCCCCACTTTCCTCCTCTCACGAAAACGAAGCGGCTGGTAAAACGAAGCGGCGGCGACGAATTGAGCGGCGGCGACGAAGGAAGCGGCGGCGAGGCATCAGCAAAGCGCCGGCGAGCGAAGCGGCGGCGACTCTCCCCCACTTCGACTTCCCCTCTCTCCCCCACTTTCCTCCTCTCACGAAAACGACGAAGAAGCAAGCGCTGCGGCGGCGACGAAGGAAGCGGCGGCGAGGGACCAGCAAAGCGGCGGCGAGCGCTGCTGCGGCGAGGGAAGCGGCGGCGAGCGAACCGGGATTTCGGCGGCGACGAAGGCGGGGCTTTCACGGCGGCGAAGATTTGGACTAAGGTAACTGTCTTTATACTTTGTTCATGGGTTTTCCTTTTGTTGATTTGTCTTCATGGATATTCATTTTCGTTTGGATAGATTTGAGTTAGGGTTTCATGGCTATGACTTGATCTGGGTTTTCCTTTTGTGGATTTGTCTCCATGGATATTCATTTTCGTTTGGATAGATTTGAGTTAGGGTTTCATGGCTACGATCGGGTTTTCCATTTGTGGATTTGTCTTTTGGTTTTGTGGATATGAGTTCGTTCTTCTGTGGATGTTATTTCTGGGTTTTGTGGATATGCTTTGTGTTCATTCTGATATTAGTTCTGTTAGGCAAGATATGCGTTCTGTTCCTTCTGGATATCCGTTATTTATTGACTGTGTTGTCGTTTGATGTATCTTGATATTTGTTTATTTTGATCATGATATCAGTTATGACTTTCTTGGATAGTTGTTTGATTGGATCTGGGTATTTGTATGTGCAGATATTTAACAATGGCAAGGACTAAAACAACCAAGAGGAAACAGCGACCGACTCCACGACAGCCACCACCACCGCCCCAGCCAGATGAAAATGAAGAAGAAGAAAATGTTGAAGTCGAAGAAGAAGGAGCTGCTAAAGAAGCTGCTGAAGTCGAATCAGGTGGAAGTGCAGAAGAAGATGCTGAAGCTGAAGTAGAAGGAGCTGAACAAGGAGCAACTCGAGGTCAAAGCAAGGCGAGGTACAGATTTCGGTGCACTCTAAATCTCTGCTACATGTTATAATCTGTTTTGTGTGCGTTCTGATATTATTTATTTTGATTCTGGATATCCATTGTGTGTTGCTTGGATTGTTTCTTTGATATTTCTGGATAATTGTTTTTAATCAGCATGATATGGGTTCTGACTTGCCTGGATAATTGTTTGATATATCTGGATATTGATTTTGGACAAGTATGATATCCGTTGTGACTTGGCTGGATAATTGTTTGATATATCTGGATATGTGTTATTAACCAGCATGATATATGTTGTGACATGCCTGGATAATTGTTTGATATATCTGGATTTTTGTTTTTTATCAGCGTGATATCCGTTGTGACTTGGCTGGATAATTGTTTGATATATATGGATATGTGTTATTACCAGCATGATATATGTTGTGACATGCCTGGATAATTGTTTGATATATCTGGATATTGATTTTGGACAAGCATGATATCCGTTGGGACTTGGCTGGATAATTGTTTGATATATCTGGATATGTGTTATTAACCAGCATGACATATGTTGTGACATGTCTGGATAATTGTTTGATATATCTGGATTTTTATTTTTTATCAGCATGATATCCGTTGTGACTTGGCTGGATAATTGTTTGATATATATGGATATGTGTTATTAACCAGCATGATATATGTTGTGACATGCCTGGATAATTGTTTGATATATCTGGATATTGGTTTTTGATGAGCATGATATCCGTTGTGACTTGGCTGGATAATTGTTTGATATATATGGATATGTGTTATTAACCAGCATGATATATGTTGTGAGTTGCCTGGTTAATTGTTTGATATATCTCGATATTTGTTCGTGCAGGGCTAAGCTCACCGTGAAGAGACCACGACAAAATCCATCGCCGTCACCACCGCCACAGCTAGAGGAGGATGAGGAAGAAGAAGATGCTGAACTCGCAGCTCAAGTTCGTGCACAGGCCCGCGTTCCACAGGCCCACGTTCTAGGACAAAGCAAGCCGTGGTACAGATTTCGGTGCCACACCAAATCTCTGCTAGATGTTATAAAATACTGGAAGGAAGAGCCAAGGTACTACGAAGCATGCAAGAAGGAGTTGGAGAAGGCAGGATTTGGAGGGCTATTGGAGCTTCCGGATTTGGAGGGCTATTGGAGCTTCGTCTGGCAAATGTTCCTAAGAAGTTGTTCGATTCCTTGATGGCACAGTTTGATGTGCAGACCCATTCATTCATTTTCGGTGAAGGGGATAACAAGAAGGTGCTTACCATCGAAGCTGAGGATGTTGCCCGTGTATATGGGCTGCCTATTGGTGGTGCTGAGATTGATGTCGTCAAGTCTAACGACAAGATGCTTGAAATGTTCAAGGAGGAGCTCAACATGGAGTGTACTCGTAGTCGAAATGTAGAAGTTATGGATCTTAGAGAGGAAGCATGTGGTGGTCCAGATGATGCACCGAAAAGGAGACCACCTGTTTCAGCAGCGGTGAAGCAATTTTTGTTGCTTGCTCTTGGTTCAATGCTTGCCCCAAAGATGTCCAAACTTTGTGATCTCGATTATGCAGAGTACATGGTTGGAAGGATGGAGGACATTGCCACTTTTAATTGGAGTGGTTTTGTTGCTCGTAATCTGAAGTTTGAGTTGGGTCGGGTTAAGGAAAATGAAGCTGATGCTAGGGCGCGTGGGAAACAGCAATGGCCCCTCGGAGATATCCACTTCTTAATGGTAACTTCTACTTTAATATTGTTGATATTTTTTATTTGATGGTTGATATTAGTTAACATTCTAGGGATAATAGTTCATTTCATTCCTGATATCTGTTGTGAACGTTTTTTGTAGATCCATTTGCTAGACTTCCTTAATGTGAGAGGGTTTGCCACCAAAACCATCCCGACATGCAGCTATTGGTTCGACCCAAGGGTGGATAAGGTGTGCTCAAATATCCCCAAGGTAGCTGACAAATATATCATGGGTCCCATGTTGTTGTCAAGGGAAGAAGTGAGATCCCGCTTCCGTCCAGAGCGTGTCAGGAGGGATTGGGAATCAGGATCGAGCAGCTCGGCTCCTGCTACTGATTGGTGGGCGGATGTCGACTTGGAATCCCTTGAGGACGATGAGGTATGTAGATCTTCTCTTTGCATCTCAAAATCGTGGGTTAATAGACATGGGGTGCATGTAGCGAACTAAATTTGTTTTCAATATATGTGTAGCTTAAGGCATTGGAGTCATTGACTGAAAAAATGGTGGATGTATGGGAAACAAGGCGGGATAGAATCTGGAGAGTCGTCATTATGCGCCATCAAGGAAACAATTGAACTTTGCAATTCTCTTCTGTTTAAGTGGTTGTAATGTTATTGTTAGGATGTTATATTTGCCATGTTGGAATGGCTGAACAAAAGTTTGTTTTCTTGTTAAGAATCTGTTACTTTTATGTATTGTTGGTTCTGGATACTATTTCTTTTCATGATTGCTTTGAACAAAAGTTTGTTTACTGTATCGAATGATGAGATCCGAGTTTGGATATTACTTTGTTCTGTCTGGATAATAGTTGCACGCCGTTTGGATATTATTCTTTCCTGTCTGGATAACAGGCGCCTCTTGTGTCGATATTCCTCTGTGTGGTCTGGATAACAGTTGTTAAATGTTTGGATGTTACACTGTGCTTTATGGATAACAGGCGCCTCTTGTCTGGATATTACTCTGTAATAGTTGGATAACAGGCGCCTCGTGTTTTTTCAGCGACCAAAGCGAAGAAGGAAGAGGGGCAGATTGGCAAAATTGGGTCCCGTGACCAAAGGGGAAATGGAAAAGGAGGGTATCGTGAAAGGCAAGAATATGTTCAGCCATGTGTACTCTCGGAGAATATGTGAGAAGACTCAGGAGGAGGCCGAGGTGGTTCTGGAGCCAGATACAGTTGTCGAGCCTGAGGTGGATGTGGAGTTAGAGGTTGAGTTGGAGGTTGAGCCAGAGTCGATTGTCGAGCATGAGGTGGAGGTGCCTGTTGTTGAGTCGGGTATTGATGTGGAGGTAGCTATTGTTGATCCGGAGGTTCGGGAGGAGCCTGTTGTTGATTCGGAGGTTCGGGAGGTAGCTATTGTTGATCCGGAGGTTCGGGAGGAGCCTGTTGTTGATCTGGAGGTTCGGGAGGAACCTGTTGTTGATCCGGAGGTTCGGGAGGAGCTTGTTGTTGATCCGGAGGTTCGGGAGGAGCCTGTTGTTGATCCGGAGGTTCGGGATTCGGAGCCACCTATTGATCCGGAGGTTCGGGATTCTGAGCCAGATGTTGATCCGGAGGTTCGGGATTCGGAGCCACCTGTTGATCCGGAGGTTCGGGATTCTGAGCCTGCTGTTGATCCGGAGGTTCGGGATTCGGAGTCCATTTTTGGTCAAGTGAATGTGATGGAGATTGCTCTCCAGAGCGCTGCTGCTGCTGAAGAGAGTATAGAGACATCCCCGACTACGGTAAATTTTGGAGGATACCAGTAGTGTCTGTTCTTCCTGGATGTTTGTTTCGTTTTCTGTGGATACTAGACTGTTCTTCCTGGATATGTGTTTCTGTTTCTTTGGAGACTAGCTTGGGCTTCCTGGATATGTGTTTCTGTTTCTTTGGAGACTAGCTTGGGCTTCCTGGATATATGTTTCTTTTTCTTTGGATACTAGCCTGGAAAGCCAGGATATTTGTTTTGTTTTCTATGGATATTAGTCTTTTAGTCTTGGATATTTCTTTCTTTTTCAAAGGATATTAGTTTGTTCTCCCAGGATATTTTTTTCGTTTCTTTGGAGACTAGCTTCGGCTTCCTGGATATATGTTTCATTTTCTTTGGATACTAGCCTGGAAAGCCAGGATATTTGTTTTGTTTTCTATGGATATTAGTCTTTTAGTCCTGGATATTTCTTTCTTTTTCAATGGATATTAGTTTGTTCTCCCAGGATACTTGTTTCGTTTTCTCTGGATATTTGTTTTTTGTTCTATGGATACTAGCTTAGGCTTCCTCGATATTTGTTTCTATTTATTTGGATACTAGCCTGGAAAGCCAAGATATTTGTTTTGAATTTGTGGATATTTGTCTGTTGTTTTGCAGATACCTTCCGAGGATACTACTACTGTGTTCGATCCTTCTACTGAGGTTCTGACGCAAGGTGAAGCAGCACCATCATAGGGGGAGCTTATAGCAGCAGCATGCCAGAGGATGCTGGAGGATAGCGATGATGATATTCTCGTAAGTGAGAGGCCTATGACTAAGGAGGTGGCAGAGTTTATGCACTCTATTACACCAGAAGCATGGAAGGCAACTTTAAAAACTCCTGCATTCGAGAGATCAAAACACCACCCAATCGACTCATCAGTGTACGTTTTGGCAAAGTCTCTGTCGACGAAACTCGACGCTACGGCACTGCAAGTGGTTGAGTTCATCTTCAGTACCACAGCTAAAGATGAGTAAGTTGTCATGTTTCCTTCTTAAATCGCCAATTTCAATCTGTCAAATTCATGGCTACTAACCTGGTTTTTCATTTTGGTTTTACAGTCACAACTATATCGTGGAAACTCCAAAGGGCAAGCTTAGCCGTTGCCAAATTTTGTCGTTGAAGCGTAAAAGTTGGGTTCATTTCCAAGTAATTATAGTATACGGGCAATTCCTAAATGCCCAAGAGGAACGTAAGGAGCTGGTAAAGAGAATTGTCTTCCCGTGGACATATGTAGTAAGTATTTATCTTCACTACTTAGATCATATTTATGTTGAAAATGTCTAATTTGATATTGTTGTCTCTTCTAAATAGAATTATGCCGTCACTAATGCTACAAAAAAGCAGCCCATGGACAAGGCGAGAGTCTCGGGGTATATTGCCTTGATCAAGAATAATCCTTTGTTGAGATATTAATCTGGGTTGTTGAGATATGAATTTGGGTTGTTTCAGATCTTCTTTCCAATGTATCGAGATGATCACTACCGAGTGTATGTCGCTGACATGAAGAATAGGAAGACTTTCCTACTGGACAGCCAAAAGCCCAATGCCCGAGTGGCTAAGGAGGATCATGGACCAGTGGGGAAAGTGATATTTGAGTATGTGTCAGAGTTCTTGAAAGAGCAAGGGGTCGATTGTCAATTGGATGAGTGGGAATTCAGCATTGCTGACGTTCCTCAGCAATTTGGCAACCATGATTGCGGTGTATTCGCTTGCCTTTACATGGAGCTATGGGCGGGTCACCTTCCGGTGGAATGTAAAAAGAGTTGGCAGAAGCCGGAACATGTGGAGGAACAGAGAACACGGATTGCAGCTAACCTCCTGCTATGGAACTATAACGGCCACAAGGAGGCAATAATTCAAGAAGCGAAAGATTGGAGTATGCAGAAAGAGAAAAGGAAAGGGAAAAAGAAGAGAAATTGACATGTGATTCCTGGATAGTTTATACTGTTTAACTTAGGAGGTTCATATTTAGGAATGGATGATGGTTCATATTTAGGATGGAGGATATTTTGGTAGATATTGACATGTGATTCCAGGATACGTTTTTGTGTTGCAGTGGATATTTAACCACTTGTTATGGATACCTGTCTAGGCAAACTTGATATGTACTGGAACATGTACAGATATTAGTTTAGGCTCCCTAGATATTAGTATTAGCAGCAGCAAGTACAATAGTATCAATGATTACTTCTTTCACTATTCACATGTGACCTCTTTTCTTACTGTACTCATGTGATCTTTTTTGCTACTACTGTACTCATGTTACCCTTTTTGCATTTGTCTATTTAAGACAAATCATACACAACCAAATTTCTTCACTATCCTCCACTCTCAATTTCTTCACTTCTCTTCCAAAGAAAAATCCATGTCCGGAGAAACTCCTAAACCTGAGCGCCGGTTTTTGGTGGATGAGTTCGAATATGATGGTGTATACTATGTTACCATGGTTGGAGAGCTGCTAAGAGACTAGTTGTTGATGGAGTCAACCCACCAAAGAGGTATTTCCGATGTCGGATGTACGAGTACGACAATGATAACGGGTGTGGGTTTCACATGGATTGGGACGAGGCAATGTTCCCCGGTTTTTCAGAGTCAGATGAAGAAGACAACACCGAGGAGACCGTGAAGAAATGAAGGGTATCGTTCTGGGCAGTATTGATATTAGTCTGTGTGTTTGGGATATCTGTTTAGTTTCATCGGATATCTGTTTGTGAACTTCTGATATTTGTTTAAATAAAGAAGGTATTTGTCTGTGCAGTATGGATATTTTTCTGTTCTTCGAGGAAATTAGTATACAACCCTAAATAGCATCCATCCCTAAATATTATTGGTGCTATTCCCTTCTAATAAATATCTACGAAGCATGGACTAATATCTACCTACACTTCTAATAAATACTGATATCCACGAAGCATGGACTAATATCTACCTACACTTCTAATAAATATCCATATTGCCCAGAACGTTATCTGTTACAATTTGATTAATATCCACTTCATCAAAAAACGTATCCTGGGTTCACATGTCAATATCAGATCACAATAGATCACACTCGACCCACCCAACATTATATTCATTACCATTGAGCAATAGTATCATCCAAATCACTGAGATGGTCATCCGGTTGAGTATTGTTGTTCGGCGTGACCGCTTCATTTGATGCCATTCCCTTCCTATAGACACGTTTCTTTCGACGGCGTTCTTTTTCATTCATAGACTTGTAACGTTCCTTACCGTTGCTCCTTGGATTACTCTTCTCCTTCAAAGTCAGCCCAGTTATCGGTATAGATCGTCCTACAATGTTACAAAATTTAGTAAATGCAATAATATTAAACTCCAACAATTTACAAATAATATTAGTGAATACACTTACTGTCCTCGCTAGTAATAGTCTTTGACAATGCCTTGTTTGCCTCATTGCACACTTTCTCGAGTACTCCCATCCAATTATTGTAGTCTTTCTCCTCGGCCATCGACAGTTTCGTTGCTAGTTGATTCAACATTGCAGTGGTTTCTCGGTACCGCATTGCTATACCTATTCCTGCATCATTCTCACTGTCAGCTGAAGGACCAACACAACCATCGACATCAACAACCACTTTCTTTCTCGCCTCCAACGTCCATCGCTCGAGTATGTAATGATCTGGAATACTTCTCATACTGGCTTCCCCAAAATCTCCAAGATGCCGCATCACTTTAATCATGTGGCGGCATAACACTCCGAAAGTTCTGAACATCCTGCATTCGCATACCAATGTCCTCGTAGAAATATCAACGAGAACGACACGCTCATCACTACGCTCACCATCCTCTATCATATATGTGAGGTAGCCAGTCATGCCATCATCCCTAGTATCTGAGAGAGTCTCCATTATATAGGGTTCAGTTTTCAAATACTGCTTTTGTATCCGATTGAAGATGTCAGGAGTAAAGACCTTTGCCGCATGTTGTAGGATTGGGCTATCCTCCAACATAATATAAGGAACCGATTGTTTCCCATTGTAGTCTGACTCAGTCTCCTTTCGTCTTTTTTCAGCCAACAAACTACATTAACAAAGCACGATAAAGAATTTATTGCCCAGACTAATATCCACTCAAACCAATACAAATATCGCAACTACACAAAGTAATATCTGTACAATAGCATATAAATATCCGGAAAACGCTGAAACATATCCAAAACTTGAATGGACTAATATCAAAGAAAGGCAAAGAAATATTCTGCATACCTGCTAAAGTGAATGAAAAACAAGTCCAAATCATGCTTCGGTTTCAAGAAAAGTCGCACTTGTGCATTGCATGACTCGCTGGCTTGCGTAGTCAACATCCTGGCTGTGAATTGATCTCTCAACCATAAGGAACACCATCGACGACGAAATTTCTTCAAATATTCCAACCATGGGTGACCGTCTGCAATTTCACTATTAGGGAAACAATCAGCAACCATTGTGCTCCAGGCCATGTCGAACTCTCTCTCACTGTCGATGTCGTAGAAAATATAAGAAAGATGAGGTTGGAACTTCTTCCAAAATGCCTTGTCCTTACGAAGATGCTTCTTCGCATTCATGAGGATGTGCCAAGTACAGAGGCCATGAAACACAGTAGGCCACTCCTTTCTAAGGGCAGCAGCCATGGCGGCGTCCTGATCAGTAAAAATAGTGACTGGGAGCTTCTCCTTCATGCACCGACTAAAAGCTAAAAACAACCATTCAAAAGACGGTGTAGTCTCATCATATATCAAACAAGCACCAAACACACAAGTTTGACGATGGTGGTTGAAACCTACAAACATCCCTGCACAAGACAACTATTAATGACAATGCATAACCGAACGAGTGTCAAAAAAACTTAGGGAATTAGGAATTGATATTGTCCCAAAACATGTCAACAAATATCTGTAGAACCCAGACTAGTATCTCATAATGCCAAACAAATATTCGTCCTATTACCAAAACATATCCTGTGAGGCCATGTCAATATCGGATCACAAGAGTCCACTCTTGAACCACCCAACACTCTATTCAAACATCCATGCTCCTGACAACTATTACAACCAATCCATAACCGTACGTGTGTCGAAAAAAATCAAGGCAATTAAGTGATTAACGTACCTAGTGGACGGAAGTATTTATTGGTTCGGAAGGTGGTATCAAAGGAGACCGAATCTCCAAAAAGCGCATAATCTTCACGCATCCTACTGTCCGCCCAAAAAATATTAGCAATTTTCTCCTCGGAATCTACCTCTACATCATAAAAGAAGCCAGGATGCTTTTCCTTTTGGTCCTCAAAGTAGTCAAGCAAATAAGTCGCTTCGCCACGAGCCATTTTCCTTTGCCTTCTACTGTTCAAGTGGTTCTTCTGATCGTATTTGGAAAATTTCAGATTTTGATAGCCACCAGCACAGTCAGCCAATAACTGATACGATGCACTAAGACTCATCCCGGCATCGCGATTAGCTTCGGCCATCTTTTTCTGAGCATCACTCATGCACTTGTTGGACTTGATAAGGTGCGTATGCTCGGTGGAGTGCAAATCATGATTGTGGCCTCCCACAAATTCATACACCACATATCCGTCTCTAGATTCATCCCATCGAAAACGAACACGGGCACTGCATCCAACCCTAACTCGAGGCCTCTTTCTTTTAGGACGCTTTGTCTCCACAACTTTGTCTTCGGACTGTTTTTGTTTCTCCACATCTACTTCGCTAGTGGAAGTCCAACCTTGCTTATTACAAAAGTAATAAAGGTATAAATATATTTTCTCCACCTCTCCATTAGAATTCTTCATCTTTTTTTGGTGTTGAGCACCATTTCGAACACCAAAACCCTTTTCGTGAGCATAGCGTTTATAGAAAGCCAAACACTCTTCCTTAGTCCGATAAAATATGTTCTTCCTCGTTTCCTCATCTTCTAGGTACGATGTCTTGTGAGCTGCGATTTAATTGTATGAGGCCATGTTAGTATCCACATTTAACTTGCCCAGACAATTACCCAACATGCCCACAATAGTATCAAATAGACGTCTAAATCATACTCATAAACAGACTGAATTCTTAGGCTTCGACAAGTATCCAACCTTTAATTACATCGTATCCTTTTGTTCCATAAATGTATCAGTAGCCTCCACCAAAATATCCAATATACCCAGAATAATATTTAACCTATCACTAAACATATCCATGACACTCTAAAGAATATCCATACCCAAAAACCAAAAAAAATATCAACCACTTTCAACACGTCCATATTAATATCCAACATGCACAGGTAAATATCTTAGATGCTTTTACAATGTATCCATGACAACAGCAAATAATATCCACACCCAAAAACCCAATGAAACAGGAGGTTACACCCAAAATAATATCAACACCATTAAATAACATTCAATGTACACAACAAAACTCAACAACACAAACATATATATAATAGAATCCACCTTCACTCTCTTCTTCTTCTTCTACAATGAAGTCACCAACACCATCTAAGTCTTCATCAACAAATTCATCTATTGTAGGATCGAGTTCTTCTTCTTCTACAATGAAGGCAGCCACACCGTCCAACTCGCCGTCGTCGTCGAAAATCATCCTTTGTCCAGATGATCTGCTCGCCGGAAGGAGAGGGTCGCCGGAAGGATCTGCTCGCCGGAAGGAGAGGCTGCCGGAAGGAGAGGATCGCCGGCAAGAAGAGAGGGGACGGCAAGGTTGAGCGGCGGCGAGTAAAGGAAAAAAGGAGAGAGAGAGAGAGGAAAAAGTGGAAGTGGTGGTTGAGATGATCATAAATGCTCTCCTTCCCCTTTTGTTCAACAAATATCCAACCTTCCTCCTTTTTGTTCAGCAAAATCCCGCCCAAAATTGCCTTCACCAAAGAAAAATGGGCCGAAAATTAATTTGATGTGCCTTCGGCCCATGGGCCCTCGGCGGGCGGCCCTTACTAGGCTGCAAGCCCACCCCGAATTATATCACTCTTCTCCCACTTTCCCGCCCATATTTTGGCCACCCCAAAAAACTGCCCACCTCCCGCCCAGGTTTTCAGGCCGCCCAAAAACCGCCCACTTACTCCGCCCATAATTTCGGCTCGCCCAAAAAAGCCCCAAGCCCTCTCTCCTCTCGGCTCATGTGTCAGTGAGTATCTACTCACACTTTGGCCTGTGAGCAGTTTAACTTTTTTCCGGCCACGGAGGAGAAATGATCAAGACTAGGCAACGCCGTTTCGGCTGAGGTGGTTGGCCTTGCGTATGGGCCAGGCCTGGAATAAGAGCTAACCATTAACTCATTCGACTCCATGAACAGAATTAAGAAAGGCTTCGGCCCAAACAGGAAGCCAGACAAAGTCTCAGCCGTGGATCGTTAGTGGTGTCAACGAGTGGGAAATCCCGGCGACTGCCTAGGAACGAAGGGAACGCGGAAGCAGAGAAGCGCCGTCAATTCCAGGCGGCGATTTCCTCGAACTACCAGTACTGCTTTCTGCTCCAGCGCGGTGGAGCAGGAAAGGAAAGGGGAAGGCTGGAAATAAAGATGAGGCAACAGACGAAGCTGAACGCGATTCGATCAGGGCTAGTGGTGATGGGGGCTTTAGCTTTTGGGTACTTGACAATGGAGATCGGCTTCAAACCTTTCCTCCTGAAAGCGCAAGAAGAAGAGCGACAGAAACAACAACAACAAGAATCTCTCACTCCTCAAGAAAAATCCCCAACCCACGAGTCGTATTGATTTCCAGGTCTGCTTTTGTTGCTTCAATCGAAAGGTTATAGAAAATCTGCATGGGATCTAGCAAAGGGAAGCGTGCTTTATCAACATTCATACCTATGCTCATTTGGGTCGGTAGATTATCGCTTTTTCTGTATCCATTTACTGAAGATTTTGTACCCAGTGTTGGTCGTTCCTGGTTAATGTTATCATATTTTTATCTTATCCCAGCTGGGGAAATGGGACTGGAAGAAGGTTTTAAAAACAAGAGATAAAGTTGAGCAGTTTCTTACATGTTGGAACACTCAGGTATTCTGGAAAGGTAAAATCTTGCATAAATTCTCTGTGAAAACAGTATGGAAGGACCTGAGAATGGTTGCCCCTAAAGTAGCTTGGTATGCTTTGACATGGGAGCACTACTGTGTGCTCAGACACAGTTTAGTTAGTTGGCTTGTGATAAAAGACAGGATATATACAAGGGATAAGCTGAAGCTGTGTGGGAAAGTCTCTGATCACAGTTGTGTGCTTTGCAGCAGAGGCCATGAATCCAGAAATCAGTTGTTCTTTATGTATGTATTCCAAGACAGTTTTGCAGAGCTGCTTGCAACTTCTTCAGGTGCAGTACATGGGGTTCTCTCAGTATGATCAGTATGTGCAGACTGCAGTGGGCGATTCCGAAGTTTTGGGGTAGAAGGCCGAGGCTAAGATTGAAAGATTAATGTGGAATGTTATGGTAAGTTTGATATGGAGGGAAAGATGTAGTATTTGCCATGGTGGACATGCTGTTTCTCAATAACATTTAGTCCACAGGATTAGGAGTACTCTTGAGCTGGTTTGTCTGGGGAATAGTCAATTGCAGAGTGACTGTCATCTTACTGGTATTGTTTTGTGTTAAAGTCGAAATTAGTATGGGCTGTTGCTGGTTAGGTACGTGAGTAGATAGAGTTCCTCATTGTTTGAGTTCTTATACTGTAACACTTCAGATTGGATTCTCGAATTGAGAATACCATAGGAGCTTCAATAATAGTTTTGATTAACCATAAAAAAAAACGAAATGAGACTAGAATTTCACCATTGATAGACTCTGTAAATTGGACACGTGAGCTCAATTCAGATAAAGATACAGGTTTTTTTATGGCTTTCTGAATCCCATAATAATCACTTGCTTCTCCAGTATTCTATTCCCTAGCATAAAAGGCTCCCTTTCTTTGTTCTTAACTGCAGAACATAACATCGGCCATTGGCTCCCTTTCTTTATTCTTAACTGATTGATCATCAAGAAAAAAAAAACCAGACCCCTATCTCTCTCATCACCGAAATTCTTCAGCAAGGTTTTGGCCGAAATCGCATAACTCGTGAGTAATTAGCGATTGACATAAGCTAGTGCTAATTGTTTTCAACATAGAACACACATCCATCTCTCTCAAAGTTGATCATGAAACATCTCGCAACACACGTGGACGACCATGACCATGACCAATTGACCATAATATTTCTGGGTATTTAACGGAATAATGGACCGGTGTATTCAATAGGGTACCTGGTCGAGATGGGGATATGGAAAGTTAATGCTGTTTTCTTTCAATTCCATCCGTCTGATAATCTTCCATTAGCGATGTTTCCTTTTTTTTTTGTGTGTGCCATTCAATCACTGTCAAAGAGAGGAAATGATAAGATCCATACAAAAAACCTATACAGTAAAACCGATATAATACGAAGCCAAGAAACAAAGTCGAACCTCAGGCAACACTCGAGGTGACAAAAACAAGGCATATGATAGGCCACTGAATGAGCTAGCTTGTTACTATTGCGACCAACGAGCCTCAGACTATACCCCAAACCCACATCCAAGAGTGACGAAATCTCACGAAGGATGGAACCCACTTTAGCATCATGGAAATCACCCGCTCTTAATTTGTCAATACTCACTTTGGCATTCCCACAAATAGCAACATTCATAAAGCCTTGTACCCGACACTCTTGAGTACAATCTCGGGGAGCTAGCGTCTCAAAGAACATGAGTGTCATTGATCACTCGATACATATTTGTAGCAGCAACAATTACCAAACCTAGGCCATCACGTATAACAAAAGTAGTCATCCCCGAGGCATCATTACTAGTCGCACCATCAAAGAAACCTAGAAACTCAGTTGAATGAGAAGACGACGGATCGGTAATCATGAAATGAAGGTGAGATTAAAGCTGGACAACACAAGTGACGTGCAAAAATCATATCATAGTAGTAAATTCTAAGATGTCTTAAGATCATATTCCACAAGAACTTCTAATGCATCACTACTCACGTCAAACCATCCAATGCTTCAACAATAAAAGTAAAAATATTTAGTGCAATTTTCGAGTAACATAAACAATAACCATCCAATGCTTCTAAAGCATTGAATAATCACATAGATATGCATACTCGAATTCATATATATATAATCTATAAAATATCATTCTATCCCTTCTATTGAAGTCATTCCCTACCCATCCATACGAATCCATTTACTGTCCATAAAAATATCAGATTTTGACAAATCGGGCAAATATTAGTACCAATCCGAAAGTTTATTAGAACAAATTGAGAGGTAGAAGACCCTTTCAATACACATTAGGAATTTTATTTCATGAATAAATTGACTTCCCCCTCTTCTCCACCCATGCAACGGCATCCCTCTGATTTTCATCTCTCAAACTTTCCCAAACCAGTCTACCAAGCAAAGCAGCTCTGCAACTGCTTGCTACTGCCCTTCTTCCCCTGCCTCTTTGCCTCCAAAGCAGAACAAACTTTTGTAAACCAATTCGGCGTTTACCCATGTAGAAATGGCAGCGGTTCCATTTCTCTCCGCCATGAATGTTGTTGTTTCCATTCTACACTAAACTTCTCCTTTTGCCATCCTTACTTTCTCTTGATGCTTAGCTACTGCTACCCATTTCTCCCCATACTCTGCCAATCAAAACCCACCTCTGGAGAACAGTACCTTTCCCGTCTAAATGGCCAAAAACGAAAGGCAGGAGGAAGAGACCACTCAGTTGGTCGATTCCGGCAACAATTTGAAGCGGTTGAGTCTCTACGATCCGCCCGTTGCAGTTTTGGGAATCTTTCTGATCATTCTCTCCGTAATCCTCTGTTTCATCTACTTGGATTACAGCGAAGCTCTCGGTGTAGTGTACAGGGTTCCAAACTGGTTGCAGTTTCGTAACGACATGGGAAGAAGATTGGATTTCCTGAAGGAGGAAGGGGATGGGTGCAATGTTTTCGATGGGGAGTGGGTTTGGGACGATGATTACCCTCTCTATCTCCCCAAAGATTGCACCTTTATAGAACAGAGTTTCAATTGTATACAAAATGGACGGCCTGATGTGCGCTTCACCAAATGGAGATGGCAGCCCAGGGAGTGTGACTTGCCCAGGTGAAAGGAAAAAACCCCTGTTTGGTCCCTGAGAAAATGCAAAAAGGAAAAAAATTTGACGATGGTCTTTTGGGTATTTGCAGATTTGATGGGAAGTTGCTGCTAGAGAAGCTGAGGAACAAGCGGGTGGTGTTTGCTGGGGATTCGCTGGGGAGGAATCAATGGGAATCCATGTTGTGCTTGTTAGCTTCTTCTGCTGTTGCCAACAAGGACTCGGTATATGAAGTGAATGGGAATTCAATTCGGAAGCAGCGGCAGGGGACTCTGGTGTTCAAGTTCCAGGGTTACAACTGCACACTGGAGTTTTACTGGTCTCCTTACCTTGTTCATCTTGACCAGCCTTCTTCTGGTGCGCCGAGGTCGAACGACAAGGTCCGATCAACTCTGAAATTGGATCGAATGGATCCTATCTCTCGCAAATGGAGGGATGCTGATGTGCTGGTCCTCAATTCAGGGCACTGGTGGACTTCTCACATGTTTGAACAATTGTAAGTCTTCTGAACATTTTGAAACCCTAGAATATAATTGATTCCTCATCTCAAACCACTTTTTGTATTGAAAGAATGAGAAAGGTTTGTTGTTAGTCGACTGACTGTCGTGATTCAGAATCTCATATTTTTGTTGACTCACAGGGGACTTCACTTCCAAATCGGGCAAGAAGTGAAAATGAACATGAGCATGGCGGATGCCTATAGAAAGTCCATGGAGACTGTAATGCAGTGGATAAAGAATGAAGTTAACACCAACAAGACGCAAATCTTCTTCCGAACATATGAACCCCGCCATTTCTTGTAAATTATCCATCCGTATCCATCACTTTCGCTTCCTCTTTTGCACTACTTTAGATTGGAGGTGGCGAGATAAATTTAGGGTACAATATATTCTCAGTAAAAAATTTTATCTGGACTTTGAATCTACCGGATTGTGGCATATTAATATGTCCCGATTCATGTATTTCTACGAATTAGAATCATCCACTATTGTTTATAGTTAAAAGTTGTATCTAAGGCACAAGATTTAGAGAATTACCACCTAGGTTTCACTCATTAGAGTTTAAAGTCTATTATCATCCTTCAAACTCCAATCAAATTCAAGGTTTAGATGGTTCGGGTTTTGCAGGTTTGGGGAGTGGAACACAGGAGGGAGGTGCCACGAAGAGACGCTGCCGGAGTTAGGGGCAGCTCCGGTACTGTCATTACCACTTTGGACACATATACAATTTGAGTTAGCAGCCAACAAGATTCTTCCTAATCGCACGTACGATCTTCTGAACATAACTGAGATGTCTGCTAGAAGGAAAGACGGGCATATGTCTGTATACTATCTTAGCTCCCACCGAGCACCAATGAGGAGGCAGGATTGCAGCCATTGGTGCTTGCCTGGTGTCCCTGATTCTTGGAATGAACTCCTCTATGCTTTCATCCTTAAACGTCAAGCTACGCGCCCTTAACTTGTCATCGTCTTTGCCATACCAGGCTCCGACGAACGGCGTCGAGAAAAAACATGGATTGAGGGAAAGTGCAAGAGGAATTTATGCAGGTGAGCGGCAAAACGGTAGAGAAGGGAATGTTTTATAGATAGGTCAGATCACACAAACCATTCATACATATGGTCTCCTCCTTTCAAGTGAGATGTACACGTTGAAGGGCGACATCCTTCAACTTGGTGTCGGATTACATTTTTTCCCAACATGTCTTGCTTTTCATGCCCTCGCATGTGGTCTCGTGACTCTTTGCTCGATTTACCTCAACTATATATCATATCTGATTGTTTGAGGTTGTGCCTTCTCTAAGCGGCACATCGTGCATTTTCAATTTTGATGTGTTAGAAAGATAACCATAAACACCTCTCTACCTATGAAGAGCACGATTGTCTAAATATGGCAAGGATTCTAACATATTATCATTGACTTATCTCTCGTCACGAATAATCAACAAGGACTTGGTTTAGTGATAATACCTCTAGTAGAGAACTTGGAGGTTTCAAGCTCGAATTCCTTAAGCTCCAAGTGTGACTAACTAAGGGAAGTGAACCTGTCGTAGAAGCAATATAGTGGCAAGCAACATCATACCCACAGAGTCGATGAATACAAGTAATAAGCTATGTTACCAAAGATAAAACCAAGCACATAAAGAGTTGTTTATATTTGAATCCCCTTAGCTAGTTATCAAGCATCAAAACACAATTCAGATATAATTTATTATTCCCAGACCCATAAGTTGTTTCGGACTAGATGTAAGAGCATCAAAGTGGTAAGATTCTTCAGCACAAGGTTTCATCAAAATGTAGCTAACCCTTTTCATTATAGGTTTACATATTTGCAACTAAACAGAGAAGAATCCGTACATTTACGAAAACCCAGCAACTTACTAACAAGAAGAAGCTTTAGGTGGAAGAACACTATAAATATGAAGTTCAACAGGCTGGGCAGATATCCTCCAAACTGCAATAAATGAAGGGGAAAAAAGGAATGACCTTCAGTTTCGTCCCACCTATTTGGAAGGAGACACCATGAACTAAAGAAGCCAAATTCATTACCTTCTTCCCAGACACTCGATGATATCGGTGGTTAGAGTCGATCTTTTTCGGGTCTCGAAAGCAAGAGATGCAGCCTTCCTGAGTAAAGCAGAGCCGGCAATGCATCCTAGAACAGTTGGATTCCTGTCAGCAGCTACGAATGGTTGGCGAGCCCAGGACAGAAATACTGCAACACTAGCAACAAAACAGGACAATAATCAATGCAGAACTTTCTTTTGTAAACACAGGCATATAGAGGTTGCAAATAGGTTAGGGTTGGTGAGTTTGAGGGTTAGTGCGGTTGTGGGTTGTGATAAATGGTTTCAGTTGGTTGCCAGGAATTTAGTTCATGGGTTGGTGACATCCTCATGAATATTGGAAGTGGGTTGGGAGGAGATTTCGGTCATCTGTCAGATCTAAGAGTTGTAGGGTAAGGATTTAGAACTTATGTTATTAAACACAGGGTTACTATGAAGTCACCATCACATGATTGATCGAGTAAGATCAGTCACTCACCTTCCAGAGAGGATATCACCCTGGCCTCCACATCGCCGAGGCGACCCATAGATGCTCACCGAGTTCACTGCATAAAAATGACCCAGTAAAGCAATTACCGTACAGCGAGAGACACACACAAAAAAAACTGAATTTGATGTGCCAATAAGTTGTTTCCATACCTATATCACCATCACTGATGAGGTCAGATCTTCCTTTCCTTAAGATGGTTACACCACCAATCCTGACCAATAAAAGTCAGTAAGAACCTTTGGGCTAGCTAATACGACCAAGCAATGCGTGCTATGTTCACTCACTGTTTAGCTAGAGATGCTAATTGTCCAGGTGCATCAGCATCATCGACTTCGCATTTGAGAACCTTCTGAACCAGTCTCTTGTATTCATTCACGTTGGGGGTTAGAACAGCCAAAGGATAACCATGAACCAGATCAAGACTGTTTGTTACAAGAAAGAGTCCGTCCTGCCAGAAAAATGCACTTCATCACATCAGAGTCAACACGGGAGGAAATCAAAAACCTTATTGTCCGATACCAATTTTGATTCATCTGAACACAGTTGCATACCCCATCTACAACGATCGGAACATTCGAATGCCGTCCCTGCTTGATGATCTCACTGACACAATCCTACAAATATTATACAGGAGTCAGTATGCAACCACAAGAAATCATATTCGTCAAAGGTTAAGAGACACACACCAGAAGAAATGGGTCTCTTCCAAGACCAGGCCCAACAACAAGACAATCGAATCTCTCCATCCATTTATCAACCTCAGCTACAACTTTTGCTGATACTTGCTTTCTCTCTTCCTCCCTGAAAGATTGGAATTTGTCACACAGACTTTACGTTGAGCTCACTAACCAGACTTTCTGCACCATCAAGGTAATGTAAAGCTGAACAAAAAGGGTATACCTTACACTATAAGACTCCTCTAAAACCGGGTGAACGATCAGCTCAGGACTATAGCTCTTGATAACAGGAGCAGCATCTTTGGTACAGAACACATGAGACAGGTCTGCACCCTGCCAACCAACATACCACTACCACTAAGCTACCCCAACACACTACCATTATACTGAAAGAAAAAGAGTTTCAACACAGAAAAAAGATGTATAGCTAACGATTTTCAAGGCCGAAATAGCAGCAAAATAAGGAGCTCCAGTGTACTCCCGGCACCCTCCAATCACAGCTATTTTCCCTGAGTGAACAATTAATCCAAACCCAGTTGGCAACCAACAGATAGAGTGAAACTGAAATCAAAGTCACAATCTTTTTACTCTCAAGTTTTCTGTTTACCCGCCTGGCCTTTATGTCGATTTGGGTCCAAAGTAGGAGTGATTCCTCTCAAAATACTCACAGCATCAGCCTCAGTCTCTTGCATTGTACTGCCAGCAGTACTATGAAATTTACTATGACTACCTCCTCCCAGTGCCCTAATCAAGAAACTCTGCCTTCTCAGAACAGCAGCAGTTGATGGAGCGAACGAGTAACTCCGGGCAATGCTCAACGAGGTTAACTGATTCATTCCATGGTTAACTAACATCACCAAACTCCACCAAACAAGCGCAACCTCCCTTTTTCTACAAAAAATCTAGATACAAAACATTCATAACGAATTCCATTAAGTAATTGAAATGTACTGCAAAGAATTTTCAGCTTCGCCTAAAGAAACTAAGCACCGGCGATGGGAGAGCAGTTTCCATGACTGGTGTTAAGTTTGAATAGTAAAATTGGACTGGATTGTACCTGTCAAAGTCGTGGCCAGGAATCTAAGGTAGTCGGAGATTGTATCGATGACTGATTTTGCATTTCATCGGCAGGGTGTTCGGTGGGGTTCTAGACTGAAAAGCGGAATTGGGCACCTGCCGTTGGATTAGTTTCTGGTGGGCATTTCACTCGTCGCCCTGCTGACTCAGCACTTCGTTCCGCTGTGGTGGCGGCCACGGAGGAGCAAGACTGGGCTTACACCGTTTCGGCTGAGGTGGTTGGACTTATGCATGGGCCTAGGACAGGAAAAAGAGCTCACTCCATGAACAGAAATAAGAAAAGGCTTCGGCAGTTCGGCCCAAACATGAAGCTGGACAAACCCTCGGCCGTGAGTTGTTAGTGGTGTCGACGAGTGGGAAATCCCGGCGACTGCCTAGGAACGAAGGGAACGCGGAAGCAGAGAAGCGCCGTCAATTCCAGGCGGCGATTTCTTCGAACTAGCAGTACTGCTTTTTGGTCCGTATCGTATCGTTGGGGTTTTCACTTTTAGCGCGCGCGCGGTGGAGCAGGGAAGGGAAGGGGAAGGCTGGAAATAAAGATGAGGCAACAGACGAAGCTGAACGCGATTCGATCAGGGCTGGTGGTGATGGGGGCTTTAGCTTTTGGGTACTTGACAATGGAGATCGGCTTCAAACCTTTCCTCCTTAAAGCGCAAGAAGAAGAGCGACAGAAACAACAACTGAAATCTCACACTCCTCCAGAAGAATCCCAAACCCACGAATCTTATTGATTTCCAGGTCTGCTTTTGTTGCTTCAATCGAAAGGTTATATAAACTCTGCTTACACCTAGTAAAGGAGTGTTCTTTAGCCACATTCATACGTATGTTCATTTGGGTTGGTCGATTATCGCTTTTTTTTAATCCATTTACTGATAAATTTGTAGCAAATGCTCGTCATTCCTGGTAAAGGTCTCATAGGTTTAGCTTATCCTAGCTGGGGAAATGGGACTGGAATTTGTCCACTGATAGACTCTGTATATTGGACATGTGAGCTCAATTCAGATAAATATACATGCTTTTTATGGCTTTCTGAATCATGGGTCCTGACAAAATTGGCGGCAGATTTGATGGTTGTTATGAAGATGAAGAAGCAGGAATGGGTATTGCTCAGAGTCGTATACGGTGAAGTTCTTTGATGTGCTTGTCTTGTATGCATCCTTATGCCGAAAGTCGAGTGGATATGTAGGGTGGAGAGGCAAAGGCCATGGCTGAGAGAAATGCCATAGTTGAGGGAAAAGCCATTGTTGAGGGACCAAGACCTCAGCTTACTCGAATGAACATGGATAATTACTGCTAAAGATGACATCTTTGTGTGCCTTTCTCCCCTCTTTGAATGGAAATTGGTTAGTTCTGGTACTACTGTGTCAGGCAAATTTCAGTTCTTCTGTAAAAAGTTTACATTTCGAAACTCTGAAACGGCTTCATTATATCTAGGAATTGGGGAATCCGACTCTCAGTATCAATCCTGTTTCTTCTTTCCCTCCCAAAATACAGAAAGAGGAAAGAAAAGTAATGCTTTCTCATCTGCTACATAATTCAGCCATTAAAAGATGACCTTTTTCTGGGTGCCCTGTAAAAGATTTAGGAAGCGGAAAAGGACATGCATTCTTGTGGAGAAGGCAAAGAAATTAGAATGACAGGATCTCTTGTTGGTTGGTGGTTGCTTGCATCTAATCCTTCCTTCTGGCTTTCATTTCCACAATCACTTGCTTCTGCATTATTCTATCCCTTCCCAGCATCCGTTTTAAGGTATTAGCAAAGAAGGCTCCATTTCTTTAGTCTCTTAACTACAGATCAAACGTTTCACAATAACTTATTGACAATGACATAGATGAGAATGATCAATGCTGAATCACATAACTCGCGAGTAAATAGCGATTGACATAAGCTATTGCTAACTGTTGTTAACATAAACTCACCACAGAACTGTCTCTAACCTACTGGTTCAATGAAAATCCATGGAGATCCTTTTTTTTGATGATACAATTCATGGGAGATCCTTGAGCTGCGAGTAAAACCCCATAAAATTTGGAGATGGCGGGCTGTGCCCACTGTCAATTCTGTTCTTTGTCTTCATTTAGAGACAAGGGTGGCAAATGTCCATGTGGGAAGACTGGAAGTTCTTGTCTCTTTACCCATTCCCGTTTCCCACACGAACTTCTTCCTTATTAGTTTGTTTATTAATAACCTTGCCAGTTTCCTTCACCGTATTTGCTTCCCCCACAAAAACACACAGAAAGAGGAATGCTTTCCCGCCTGCTTCATAATTCAGCCATTAAAGATCATTTTTCCCCTTTTTGGGACCTGTAAAGATTAAGAAGCGAGTCGGCCAATATTGCTTGTGAAGAAGGCAAGTGAATGGGAATGATCGATCTGTCGGTTGCTTGCTTGCTTAAATCTAACTTGTCCATCTTTTCTTCCCAAACACCATCTGCAATTCCATGATGACTTGCCTTCTCTATTCTATCTATCCCTTATTCCCTTTTTGCCATAGTTCACTTGCATCATGGTAATCATTTTAACTACTGAACTTTGGTTAATTTAATTTTAATATGATAAAACTTTTAATTGGTGTTTAGCTGGTTTGATTTGTTTTTAGACTTTGACAACATTTTAATCAACACCGTCTAGTTATATAAGTATATCGAACGAATGCTCTTCATCCATATAATGATATATAATGCTGTCTCCAGTCAGCAGGTAAATGATAAAATAATTGTTAACCGGCAGTTAATGATATACCATTAATAGATTTATAAGTTAGAGGTACAGTTAACGGTAGGATGAAAAGGTATAACCATAACGGAATAGTCAGTTCACGACTAACCGACAACTAACCGAGTATAAGTACTTGTGTTTCTATCCCCCAAAACAACCACGTCACTCCAAAACAAACTATTGAACTTCGACCAAAGAATCTCCGTCTCGCTCCGATGCTTTTCGTCTTTCCTCCCAATGGGAACCCTAAAATTGAAAGAGGCAAATAGAATTGTTGACTCTGAGATTGAAATGTATTCATCCGTGTTGGATTGGAAATATCATATGACTTATGCCGGAGGAAAGATTGAAAAGAGCGTGCCTCAACTTCTTCCATCAATGGCTTCCCTCGCCCAGTTTGCACTCATCACTCTTGTACTTGCTCACTTCGCTTTCTTCTATAAATACCAGCAAGAACAACAGTCAATCTCATTAATCCGATTGTTCTCCAAAGACCACACCACCAACCAAATCAACCCGCCACTACATCGGAATCCTTCTCGCCACCATTTCCTTCATCGTCGACCTCGCCGCCACCAGAAACAAAAGACAAGATTCCTCATATATTGTCAAATTCTCATATGAATTTCCTATTTAGCGATTTTAAAAAGCATCACATTTCAAACATTGGATATGGTGTTCCACAACCGTCCGATCGGGAGTTGCGCGCTCCGCGTGTCTGTTGGATGAATGTGTGACATCTTATTTACAAAATTGACATCGCGTTCACCCAATGATCACGAAGCGCCCATTGCTCGATTAGACGATTGTAAACATTATAAGAACATTCTTACAAACAGGGGCGGAGCCAGAATTTCCCAGACTGGGGGGGTCGAAAATAATAATAAAACTTATGTGGATAAAACTCGTGTGCTTTAAGACACAAATTAAACTTGACTACCATTAGACCACATAACTATTACATGACAGAATTTACAGAACAAGTTCTACTTATAAAATTTGTACTAAATATCCTTAAAGACCTAAGGGCCGGGATCAATCCCGGGAGGCTCCCTAGCTACAATGTAGCTCCGCCCTCTGCTTACAAATGATGTTGTAAGCACTATAGCCGGATTGTTCGTCTCACCCTTTAAAAATTTCATCATAAACTAAAAGCATTTGCTGCAGTAAAGTCCATAGATATGGCTAGCTTGTATTATGGTACTAATAATGTCCACTGGTGTCAGCAAAAACCCAGCTGAAGCCTGTCCCTTAAGTTCATCATCATCGAAACTCTTCATCATGGGTATTAACTCAACCTAAATCACTTGATTTATGAATCAACAGTACTGGTCGACATAAACATAGGTTTGGCTGGCTTATTTGTGTCCATTATTGTTGTGATCATCATCAACAAAAATCACACGTACATCGAATAGTCGGGACGCGCCGGTGTATTCATTTATACACAAGGGATCGGATCATGACCATATCATCCTTTTGGGCAAAAAATTGCACGAAAGGTGTTTGATGGAATGATTGATCCACGTATTCAATAGGACACCCGCTTCAGTTGAGTGGGGGATATGGAAATGGATGGAAAGTTAATGCTGCTTTCAATTCCCATTATCTTGATTTTCTTCCTTCTTTAGGTCCATGAATTCCACTCATTTCCCCTTTATCTATGGCTAAATGCCGACGCATTAAGGCAAAAAATGCAGATTGATGATTGATGCTTACAGGTCGAGGTTGGACTTTTTGGTCCTGGTTTTGTTTGCTTTCCCTAACCCTCTTGCTCCCTTTGCAAAATACTCCGACTCCTCTCTAAATCGCTATTAAAGTGCAAAAGATGTCATTAAAACGATTTAACAATTGAAAATGTGTAGATCGATAATCGGACGGAATTATTTCTTGCATATGCTCCACTTTTGTAGACACGGTAGCTGAATTGATTATCAAACTACATCAATGCCATTAGATACATAATATTACTGGCTATAAAATCTGTTCATAAAAAAAAATCCAGATTTTGCCATGAGAAAAATACAGGGTGAGTTTATGGAAACACAGTCAGTAGCCCACGCTCTTTACCATGCGCGTGGTGTAATGGGGTTTGTTTCTGTTCCTATCTATCCGTTGCGGAAAGTGGGCCCACGAGGCACGACCAAAGCCTTCAAAGTCCAACCTGTTAGTCAACCAAACTCGATGACCCATGTCTCGCTCGACGCCACGTCGCCTTCTTCCCCGCCGCGACCCGCCAAAATCTCTCGTCACCGCCGCCGGAGAGTGATTTACACGCTCCCTAGTTCTGGTTACCCCTGGTTTTTTTTTTGTGACCCATCTTTACTTTAATTGCAGTTAATCAAAAGAGTTTAAATGTTGAGTTATTATTACCAGATTGGCAGATTCTGTTCCATTTATTGTTAATAATCTGAAACAAGTATGTTAAATTGTTAATTATACCTAGGTATTGGGACGATTTTTTCATATTGGTATTAATTATTCTTTTCTTATGGATATTAACTATCCTTTTAAACACGTTTTTTTGAGCGTATTTTCATCCCTTCCTGATACCAAACAAAGAAACAATCGATAAAACGTATATCACAAATACAATAGTAAAATATAGCGATAAAATTACACCAACTAGTCACTAAAGGTGATTTAACATCAAATTGAAACAAGATTCATGTTTGTGATTCAGTTGCGGTGCTTAAATCACCAAATATAAGGACATCCTTACCATGTTTTGTCATTCAATCGAATCTTGGGAGCTCCGAAACACGTTCATCCGACAATTTGTAAAATGCTTAACGCCTAGCACTAGATCGAATAGTTGCCGTCGCCATAAGCAGGGTAACCGGATTCGGTACAATAAGGCATACACGTATTATCATCGCAAGGCTTTGCCCGACCCTCACGCGCTTCACGAACAAAGTGATATTTATAACTGAAGGTCCTAAAAAAGAATAAAATAAAAAAGTAAAAGACCCACCTCCCCACCCAGTCCTGGAAAAGGGAAAATGGGGATTGGGGAAGAAGCATTTCATTTCACTTCATTCCATCGATGAAAATTGGTTTTTCCCTTTGCTTCTTCTTCACCCATGTAATCTGCTCCCTTCATAACCTCTGCCGATTCTCTCTCATAATTTCCCATTAATACTTTCACAATCCAATCTCTCCAAGCAAAGAAGCTCTGCTCCCTTCTTCCCCCTGTCTCTCTGCCCCTCAACCCACCAAAAAGAACAAAAATAGAATTGCAAATTTGTCTCCGTATAAAAATGGCGGTGGTTCCATTTCTGTCCGCCATGAATGTTGTTTCCCTTGCACACTACACTTCTCCTTTCCCATCCCTACTTTCTCTTTATCCTTAGCGCACTACCCATTTTCTCCCCCTCTAAAAATTTTCTGTCTTTTTGCCCACCCAAATGGCGAAAACCACGCCCAACGAAGAGCAAGACACGGCCATGCATCCGCCCTTCGATTTCGGCAACAAGTTGAAGCGGCTGAGGCTCTACTACGAGCCGTCCGTTGGGGTTTTGGGGGTTTTTATAGTGACCCTCTGCGTCATCCTCTGTTTCTTCTACTTGGACTACAGGGAAGTGATTGGAAAAGTGTACAGAGTTCCTTCGAAATCGGAGAGGTTTATGTGGATACAGTTTGGTAACGGCTCTATTGACAAGGAAAGAGTTGATTTTTTGAAGGAGGAAGGGAATCAGTGCGATGTTTTCGATGGGGAGTGGGTCTGGGACGACGATTACCCGCTCTATCAGTCCAAAGATTGCAGCTTTTTGGATTCTGGGTTTCGTTGTAGCGAAAATGGACGGCCGGATTTGTTCTACACCAAATGGCGATGGCAGCCCAAGCAGTGTAACTTGCCCAGGTACTCCAAACTGAAAACCCCTCTGTTTGGCTGCTGAGAAACTGTAGGAATAACGAGAGGATTCATGTTCATGTTCATCATGTTGTTGTTGTTTTCTTCCGATTCACTTCTTACTGACACCGTGCGTTAAAGTTCGAGGAACTGACGGGCAGTAATTAATGGAGCACAGGGACAAAATTGGTTTAACCTTTTTTAAAATGACATTTCCTCTGGAAGTGGACCAATTTCAATTCTTTCGTTTTCGTACGAATTTCCAACCCGTGAAACCTCTCTGCCCTTTGTCGTATTGTTTCTGCAGGTTTGATGGGAAGTTGATGTTGGAGAGGCTAAGGAACAAGAGGCTGGTGTTTGCTGGGGATTCGATAGGGAGGAACCAATGGGAGTCGATGCTCTGCTTGTTGTCGTCGGTGGTCGCCGACAAGGGTTCGGTTTACGAGGTGAACGGGAGTCCGATTACGAAGCACAAGGGGTTTTTGGTGTTCAAGTTCAAGGATTACAATTGCAGCGTGGAGTATTACAGGTCGCCGTTCCTTGTTCAGCAGGGCAGGCCGCCGTCTGGGGCGCCGTCCAAGGTCCGGCTGACGCTTCGATTGGATCAAATGGATTGGAACGCTGCCAAGTGGAGGAATGCTGATGTGCTGGTTCTGAATTCGGGGCATTGGTGGAATTATGAGAAGACTATGAGAGGGTAAGTTTGGTTCTAACCTTAAAAACACTAGAAAAGTTAGTGGTCAAAATTTGTATGATTGTCTTGTTAGTTGTCGATGTGATCAATGCCATAGAGCTTTTTAGTTGGATTGATGAAGCTTCGGGATGGATGAACAAATCAGCCAAACCGAAATCCGACCTAGCTGTGTCAGTTTGACTTGTGAAGTGTGAAATAGTTATAGTTATGGTTGTCAACGGTGTCAGCCTGATCAATCGTATAAAACAACAACGAAATCGATGGGGTTAAAGACGGTTTCCTAGGCTTAGCACATCTGTCAATTGATTGAAGAAAGCCAAATTTTGCACAATTCTATTTCATCAACATTGTGCAAGAAGTTTTTTTTTTGGTGGGTCTGTTAGGTGAATCATCCACCTACCTTAACTGATTCTATTTGTGGATGGTGGTCTAGTTTTGCATATTCCCATCTTCTTAACTGGTCGAACTTATAGTTATGGAGCTGTACAGCCAATATGTTATTAGTCTATTAGATGCATACTTTGAGTTGACCGGGTCATTGCATTCTGTTTACTTCAGGGGAACTTATTTCCAAGTAGGGCAAGAAGTGAAAACGGAGATGAGAGTTGAGGCAGCCTACAGAAGGTCCATGGAGACTGTGATGCAATGGATAGTGAATGAAGTCAATGCAAGTAAGACACAAGTCTTCTTCCGGACATTTGCTCCCGTCCATTTCAGGTAACCAATCATTTTCATTTCAGCAATTGACTTCTCACTTCTGCATCAAGGTATGAAACCCTAGGAACCTCACTTTTGGCTCAAATTTTGGGGTGGAAAATTGCAGGGGAGGGAAGTGGAACACAGGGGGGACTTGCCATCAGGAGTCTTTGCCTGAGCTAGGGGTATCCCTTGTGCCATCAGAAACATGGAAACAGTTCGAGGCAGCAACCGATGTTCTGTCTAATCGAACAAGCCAAGATCGAAGTTTTGAGCTTCTGAACATTACTGGGATGTCTGCAAGAAGGAAAGACGGGCATTCGTCTCTGTACTATCTAAGATCCCAGCCAGCGCCGTTGCGGAAGCAGGACTGCAGCCATTGGTGCTTGCCCGGAGTCCCTGACTCTTGGAATGAACTTCTCTATGCTTTGTTCCTTAAGCGTGAAGGTAGAACAAGCCATCCTGCACTTAACTCGTCATCGTTGTCGTCGGATGAAGCACTGAATTCGTGACGATGGATAGGGAGAAATTGGTTGAAGGAAAGAGGACGCAAGTCATTTTTGCAGGTGAATAGCAGATTTGTAGAGATGGGTTCTGCTGATTTATGCAGAATTGGGTGACATATATTAATTATTGGAATTATAGATGAATAGATAGGTTGGGGACGTAGTAAGTAATGTTGTCCGGACGAATTAATAGTGGGTAAATGGAAAATCTGTAATTAGCATTTCGTTCAAATTTTATTTATTATTTTTTTTACTTAACACGTGTTACTTCGTGGGATATTGGTAATGCCAAAGCCTAATGGCTACTACTAGGGGTGCGAATCAATCCGGTTTGAATCAGATTGAATTGGTTAGTTGACGAAACTGTTGGGACTGTTAGATTCTAGGATGATCGCAACTGTTTACGGTTAAACGATTTTGACTTACTGTTAAGTGTACCATTTATATTAGCTGGTTAGTCATAATAGAAGGCAATGTACATATATATTAGGGTTGGCCATTCGGTTTTCGATTAGCAGATAACAATCGGTTATGATCGAAATCGACCGGTTATAGGCTATTTGAAAACCTCCCAATCAAGAACAAAAACTCAGTTTTACTTACTCGGCTCCTGCACCCAATTCCACACCCCAAAGAGCAAAAATCCAGAAACTCAGAGAATCTAGGACCATGGTCTCTTCGATTTGGTCTATAGATGCAGCCATGCAGGGACGGCGACGAAGAAGGTGGGCGCCACCCGCCGAGCAGCACGGGGAAGAGAAGAATCTGAGACTTCTCACCTTCTGCATGGTTCAGGATCTGGGGATTCCGGATTTGGATGATAGAAGCACGCCCCCATCCTCCCTCTTCGCGAGTATGGTTTCGTGATCTAGGGATCTAGGGATTGGTGGGTGCGGCGGGAAGATAGGTCGGAGAAGATGAGGAGAGATGAAGAGTCGCTGTCGTCCTTCCTCCTTCTCCGACTTCTTGGTAGCGGCAACGGGATTGGTGGGTGCGGCGGGAGGATTGGTAGGTGATGTGAGATGAAGAAATGAAGGAGAGATGAGGAGACGATGAGAGATGCAGAGAGATGAAGAGTAGGATGATTTCAACTCTAGTCCCTATCTCACTTTTAGTTTTTAGTTCTTTTTAGTTTTTCAATTAGTTAAATAAATAATTATTATAATAACAAATTATTTCGAGTAGTCGATTAACCGAGGTTTTAACCGTAACCGACCGGTCGGTGTCGCGGTTGATCGAAGCATGACGTCGGTCGATGGTCGGGAACCCAAAAAGACAGTTTGGTTAACCAAAAATCGAGATTTCAGTTATCGGTTAAACCAAAATCAATCGAAATCCAGCCCTAATATATATCTTCAATTCATCTGCTTTTAGTTATTAGATGTCGAATTGGCTTTGCTCAATTCTTTGTTGGCTAACTCATGATTATGGGTGTAATTCGTTCATACAGAAACCTTAAATAAATGACTAATATCAACGACAATCTTCACAGTACCTTCAATGTATCATTGCTTGATAACAGAGAGGTATGTGGAGCTGAACAATATTCTATACAAAAATTATTGGCAAGGACATATCTCGACAAAGATTTGCACCTTTATTTGGATTGCGCAACGGAAGAAAATACTCACCCACGACCCGTTGAAGAAAAGTGGATGGACCTTCCCGGGCAAATGTGTGCTTTGCAATGCAAGCGAGGAGGATGCGAGCCACATTTTCATTACCTTTAGATTTGCAGCCAGCCTGTGGAATATCATGTGAACCTTTATGCAGATTGATCCACGTCCCGGAGACATCGCACAAGTCATTCATAGCTGACCTCGAGAAAAACCAAATGATCTAAAGCAGTGGTGCACCAAGACAATATTACATGTCTTTTGTTGGAGTGCATGAAAGGAAAGAAACAATAGAATTTTATAAGGAAAGACAAGGTGGAGAGACTAGTTGTTGAACATTAGTTGACATCCATAAGAAGACGCATTTATGGAAGTAGCAAGCATTATTAGTGATTTTGTTTTGACAAGGGGTTGAGAGTGAAGAGGAAGGATGGAGGGCTGAGAGCCTTTTGAGGGTAGGGAAGTAGTAACAACTTCTAATATACGGCTGCTGTGGATGTTCGTTTGTTGGCAGAGAAGGATCTGATCCAATAAGAAGGCTACTGCATTTTGTCTAGGGTGTGGATTGGGGAGCTTCCCCCTTCCTCTTTAATTTTTTCCACCACTGCAGAGAAGGAACTCGTCTTGTCTTACTCTTCGTATCTTTTAGCAGAAAGTGTTCAGAAGATGACATTACTAGTGTTGTAATGTGGTTTTGCTTTCACTTTTTTTTTGGACAAAAGATAATCATATATTGATTTGAAAAAATAGATCATTACATCATCTGCCTCAACCAGACCACAAAATCAAACGAATGACACGCTATCGGATACAAAGAAAGGGTCTTGCAAGCCACCAAGTGGGCTACCCAATTATTACACCGACCTACGAATGGAAAACTAAACCCCACATGGTCCGCCAAATAACTTAGAACCTCATGGAAAATGGCACCCGCTCTGCGAGCTTGATTGAGCCTATCAATAACCACCTTAGCATCCCCTTCAAATCTTACCACACACAAAAAAACCCTTTGGAGGCACCACAAAATTGCTTCCCGAAGGACCAAGAGCTCCACGATCATGGGGTCATCCAACCCCGGGAAATGAACGCCCGCAATGAAGATGACCTCCCCACCCTAGTCCAGGAGTATCATTCCCAGCCGAATGGGACCCACGTCTCATCAACCCATCCCACCTACAGACTATAGAATCAGGCTAGCAGGATGCGCACTATTAGCCCCAATCCCAAGTGTGCTCACCACACTGTCCTTAGGAATATTAGTCCACTCATTCAACAGCTGATAGTGCTGCCTCATCAGAGTTGGGATCTGAAACTGTTTGCCTTCAAACACAACCACAAACGCCATGACTTGATGAGGACTCTGAATGATAGCCAACCATTTTTTAAGAAAAAGTGGAAAAGTATGACGAGGGAGCCATTGGCCAAGATGCTCCATCCCAACATAATCCCACAAAGCTCTCGCCCCAGGACAATCCAGGAAGAGATGGTCCACAATTTCGGATTCTTCCCAACAAACCGGACACCTAGGGTGCACTTGAACATCCTTCTCAATAAGGGATTCCATTGTTGGGAGGAAGCGGTGCAAGATTTGCCACAAAAAGATCTTTAGTTTAGGTGGAATCGAGGAACCCCATAGTCGGATCCAGCTTTGTCGATCCATCCAGCTAACTGTCAGACTCCACCTACCATGTTGCATATCCATCAACACCGCCAGGTGATACGCCAACTTCACAGTGAAAACCCCATCACACGTGGCATGTCAGACCTGCTTGTCCTCCATATCTTGGCGGGGTAGAGGACATCTTTAATAGCACGACAAGTGCCTGGGTGGAACCACTGGGCGAGTTTATCATTAGACCAGCGTCCCTAAACCGGGCACAACAAAATGGCCACCTTAAGGTCGCCCCCTTCTCGAAGCACATGCAGGTTATAAAGTGGGGGGTCAGGATGCACGGTAGGGATCCAACTGTCATGTAATACAGACACAGTCCTGCCATTCCCAATCTGTCAGCGAAGGCCCCGCATCAAAAGTTGATGCACGTAAAGGATGCTTTGCCACCCCATGAAGGACGAGATCGCGCAGTAGTAGTGAGAAAAGTGCCAGTAGAAAAATATTTTCCTTTATACATCTCAGCGAGAACGGACTGAGATTCATTAAGTATTCATTATCCAATCTTGGCTAATAAGTCTGATTGAAGTGCTCAAACAGGCGGAACCCCATGCCTCCCTCATGCTTACTACGACACATCTTACGCGAGAACATCCATCTTATTCGGGAATTCCCATCCTCCACTCCGTACCAATATCGTGCCACAAGCCTATCCAAAATTCGACAAAGAGAGAGAGGGAGTTTAAAGCAGGTCATAACGTGCAACAGTAAAGTTGAGGCTACTGGTTTAATCAAGGTTTCCTTAACCACTAAGGACAATGTCCGTTGGGCCCACCCTTGGAGGCGTGCCATCAACCGCTCCTCGACAAAATGGAATGTAGCCAGTTTAGACTGGGCTATGAGGGTGGGCAGTTCCAGATATTTATCATGTACTCCCACAACTCCCACCCCCAAATTTGGGCTAGAAATTCCTAGTATGTGATCGAAACGTTCTTACTAAAATAGGCCGCCAATTTGGCCAGGTTAACTCGATTTGGCCAGGTTAACTCGTTGCCCACCGAGGCGCCACTTTCACTTTGTATGCTTCTTTCTTGTTTTTGTCCCGATTAGTCTAAGCTACATGCTTTCTCGAGGGCATGTACCTGAATGCTTTGATGTATTTTTTTGCATTTCCTTTTTCTTCTAAAGTTAATAATATTATATCGTCATTATCATAAAAGAAAATAAGGAATAAGATCAGGCACTAAGAGTTCTTGAGTCACATGACTAAAAGTCAATATTAGCCATTTATTTAAGTTTTAATCTAGTAGTTGTAATTAATCTTAAATAATAAAGAATAAGATCGTAAATACACAATTTATTTATTTAACAATCAAAATAAAACAAAAAATGTGGGCCCACTAGCTACCCACGATCGCCGCTCCCGCTAGAAATTCCTCCCGACGGTCCTTTTCCCTACAGGTTTTTTTTGGCCCACGAGAAAGAGAGAGAGAAAGAGAGAGAGAGAGCGCATTTGTGATGTTTGTTGGTTAATGTTTGTAAGTCCAGTTTGTAATGTTTATATCAATTCGATTTGTATCTTTATCATTCTTGTTTGTCATTTTTATATATTACGTTTGTAATGTTTATATTGCTAGTTTGTATATATTGTAATGTTTGTTTGCCTTGTTTGTGTACTTTATGTTATGTTATGATTTGTATATATAATATTTATTGGTTTGTAATACAAGTTTACTGATATGTATTATAAGTAGTGGTATTTTGTACAGTTAGTATGCTTTGTAATATTTTTCGGTTTCTTTTATAATGTTTGTAATGTTTATATGACTAAAAAACAACATGGTCTGTCTTTGGCGAGTTTGTTTGTTTTGTTTACAGATGTGCGAAGTCTCTACTTGTCCTTTTGCGCAGAGGTGGTCTGGCCTGCTTAGCGCTTTGTTTCAGTTCTCTTCCCTGTGTGTGTTTGTCCATATTTTTTTATGTTTCTGCTTTGTTCGGGTCTGGGATCAAGTCTTGTGATCCCTACCCCTTGTTTGTGTTTGTTCGTGTATTGATATTTGTCATTAATAAAATCATCGCCCTTATAAAAAAATCAATCTGGTTGACATTGGGACAAATCTCCTCCATACAGGGACGACGCCTCCAAATTCAATCAGGTTCTTTTCCATTTTGTATGGTTTGTATTGTTGGTAAATACATTTTATATGGTTTGTATTGTTTTAAATCTAGTTTATATAGTTTGTCTTGTTGTTCACCATGTTTGTATGTATAAAAAATAGCATGGTTGACTTTGGGACAAAACTCCTCTATATTGGGAGGACCATCCAAAATCAACCATGTTGTTTTCCATTTTGTATTGTTTGTATAGCCCGTATGTGTTGTATTGTTTGTAAATATGGTTTGTCGTTCTGGTTTGTATTGTTGTATGTTTGTAGAGGTGACAATCAGGCGGGTTTTGGTTTGGTTCAAGCGGGTTACGGGTTAGTCGGGTTGCGGGTTGATTGGGTTACGGGTTAGTCAAGCTGCGACTTCGTCATATTGTGGGTCAATTAGGTAATAGTTATCGGATTACGAGTCAGGCGGGTTGCGAGCATATCGGGTTGTGGGTTGTTCGGGTCAACGCATTGTGTTACTTTTATTCGTTACAACTTACACTAATGTCAGACATTTTTTCGTAATTTTTAGAAATTTTATTTCTACATAATATATGTACTTATAAAAGTTGTTTTGGGCAGAATTACCTATATAAGTTTGAAAACTAGCCAAAGTACTAAATTAATTTTGTATTTTTTTAGATGATTGAGTTATAGCAATCGTATGACTTATCGGACCAGCCTTAAACCTCATTTTGAAACCAAAATGTAACTCGAGCACAACTTAAATGGATCAAATTTTTGCTTCAGTGTTGTAAAATAACAATCATGTAGTGCAAAAGTTGTAACAAATGTAGAAGCATAAAAAACAAATTGACAAATTAAGTGAACTTTTCTAAAACAAATTATTGTTGAAACTAATTATTAATTTAGTTATTGAAGCCACAAAAAATCCTATATACATCTTAAACTTTAAATTATATAACTTAATACCCTAGAATTTATCAAATTAACTCATATAAATATATAAAGTATGTTGTTTTTCAAAAGCTATTAAATTAGTTCATATAACGGGTGCTAGGTTATGTCATGTGTATCATAAAAGAAGCGATTGGTTATTATGATACGATGACCATGTTCTCAAATATATTATAACCAATTAGTCATGCCCTATAAGGTTTACTATCGACAATAGTTTAGCCAAAATCGCATTTTAACACTTAAAAGCTTACGCTTTTAGGTCACCAAAACGCTTCTACATAGAATCGTGCTTCTCAGTTACGAGTGTAGTCAAAATCTACTCTTTAAATCTTAAATACAGTTTCACGCTTCTAGGTCATCAAAAGTCAAAATGCTTCTACGTAGAATCACCATTTTTACTACATCGATCGACAATGTCTTAGTTACTAAGTGTTAAACTCTTAACTCATAATCAATAAATAAAATTAATAGGTCTATTGTAGACGGAGATAGGATAAATGTACCAATTTTAATTTTCATTAATAAAAGGCATCTAGGTTCCTTTAAAAAAACTCATAATTGGTAAATAATTAAGTATATAATCTATAATATAAAATAGCCTGCATTTGGGATAATTCGAGTGACGTTATTGACATAGGATAACTCATTATATGCTCTTAAATTTACAGTCATGCCCTTAAAGCTATAATAAGGTTAACTATAGATAATATTTAGTTATTAAATGTTAAAATCCTAAAATATCATATATAAACATTGTAAAAATCAAATTGATAAGCAATTAAGTATATGATATATAATGTAAAATAAACCGCATTTGAGATAGTTCGAGTGTTATTATATTTAAAATGAGATAATCATGATAGGTTCTCAAATATAATTAGTCAATTAGTGAAATCTTTAGTCTACTTTATAGCTAGATTGAAAGATAGAAATGGCAAAAAAAAAAATCAATTAGACCGTGTTTGGTTACAAAAAATGCGCTGAACATATATTCAATTGGGATATACAATTTTATTTGCCCTTCTTCTCCATTGGTCCCACATTGTCAACATGTTCTTCATTCCTCCTGCCGTTCATTATGGATATATAGTTCATGCGCCCAAATAGAAGATACAACTCTTCATTTTTCTCTATCTCTCTCTTCATTCATCTACCGGAAACCCCAAAAGATTATGCAAGTAGATATACTCCCTCAGAATCAAAGTAACAAAGCTCATTTTCTTCATTCCTCTCATGTTCATATTCAACAACAATGTGTATTTCCTAGTACACAATATAGATTTTCTTTTTTCATTTTGGTACAACAAACAGACTGCATATCGATGGAAAAAGGCGCTGGTTTTGGAAAAAGGTGGGTGGGTTCAGTAATAAGGGTGACGACCACAAAAGAAACCCATACATGTTGTATTTGTTGCCTAGTGATCGCAAATATTGAAGGTGGTTGCTAAACATCCCCAAGGGATGACATGGAGGAACTGTTTAACATTGTCTGTTCCGATTTGGACGACCCCCCCCCCCCCCCCGGGTCACTCCCTCGTACCTTGACTCCAAGGGACAACATTAGTCTACTCTTAAGAGCGGACTAAGCTCTTGCATCCTAACAATTCAATGTCTTCATCCTCCATGCCTTCTTTCCTCCGAACAAAATATTTCTCACCATAGTTTTCGTCTTTGTTACCAATTCCACAAAGATCGGCTCTGCAAATACAATGCCTGGCCGCGGTCTAAAGCTGCCAAGCAAGGATGCGCCTCTGTGGTCTCCTGTCCAACTTCCACCCCTGAAACCAGGCAGGAGGTGTGCATCTGGGGGTGGGCAACGGGACGGGACGGGTACCCAGTCCCATTTAGAGAGCAATCTTCATCCCATATCCCAAACCTGTATGGGTTAACGGGTACCCGTTACCCGTACGGGATGAATAACGGGTACCCATACTACCCGTAAATACCCGTTCAAAATTCCATCAAATCCCTTCTTTGCATATATTGTTCCCGTTCCTAGAAACAACAAAACTATTTCTTCTGCACAAACCAAAACAGCAACATAAGGGTGGCAAAACAAACCAACAGATCAGAAAGAAGAAGGCTACATTGAGATAGTGATGATAGTGAAAGCCCTGATGTTGTATCCTTGATTCCCATGCACCTAACCAGACTGAGTGATTTCAACTTGGCTCCACATTTTGAGATTGTGCCGATGATTTCTGATTATGTAACTCGATCTGTTGGACGAGACAACCTGTTGATTTGGTGAAACTCACCAATCCATTATCAGACACAAATATAGGTGTCAATCAGGTGGGTTCGGGCGGGGTTCAATCAGGTTCGGGTTCAAACGGGTTGTGGGTTAGTCGGGTTGCGGGTTCATCGGGTTCGGGTTCAAACGGGTTGCGGGTTAGTCGGGTTGCGGTTCATCGGATTCGGGTTCAAACGGGTTGCGGGTTAGTCGGGTTGCGGGTTCATCGGGTTTTGGGTCGGGCGGGTTGCGGGCGGGTCGGGTTTCGGGTTGTTCGGGCCAGCGCATCAAGTAACTTAACTCATTACTCATTACCAACTTACACATTTTATTACACTAATTTAAAATATTTTCTCAACTTTTTAACCAATTTATTTCTACCTCGTATATATACTTTATTTTTTTGAAAAAAACTAGTCAAAATTTTAAATCAATTTGTATGACTTGCAAACTTGTTATGTAATTAATCATAATTGGTAAAGTATTATAGCTAATAGTAATGGTGATATCAATATTTGCAACCAAAAGATACCGTTAATTGTTTATTTGATATTTTAGTATTAATTCAGTAGTAATTGAATTAAAGTATCTCGTTTAGTATAACCATGCAAATCTGGTATTTGGCGTGTGGAAATTGGCAAAAGAATAGTGATAAAAGGAGTTATTTCAAAATAACTCATTGCCCAAATAACTTCAGTAAACTGTTGCCAAACGAGTTATTTGTAAAATTGTTCGAATTATCCTAAAAATTGAACCATTAAAGATTAGCTATCAAATTTAGTAAAGTTATTGTGACTTCAATCATAACTTACTCAATAACATATATCCTATACACTTAGCTCTACCCTCAATCAACAATATTAAGTTAGTATATGTTGTTGATTGTATACCCTAAACCATCAATACATTATACACTAACCACATAACCTATACCCTAATCATATGTCCTTGAGTTGTGATTTTGCTAGTATAGTTAATTTAAAAGTGAAATTCATACTTTGATTTTCAAAACATAGATAAAAAGTGATATTTGCTAATTGTTATACCCTAACCATATATCTTATACTTTACACCACATACCTTGTACCCTAACCACGTACCATAAACATAAATTAAAAAGGGATCTCCTGCCGTTAAAGACTTCAAATGACTTCAAGTGAACATATGTTAATAAAAAACTTACAACCGTTAAAACCATCAATATCTTATACCCTAACCATATACACCCTAAACCATATGTACCTTATACCTTATACCCTAACCATATACTTTATATCCTAAACAACGAACCGTCAAAGATTACTTATCAAGTTTAGTATAAATTATTGTAACTAATGGTTAATTCATTTATTAGCCCATAAACAATTACATACATATATACATATTAGCCTTCAAAGCATATAAGAATAATTTTAACTAGTCATGCCCTCCATATAAAAGTTAAAGATTCATATTTCAAAAGCTAAAATTATGAAAAACCAAAAAATTGAAAACACCAAATTTGTTTCCTTCTTTCTTTTCACAAAATACTAAAATTTCCCTCCTTTCTCCTTCCATACATTAGAAAAACTCAATTTTCCCTCCTCTTTCTCTTCCATAAAATTGAAAGAAACAAATTACCTTCTTCTTTCCTTCTACAAAAAGTTGAAAAGTCAAAAGTTTCCCTCCTTATTTCTCTTTCATAATAAAAAAAAATCAAACTTTCCCACTTCTTTCTCTTCCCACATATCAAAACCACAAAAATCCCCACTTGTTTCTTTTCTAAAAAAATTCAAAGAACCAAATTTCCCTCTTCTTTCTCTTCCCAAAAACTTGAATACACCAAAATTTCCCTTTTCTTTTAAAAACATCAAATTACCAAATACATTACTTTACTTTATTTATATTTAATTGATAATTTTATTGAATAGTTAAATTAACCAAAATTTTAATTTATATATTATATTAATATTGTCATGATCTCAAGTGACCTTCATGTTTCAATTTTGGTAATTTTCTTAACATACACAATATCAAGTGATTTTCATATTTTTTAAATTTCTTATACGAAATGAAAAAATAATTTTACTTAAGTTTAGAATGAAAAACTTTATTTTGAAAAACTATGTATTGTATATTTTTATAATTATTCAAGTGGATTAGATGAAATTCGGGTTGAGTCGGTCGGGTTACGGGTCAATCGAGTTCGGGTTAATCGGGTTGCGGGTCAGTCGGGTTGCGGGTCAATCGGGTTTGGGTTAATCGGGTTGCGGGTCAATCGGGTTGCGGGTTAGTTGGGTTGCGGGTCAATCGGGTTGCGGGTCGGGCGGGTTACGGGTTATTGACTTATAGTCAATTCGAGTTGCGGTCGGGTTGCGGGTCGGGTTGATCGGGCGGGTTAATCAGATCGGACTATGTTTTGACAGACACAAATAACCACTTGCGGAGGCAAATTTGCTTGAGGCTTGGGAAACCCTTTCCAATAGCTTCCAGGCTAACATTTGTTGGTTACCTGGCAGGGATGGTAAGGCCCATCTATCCAGCACTTTGTCTTTTGTTGTTAGTTCCTTTTCTTTTTCTGTTGTTTCATTTTAGTTAGTGTGTTCCTTTTAACAGTTTGGTTCAATTGTGTTGTGCCTTGGTTGCTGGTTTCTTTTTCTGTTATTAACTCTGTTTCGTTCTCTTCATATTTATTTTCACCATTATCAAAATAGAAACAATCTTGAAATAATATTGGACTAATGGGTATAACGGGTGCCCGTAATACCCGAACGGGTATTAACGGGTAACTCGCGAGTACCCAAAGTAGCGATTGTTGATCCCAAGTTTCATCCCGTAAAAAAATTATGGGTATTTGGGTACCCGTAACGCTAAAAAAACGGGACGGGTACAGGTATACCCAAATACCCGTTTCCCTTGCCCACCCCTATGTGCATCCTGCCGACATCTATTATGGACTAGTTGACCATAATTTTTGGGTTTAGATGAACCTTTTTCGGGTGGAATTAGGTGACGCTAAGATCAGTCATTACAATGTAAGTTCCATTCTTTTTCTTCTTCTGCCAAACTCAGGGCATTCAGCTGTACTCACAAAACTTGACCCCAAACTTCCTAAGACAAGAGCGTACTTACCAATGGATATGATCTACCTCCACGCATTCCCGTTCTCTAGCTTAAACAACTTAAAGTATTTGGTGACATCACCTTCATCCAAATCATATGTTTCACATGCATCTCTCAAAACTCTTGTCACTAGAATCAAATCACCATCTCCTTTAGACGGAAAAACTACCAGATAGTACTGCTTCGCTCCATATTTATAGCCTCAGAAGATTGGTATCGACAACAACAGGATCCCACCTGGAATCTGGAAGCACGACATCGTAAATCATGTTTAAAGTCCCACTAGATGCCACGAAATAGAAGCGATTCTTCCCCCGGAAGACGCCATGATGCACATAATCGCAGACATCCTCCTCTTGACCTACATGGTCCCATGGGTCGTTCGTATTCAATTTGAACACTGCAAGGTCGTGCATGTCTAGCATCGCAACTACCCAACAATCATCTTCCCTGGGATGATTCAACAACACTAACTTCTGAACATAATTCGACCCAATTCCATCCCTAGGGTGCCTAAATCTTTAGATTGTAAACAATTCTAAGATTCGAATTGTTGAAATATATATTTTTTGTAACACCCTAACCCGGCCGGGTACTAATTTTACCAAAATGCCCTTGATGACTCATAAACCAAAATAAGAAACGAAGGACTTGTAAAAAAAAGAAATGGAAGCTTTCCATAAATAACCATAACAAATACTGAAGTGAACTGAAATCTCTCAAAACAAAGCCCTAACACTTGGGCAAACCTCAACCATAGAATCTTAATTTGAATCTCCAGTCACTACTCATATTCGTAAATCAATAACTAAAACTCTACTTTGTTGTCTGCTCGGATTCTATCTCTGACACCTCCAGTGACGCTTGTACTATCCTCCTCTAGCTGGCTTGCCTCGAACAGCTTTCTCGCTCTCGCTGCTCACTAACTGCTCCTCTAGCTGCAACTATTGATCTAGTTCTCGCTTATTCCTTTACTAAGTCCTGGTGAGTGAGATGGGGTCAGTCTACGACCTTACGTTTTAATAATTCTAATACTTGAGTACTTTACTTAAACACTTAACTTTGACTAGTGGAAGTTGCTTGTACTTCCAATCTTAAAATCTTAACTCTTAAACTTTGAGGGAATTGAAGTTACTCTCCTCTCTTAAAGCTTAAATCTTGACTTAAATACTTGACTGACACGGGGATCCCTCATTAGCTAGTCTGGTTGCCAACTCATACGTATGAGAAGCCATCAAGGCTTTCCTTAAACTTAAACTTAGTTAGGGGAGTCGTAACGATTCATCCCCCTAACATCTTAAACTTATCGTGGTGGCTCTTCACCACGATTCTCAAGAGCATAACTGCTGCTCTATCTCAAAATGTCTCAAAAGGCAACGGACTGGCGCTAGTGACTAAAAACACTTAAAACGACTTCACCTTCTTGAAGGTGAGTTACTTCTTTAAAAATAACTTGTTTCTTAACTTTAACAATAACTTATAAACGAAAAGCTTTAAATTAACCAAGAACTCATGCACATTCACATCAAACATAGTTCAAACAAAATCACATATCATCAACCATAAGCACAATCAAACAACGACAATCATTTCATCAAAATACTTAAGACTTGTAATTCTTGAAAGAACACGTAAGGCGTAGAATTTACCCCCTTTACACTCACCTTAGTAATCAGTCGATGATCTGAGTTTGAGTTAAGGTGGATTGAACGTGATGTCAAGTTTCCATGTGTGCATTGTTAACCCCCAATCACCCAGTACAAATAATCTTCAACACTAATCCCATAGTTCCCATCGCGCAGTTTATGAGGGATCCTCCCAACCTTCCGCCATAAATCTTGCCTAAGGCTGTAAACACCGAACTAGGTCTTGTTGGACTGACGTAACAAAGTAACTAAATTGTAGTCGGCGTTCTTAGAATCATACCCAAAACCATAGACGATATTGCTGGAGGTGCTATCGATGTTCGGAACTATCGGCTTCTCGTCAGTGATAGGGTTCAAGATTAAGATTGTGCCGTCATTAGAATCGCGCAGCGCAAGCAAACCATTACAGCAGCCCATGATCCATTGGCTTCGGCGACATCTTGCTGCGATCCCGAACTTCTTTCCGAATAGAAAAATGTAATAAACTTAGCGTTATGGAATTTTGGGTTTCAAAGAAGATGGAAATTTGGCATCTTGCGGCAAAGTCTCTCGAAACTTCTTTGCCGAATAGAAAAATGGAATAAACCTAGAGGTAAGGGATTTAGGGTTTCCTCTGGTGTAGGGATAGGGAAACACAGAGAGAGAGGGATGGGATCGTGGGGAATTTGGGTTAATGAGGGCTCGACCCTCTTTGGCCCTTTTTTTATAATAGTAATAATAATAATGGTAATAATAGTTATTATTATTATTCCTAATCCCCGGTTGCAACTCTTCGTATATACTTGTTAAACCAGCCGTTCACATATTATGGTCGAACCTGAACCGAAAGGTCGGGGTATTACATTTTTTAATTTATATTATTTGATAATTGTGATCTTTAACATTTAATAAAATAAAATTTATATTTTATTGATCAAAATAACATTTTTACCATTAACTAAAAAAATCAGAGTGATAAGAAAAATATTAAAAATTTATTGATAGGGGTATTTAGTGGCATAAAAAAAAAGGGTTAATATTTTCGTATGGCCTGAACTTTGACCAAAATAAACATCATTGCCAATCTTTTCAATCTATAACATCCTGGCCCGAACTATACACCAATATAAACAATTTGGCCAAATCCGACTTTTGACCGTTAACTTGGACGGTCAAACGCGTTGACCGTTAGTCAACACTCCATGTCACTGCCAAGTCAGCATAAAATATTTAAAATAATTTACAATTTCAACAAATTCCCTAATTTTAAATTATTATAAATTAAAAAAATCATCTAATACCTTAGTTAAACCAAAAATAAAAAATAAAAACATTAAATATTTATCAGATCTTATGACTTGGCAATTACGTGGCAGTGACGTGGCGCGTTGACCGTTAGTCAACACGTTTGACCGTCCAAGTTAACGGTCAAACATCGGGTTTGCCGAATTGTTTATTTTGATGTATAGTTCGGGCCAGGATGTTATAGACTTAAAAGATTGGCCAGGATGTTTATTTTGGTCAAAGTTCAGGCCATACGAAAATATTAACCCTAAAAAAAATGATGAAGTAGAAAAAAAAATCTCACAATTCAAGATATAGAAATTCTAATTACGAGATATTTGATATCTCAAGATTTTAGAGATTTGAAATCTTTAAAACTATAACCTTTGTTATAAAAGACAACAAAAAAAAACACAACTTTCTGTTGAATTTATGGTTCAAAACCTCTTCTCCAATGAGCCCTAAAAGTCTTATTCACTTCTGTACTTCATTGATCAAGTCCTTAACCATTCCCAATAAATCCAAGAAAGGCAACATAAAAAACATGGTGATCCCTTGTAGCCATAGAGATGGAAATTCTATCCTCTTCTTAACATTTTAGCTAACTATAGTTTTGTCTCTTCTCATTCTCGATATAAGAAAATTTAACTAATTCATCTTTGCTTCGCTTATGATATTGATTTAAAACTGTCAATTCATGAATGTGATGAATGTGTCTAGAATATTCTTCATAAGTTGTGCTTGTGAACTTGTCCAATCTTGAAAAGAACCATGAAAATATAAAATCTTTATTCATTGGATGACTATATCAAATTGTAAACTTTCGAGAAACACCCATGAGCTAGAGGTGGCAAATAACAATCCAATCAATCTACTAGATGTCCACCTAATCCAAGTTTATTTGATTAAAATTCAATTAAATTCTGAAATCCTTATGGTGAAAATCTTTATTCTACTTTATAGATCGAAAGATAGAAATGAGAAGAAAAAAAAAACAATTCGACTGTGTTTGGTTACAAAAAATACACTGAACATATATTCAATTGGAATATACAATTCTATATGCCCTTCTTCTTCATTCCTCCCACATTCTCAGCATGTTCTTCATTCATCTTGCCGTTCATTGTGGATATATAGCTCATGCGCCCAAATAGAAGAGACAAATCTTCATTTTCCTCTCTCTCTCTCTCCATTCATCTACCGGGAAATCCTAAATATTAATATTATGCAAGTAGATATACTCTCAGAGAATCACAGTAGCAAATCTCATTTTCTTCATTCGTCTCCCATTCATATTCAACAACAATCTGTATTTCCTAGTACACAATATAAATTTTCTTTTTTCATTTTGGTACAACAAACTGACTGCATATCGATGGGAAAATGCTGGTTTTAGAAAAATGGGGATGAGTTCATGAATAAGGGTGGCAACCACAAAAGAAACCCATACATGTTGAATCTGTTGCTTAGTGATTGGGAAGTGCATTTCTCCACCCTGACAAGTAGCCTTGAGGGTGAAAGGGAAGTGCATTTCTCCACCATGCACCCGAGTGAATTCATTCGATATATAATAGTGGGGAAACTTGTTCTCGAATGCAATTTTCAATCGCAGATATTGAAGGTGGTTGCTAAACATCCCCAAGGGATGACATGGAGGAACAGTTGAGCATTGTCCCTTCCGATTTGGCCGACCCCTCAAGTCCCTCTCTCGTACCCTGACGCCGAGGAACAACAATAAACCTACTCTTGAGGCCTGAGGGCGGACTAAGCTCTTGCATCATAATAATTCAATGTCTTCCACCGCCAAGCTTTATTTCCTCCGAACAAAATATTTATGACTATAATTTACGTCTTATTTACCAATTCCACAAATATTGGCTCTATAAATACAATTTCCGGACGCGATCTAATGCTGCCGAGCAAGGATGCGCCTCCATGGTCTTCTGTCCAACTTCCACCCCTGAAGCCAGTCCAGGTGGTGTGCATCCTGCCGATATCTATTATGAACTAGTTGACTAGAGTTGTTGGGTTCAGATGAACCATTTTCAGGTGGAATTAGGCGATGATAAGATCAGTCATTACAATGCAAGTTCTATTCTTTTTCTTCTTCTGCCAAATCTTCTCGCCATGGGAGAGTGTTCAATATTTTGGATATTTATACTTGGAAAATTTTCCATGTGTTAATGAGTGATTCATCAATGTTTATGGTTTCAAGTCACTACAAACCCAGAAGAAAGTTTAAGCGATGTGAGGCGTATTTCCTTTGACCTGAGCTACTCTTGGCAAAATGGTGGTTGTGTTCGAGAACCAGCTTATTTAGCTTGAAAATTAGATTCACCCACAAATGAGCTAGACGATAACCGTGAAAAGGAGAAAGGAAGTGGGTAATGCTTTTTCCCCCTATTTCTCTCTTCCATTTTCATATTGTTGTTGCTAGAACACAAGAGGGAAAGTGGGTTTCTTACTTATGTGGCGGTGTTGGTGGTAAAGAGAGGGAGGGGTCATAACTAAGATGTTGGAAATAGGGAGCATTCAGGAGAACAGGCAAAACATGAATATGGGTTTCTTACTAGCCTATAGTTGTTTGTTTCTTCCCTATCTGCTCTGAGGGTATCTTGATTTCGAAAGGTGTAGTTTGTTTATTCCTTCCATTTGCAAGAAATGGAGTGGGATCTCTATAGGATACAAGATACAAACATTCATCTCTATGTTAAATTTCTTTAGTTCAATGAGAAATCCATTTTGTTAAGATTTTCTTATTTGATTTTAAATTTGTATCATGCACTATATGAAAGGTCTTTCACATTAAACTTGAACAAGGTGAGATACCGGGCATATCTAACACTGGTGCCATGTGATATATACCTTAAACTTCTTATTAAGTTAATGTATCTCGTTTCTTGAATTTTAATCGTTTCAAATCATCACTTTTTCCTCACATGAGTTGGATTGATGTCAAATCAATTGTTCTAGTTTCTTGTGAGAGGATTGGAACTAGTCTCAATAAAGTGATATTTGAAGAGGTTCATGAACAAGTTCAACAAACTCTCACTCTCTTTCGAGGTTTATCAACTTCATAACAAGGAACACTTCGTTTATTGTCTTTGGGGTTTTGTTTCTTGACGTGGAAATTCACTTCATTTCTAAAGATTTAATGGTGGTTAGTGATTAACTGTCAAACTAATTGCTAACCCAAATCGATAATTGGTGATTAATTGATAAAGATTATTTATTTGATTAACGATAAGTAGTTTTGTTAATTCCTCTCGTGGGCTAGCAGATTTTTAGGACTTGATCCTTCCTTCTTTGAATTTTATTCCTCCTATCTTAATCCGCCCCTCTCTTATATATCCCCTCTCATTTCCCCTATCTTCTCCATCCCTGTTATCATCCAAAGTTTCTCCAGGGTCGGGTAACAACGGCAAACAACCACCACACATAAACATACCTTATTCGTATCACATCACCTCCTCCCTAGCGATCCACCAGTTCTGCCACTCACGTGACCTTGACAGTGACATAGGCAACGTCAAGTCGTTACCTACACATTCCATATTGCACCCACTCCCAACCAAAATGGCGAACAACCATCACACATCAACATACCTGATTCGTATCACATCGCCTTCTCTCAAGAACCCAACCAAGTCATTGTTGAAGTTCAAGAGCGTTTGTGACATAGAGTTATCATCGATACACTAGGTTCTTTGGCAGTGGAGGCAAATGAGAAGGAAAAACACAATGTTCAGTCGTGGTGGCGGATTTGAGTGAGATTATGTGAATGCAGAGGAATACTAATGGGGCATTTTGGCTATGATATTTTTCAAACCGGTTATTTGGGATCTTAATAGACAAATACTACATGTCACAATATAAGTTATTTGCTATGTGGTATTTGTACAAAATTTCACGTTTGAATAAATTATAAATAATGGTATTGTTGATGTCGTACTTCTTAGGGGCGGGCACTGAGTGTGGTTGGGTGGATTTTGATCTTAAATTAACTCACCACTATCTAATATTACTATACATAGAATTCTACATATATACCTTCAGCTATAATACTAGAGAGACCTAATAAGTCATGAAATAGATAAATAAACTACAATCATTCTTAATACGAATTCAAAGAAGTCAATTCTAAAACATCATTTAATCTATAAAAAGTACAATAATTTCATGCCATTCATCTTTGACTTCGGCACATCTACTAAGTAATAGATAACTAATATAATCTTGTCAACAAGAGGGAAGAGGTGCAGGAAAAAAATTATTATTTGGTTTGAGTAGTCATTTAATTACATTTGAACTCTATATTTTTTGAACTACCCTTCCTGACATCGAGAGATTACAATATGATCCCTATATTAATATATACTATATAGGTGACGTACTCGGTGCACCCTCTTTTTTTGGGTGCATTCAATGCACTCGTCTCATAATCGTCATTCCGAGCATGCGATTCATATCAAAACGGTATAAATCGTCGCTTATGATATTATGAACAAGAAATATACTTGGTAAAGCGGGAAGTCTAAAACCATACCCACCCAATTTCCATCAAATTTTTACAAGTTTTACTTATACCCGCCTCGTGCCTAAATAATACCAAAATTTTCCGCATTGGCTAGATCGAAGATGATGGGATATCGTGGGTTTGAATGTCATCCCCAGTTAAACCGTGTTCGATTTTGTTTATCCGAAATGTTAATTAAATTCGATTATTTTCTTTTCACTTCCTTTTTGGTTTGTGGGCTGGGTCGAAACTGGGATTCATGCTGGTAACACACTAGATGGGCCCAAAAGATTCCCGGCAAGTGAGGTAATAAAATCTCCAAGATACAAGTTTGGGATTCATACTTGGACCCTACCGTTGGGCTGCTTAAGCCCTCAAGTTTTCGAGTGGGCCCACGATATGCTTTTCCTTTTATTTCTCCCTTTCCTTGTAAATTTTCCTCTCCCATTCAATGTCGGACTAGGCTAGGACTATAATACAGCTTTAAGTCAGACCGTCGGCCCCTTGTTGAGCCGAGGCGTAAAATCGAAGCGACGATTTAGCGCGGGGGAGCTCGGCCAGCTTTCGCAGCTGTTAGTGGTTCGGCGCTCTCCCTCTAAACAAGCTTGGGGGGCAAATTCTCGTGCTCTGGGTTTAGAGTTTGAAGGCGAAAGGTCGCCACTTTCAGCAACTTTACCTAGTAAAGAGGCGCAGTTGGGAAGAAGAGTAGAGCTACGATAATGGCGAGCTCTGCTGTGCAACCGAGTCGATCGAGGGACCTGGACAAGCTCCTTCTCAGGCCAGGGAATCTCGTCGGCGAGAACTTCGAACCGGGTCCGCAAGTAAGTAATTTTGCCTTCTGTCTTCTCTCTTGGACAATTTGACGAACACTTTGTGCGCAATCGTGGTTAGCAATTGTTTCCGGATTGATTGTAGTTGAGGGATGATCTCCGGGAGTATGTTCGAATTTTAGTAGTGGGTGCGGGTGGATTGGGCTGTGAGCTGCTCAAGGACTTGGCCCTTTCCGGTTTCAAGAATCTGGAGGTTATAGACATGGATAGAATTGAGGTTACTAACTTGAATCGCCAATTCTTGTTCAGGTATCAATTTCGAAGCTCTGCCCTAAGTGCTTGTACTGTTTTTTGCTTTCGGTTTTATGCAATGTGAGCTTTGATGGTTGATCAATTAATAGTTGTTCTTTCTCGAGGGACTTGAGCATAGATGTTGCAGTTTTTAGTACAATTTGTGAAGAGTTCCTTGAACTGTTGGTCAAGAACTTTGAGCTATGATCTCGGACATTTTTATTTGAAGCTGCTGCATTGCAGCTGCTCCTTAGCAGGTTAGTTAGATTAAGAATATGAGTCGTTCTATTGAAACAAACCGCTTGGTACTTCTCTCGCTAGAAATGATCAAGCTAATTTGTCAGCTTGGTTTACTGCGCTAGTTGCTTGTTATTCATCAACTAGTTCCTGAACAGGCATTAGAATTTGTTTGCCCCAGAATAAATATGCAAAAGGAGTATTTTTTGTCCATGAAGACAAGAGTTTGAAATCTCTCCTTTCACTCTATAGCAGTCCTTTAAGTACATGCTTGTTATTCATCAATAAGTTCCTGAACAGGCATTAGAATTTGTTTGCCCCAGAATAAATATGCAAAAGGAGTATTTTTGTCCATGAAGACAAAAGTTTGAAATCTTCCCTTTCAATCTATAGCAGTCCTTTAAGTACATTCTTGCAAATTGCTCCTTTGATACTTGTCTTAGATACTCCAAATGTTTAGTTAGTGCTGACTTAACCTTTAGTTTGAGGATGCACTGATTTCAATTTTTCTAATTGAGTGGTATTGTTATTGTAGACTTGAAGATGTTGGTAAGCCAAAGGCAGAGGTCGCAGCCAAGCGTGTCATGGAAAGAGTTAGTGGGGTGAATATCGTGCCCCATTTTTGTCGAATTGAGGACAAAGAGATTGATTTTTATAATGATTTCAGTATTATTGTGCTTGGTCTTGATTCGATAGAGGCTAGAAGCTACATAAATGCTGTGGCTTGTGGTTTTCTTGGTGCGTACTTTTCATGGTATCTCAGAGTTGCTTCCATTTATGATACATTTTGCCTGTGTTTGTTTCGTTCTTTGATAAATTGGCTAGTCTCTTGACAAACACTGACATTTTGCACCATATTGATGTCCTTTTTGTAAATTTAGAGTATGATTCTGGTGATAATCCACGGGAAGAGACTATGAAACCTATTGTCGATGGTGGCACTGAAGGTTTTAAGGGCCACGCTAGGGTTATTTTGCCTGGGACCACCCCATGCTTTGAGTGTACAATCTGGCTTTTCCCCCCTCAAGTCAAGTTCCCCCTATGCACACTTGCTGAGACCCCTAGAACAGCTGCTCACTGCATTGAGTATGCTCACCTAATTAAGTGGGATGAGGTAACTGATTAGCGTAAATTAGTTTTTCTGAAGTAAGTTTTTTGCACAAATAGGAAGTTAATTTCTTAATGATCATAATACTCGTAGGCACACAGTGGAGTGTCTTTTGACCCAGATGATCCTGAGCACATGAAGTGGGTCTACGATGAGGTAAAAATAAAATTTCCTATTTTTATATATTTGCTCTTTCCTATTTGATGTTTGTTTCACTTTTATTTTCTTCTTAACTGGAAAACTCTTAACATTATGTAGGCCTTGAAGAGGGCAGAGCTTTTCGGCATTCCAGGTGTTACATATTCTCTTACTCAGGTAAAGCTGTTGTGTTGAGAACTTCCATTCCTATGCAGCCATCTAAAAATGCCATTGCCAGTTTCAATTTAGTTGCTATAGTGAATTTCTAAAATAGTGTTTTTATGGAAATTCCATCATCATTCAGGGAGTTGTGAAAAATATCATACCCGCCATTGCTTCCACGAATGCAATTATATCAGCTGCGTGTGCACTCGAAACTTTGAAGATTGCATCAGGATGCAGCAAAACACTGTCAAACTATTTATCGTATGTGCTCTCTGTCTCTGTCTATTTGCTGTCGTTAGTTTGATTTAGACTTTAATTGAACAAGTTTACTGAAATGGCTGTCACCTGTTGCCAGATACAATGGTGTGGAAGGTCTGCACATTAAGGTGACTGAATTTGAGAAGGACAAGGACTGTCTTGTTTGTGGTCCAGGTATTCTTATCGAGCTCGACGCCTCAGTCACTCTTCAAAAGGTAATTTATTCTTCTGCCTCCTTAAACTTGTTATTTAGAAACATCAGTTTTGCAGCCAGTATGCGAAGTAATATAGATATTCACCTCTTATCTACCTTTGTGTTTATGGCAGTTCATTGATCTGCTCGAGGAACATTCAGTACTCCACTTATCAAAAGCAAGTGTGACACACAGAGGCAAGAATCTGTACATGCAAGCACCACCAGTTCTGGAAGAGATGACCAGATCAAACCTGAGCTTGCCACTTTTCGAGCTCATGGGTAAAGTTCCAAAGGACATCTTGCATGTTACTGGCACCGCGATCAAGGACGATAAAAAGACATCATGCCTTAGGAAATTGCGCATCGTTTTCAAGGGGGTTGATGGAGTTACAGACATGGACATGGCTGGCGGGGCATAAAGCTTCAGACTGCAATAGCAGTAGAGGTTTGTGGCCAAACTTTTGAGGGTTATTTTTCTTCTAGGTACTGAAGCTGTCTTACAGAGGGCATCACGTGTAGCAGAGAAGAGAATCCATGATGAAGAAGGCACCTTCTCGTCATCAATCAACCGATAGATTATTTTTGATTATTCTCCATGAGAGTGTTATTATGTATAGGGGAGGAAGCTCGGGTCGCCCAACTTTAGCTTTTATGTCAATTTGATGAACCTTTTTTCTCGTCAAAAATTTGAAATTTCACCATCACATGCTGTTGCACATGGAAAAGAGCAGTCTTTTCAGCAGAAAAACATCGTCTGGCAGAGCAGGGGGATTACTTGACATTCCATGGAACTGAAACCATCCCTTCTGAAAATTGGGTGCATGTTGTGGTGTGAAAGAGATTACATAATGTGCTTGTTGCAATGTTTGATGGTAAAGTGAAGCCAACTTGTCCTGTGATTCACTATTTAATTGTGTTACAGCTTAAACATCAATCACTATCAAATCCCACCACGTGTTCATGTCCGAACTTTCAGCGAGACAATCGCTTATGTTTTCGTAGGATCACTCGTAACACGGAGATCAGAATTGATGAGATCTTAATCCATAATCGATGTTTTCGAAACTTTCAAAATTGGAGGAGATGGTAATCCAGAATCAATGTTTTGAATCTTTCAAAACTGGAGGAAGGAATCAGCAGATGGGAGGTTCAGAATTGTCAGGACAAATAGTCTTACTTGACTGCAAACCACCAGACAAATCAAGTGGATGATTAGGAAAAGATCAGTGGGAGCTGGGATGGCTTGCAGTTAAGGGATCTTTTAAAGCTGACAACTGTAGTACTGTGCAAAAGTGCAAATTGTTCTCTCCATGATATAGGAAGCTCCCAAAAAAACACTTGAAAGCAACCTCATATGGGGATGGGATTATGGAGATCTCCTCCCCCTTTGTTCTGGGAAAGCTCTGGGTCCCTTTGAAGCCAGGCCAGCAGCAAAACGTGTGGACCAAATGACACTCTATAATTCAAGCTCACTAGCAAAATAAATAGTAAAGCTCATTTGCAGCTGTGAAAAAAGCTCCAAAAGAAATAGTAAAGTTCATATTCATAAATAGGGTTCAGGAACGTAGCTCTATGGAGTAATGGCTGAAGGAAGTGGGCCTTCCTTAGGCAATACACTGAAAGCAATTTAGTAGCGTATTATCTAGTGACCAGGATTCTGAACGTCCTTTACGAGTAGTTTATAATCGTAAATTTTGTCGATTCTTCTCTCAAGTCTCACTTATTGATTTCTAGAACTCGATCAATCCGTAACCCAAAATTTCGCATTTCCAGTAGCTATCCTTAAATAAATAAAATCTCTCAGAGTAAGCCTATGGATTTTCATTTTGGATATGCATCCAACTTCAGACACCCTCCTTTGTATGCCTCATTATTGAACCTTGTCTGTCTTTGACAGTTGCAGAAGACACTTTTTCTTAAAATCAGTTTAATGCTCGGCCTGGTAGCTGCCATATGAGGCGGCACCGTCTCCTTATCCACATTTTTTAGTCTCCTCAAGAAGATATCCACAATTTTGAGTCAATTATTGAGCCATGGTAGCCATCTTTTTTCCCCCCTGTTTCCTGGAACTCCTTTTATTTTTTGTTTTTGTTTGCTAAGGAACAAGCCCAACCAAACACCCTAATCAAATAAAACATTCCTAGTACATCCTTTCTCAAAAGGTCAATATTCCAATATCAAAGTGTTATCCCTATTTCAAGAAGCTCTACACGAACAAACAATTTAAACGTTGTAAAAGATGAAACCAATGATAACTAACATTGTTATTATGCCGTTCGCTAACATAATTCGTGTTGACTAGATCCGCATACTATCAATCATAAATCAGATTAACAAATTCGATACAAAGTTTGGATTCATGTTACGGTGATGTGACGTAGAGGGATGGCGTTTTTAGGGTTTTCTAGTAAAAAGGAATAAAACGCAAGGACTCTAAAAGGAAATAACAAGGAAATAGCAAACTAAGAGCAAAAGCTAACTATTGGGTTCCAATCTTCTTCTCATGAACCGAACGAAACAAATACATATTTATAGCCACAAAGCCTCTACCTTTACCTATCTAGATTATAAATCATAAACCTCTAAGGATATTACCAACAAATAACCAAATCATATATGAACAAGGAAAACAATAATAAAGACAATAATAGTAAAAGCCCAATAATGTACTAATACTAAAGATACGCAAGCCCAGTCTCCTACGAAATACTACGATGGCCCGAGCTCGTAACATCCCTCCCCCCTTGAGAACAACCTTGCCCTCAAGGTTGGTCTTCCTCCTCGATGAAAGTGCCCTCCTCGCCTTCACCGCACGCGCCAATCATAAAAAGGACGTTGTTATTGGCGCAACGATGACCAATGGTGAAGCGCTCATCGCAATGGAAGTATAATCCTTGCGCGCGACGTCGAGCGACTACTTCTGGCGACATTCGGCGTGCCGTAGGCTGATGAGGTGGCACAGGCGATGGTGATGTCGCTGCTGGTGGCCCCGCTTCTGGTAGTGGCGCATTTCGCATCACCGGGCGATGTTTGGTGAGCTCTTCATTCTTCACCTTAGCGAGGCGGATGGCTTCTCGCACAGTTTCTGGTCGGAACATCCTTATAGCGTCAGATATCTCTGGTTTTAGCCCTCCAATAAATTATCCCACCAGAGCTTCTTCGGTCCACCCAAAACAGCGATTGCCAAGCTTTCCAAATGCCAATAAATAGTCGCTTAACGACTCAGTCTGCTTAATTTTGGCGAGAGCCTCGTGGCTAGATGCTCCCTCTGCTGGGCCAAATCGAGCCCATAGCTCCTCCCTAAACCTCGCCCACGTGATCGGCAGTCCCAATGTGGCATATGTGCGATCCAGCCACTGCCACCACTGATTTGCATCTCCCTCCATGTGGTATGACGCGAGAGCCACCTTGTGTTCCTCTGGTGTTTCTTGGAATCAAAAAAATTGTTCCACCCTTGCGAACCACCCAGATGGATCCTCACTTCCATTGTATTTTGGAAACTCGAGTTGGGCTAACTTGGGCTTAAACCACCCACTCCTCTCTTCTATTCCCCCGTTCGGTCTGTGACCTCCTCCTCCACTTCCTGTTAAATTTCCCCATGTTCTCGGAGGCCCAGACGGCCCGACTGTCGGTCTGGTTGGCGGCCCATACGTACTGCACAACCCAGGTTGCGAAACCCAGCCCGTTCCCACACCCAACAACCCGCTCTCCTCTGGCCCGCCGCCTTTTCCTCGCTGGGCTCCAACCCCACTTGATCCGACCCAATTAGTTGCAGGGACCAGTCCTCCACTCGGGAGATGACCCCGGTTGAGGCCTACCCCTGATGGACTTTGCCCCGGGTCCGCCGCCCCAGCCCAGATGGTTGTGAAGCCTGCTCCACCTGCATCGCTTGCCACTTGCCCCGGATTTGGGCCTAAGCCCGTTCCTGGCCCACTCATGCTTTGAAGCGGCCCAATACTTGACGACCCAGCCCCGAATGATCCTGGCGATGCTCCTGGGTTCAAACTCGGATTAAGCCCTGGCGGTCCCATCCCTGGCGGCCCGTAGAAATTGGGCCAAGCCCATCCATTTAGTCGGCCTGGTCCAATCTCTGTGATCTTCTGGTCTAGGGATTCGACTTGTCCATTCAAAGGGGTCATGCGTCCTTCCAGCCTTCTGATTCGCTCCTCCATGGCGTGCACCTGCGATGTGGCAGCTTTGATTCCGTCTCCTACGAAATGCTACCATGGTCCGATCTCGTAACAATTCATTTAGGGCAAAATGCACTTAATGGTGCATATGGCCATTCAGATTACTATGGAGCATTGCCCCAAAAAAGGGGGTGTCAGTACAATTGAATGACACTGGCCTGGCCATGTCCCCACCACCCTCCAAGAGGGAATCGCATTGAATCCAACTATGGTCAGAGATAAAAATCCAAAGACAGATCCTTTTGCCTCTTTGGCCACTAGTTTGACTGAATTATAACTCATTAGATGAGAATGAGATGCTGATATGATAAAACACAAGAACTTTCACTGAGCCAATGTAAGGACAAACAGTTCATAAGATAAGGGTTTGTGGCTCCTGATATGCCCAGCAAGGCTCAACCCTCTTTTCCCCACACACAATTTCATTTATTCAACCTTTCATAACTTCTATTTGATGGGTACTATGAAATTTGAACCATACCAATTGGGCTTTTTCTATAAGCTTTTTAAGAGAGAGAGACAGAGAGAGCACACAAAGACCCATCCACTTACAAAGTTACAAGCAAATATAAGTGGTTTTGAGGAGATTGAATTGGAGGCTGCTGTGGATGAGATATCCTGGTGTGGTCTGTTTCTTTTGATTTCTTCCTCATCTCTTTCTTCCTCTCTAATCTCTATCAAGCAACTGGATAATATCATGAATCTGAACTACATGATTCCTGTAGGATAGTGAGGACTAAATCAGATAGGCCAACTGTCACCATACCCTACCACCCCACATGCAGCAGCAGAACCCTCTCCTCCTTTCCCCCTTTGCCCTTTCCCTTTTCCCTAGCCTCTTTCCCTATTTATAAGCCCACACTTCCCCGTTTCACAGGAAGAAAAAAGAAACAAAAGAGAGAAAGAGGGAGGGAGAGACTCATCGACTAAGAGAAGCACAGATAAAAATCATATATTCACACTCACTGATATATTCTGTTTCAACTCCACCTCCTCAGTCTCGCTTCAAGGTTTTGCTGGGTTAATTACTGAAAGAAGAAGAAGTAAGCAATTTTGCTGATGGAAGTCGCTATGGAGTTGGAAGACGACTTGTTCTTCGCCGACTTGAGCAAGCAGATTTCTCTACTGATTATGGATGATGATGAAGACCCAGTTGCTCCTCCCCCTTCTGTTGGCTTCCAGGTTCAGTAAAGTTCCCATCTTTAATCTTTTTCCTTACCAAAGCTTCGTTCTTTCTTTGTATGTAAAGCTTGGGACTTTTTGAACATTGGAAGGAACTACTGTTTAATGAATAAACCCTAATCTTTTTTGCAGCAGGCATACTCGAGAGTTATTTACCCAGCAGCGCAATCTCCATTCATGTATGAGCAGAATTGCAGAAGGGAGAGCAAAGGGACGGGCGTGTTCATCCCACAGTCAACACAGCCAAGAAGGAAGCAGAGGCAAGCCAGATACACTGCTAATGGCCTCCAGATTAAAGGTCACAGGAAGCTAGACGACAAAATGGCTGCACAAGTAGCAACTTACACCAATTCCTACAACTCAAAGAAGGGATGATGATGAAGATGAAAATGAAAAGGAATCAAGGAAGGGGGAAAGGATCAAATAATAAAACCCAGAAAGAGAACAAGTTCTGCTTCCTGGAAAGTGCCATGATTCAGTAATAATAATAATAATGTTGTTTCTACTCTACTAATTATTCCTCAGTTTGGCAAATAGGGTGGGGAAGGTGGTGAATTTTGCAGCAGCAAGCAAGGAATCTATACAGCAATTTCTGAGTTAAGATCTCTGATATGTTGAACATGTACATGGTGATGAAGTATGCTATTTATTTATTGTTTTTTGGGTTATGTTAGTAGGAATGTGGAGGTGAGAGGTCTCAATGGAAAGGGATTTTTTCTCTAATAAAATGGGGGAAATGTATGGTGGGTTATGCTGTACTGAATTTGCTCAATCAATTCATAAGATTCATTACTTGGATTTGTTGATTAACATAATCAGAACATGTATTAATAATACATGAGTATATATCCCTTTTGGGGAATGCAGGGTAGCAAGGCAACTTGTACCTAAAGGAAACAACATATGAATCCTTCTTGCGCTCACCACACAGTAAAAGGAAGACCTAATCCACATAGAAGCAAATATTAATATTCTTCTGCAGCAATCACTAATCATGTTTTGGACTGATCTGATCTGCAGTAATAAAGCAAGATCTGGATTAGGGCTGTGAAGGTTTAAAAATAAGGAACAATTGGGATTTAAGGTTTGATACAGAGAACTGAAACGACAGGCACAGCAAAGCTTGAAGCCAAAGCAAGCTCAAAAGATGCCAAACTATGATTAAGCACTGTTCTTTTGTCATTGGATGCCAAGGAGGAAAGTTTTGAGCATGTTGGTTAACTTGTCAAGGCGAATATTTCAAAAGAATTTCCCCCATTTTCATGATACCAATCATGTGCATTGTGTATTTTGTTCGTTCTTTGAGATTGAAACAAGTAACCATTCTTGTTTCTTTATTCAGTATGTGCCTAAGTGGTGAGTCTTAATCCTATCACAATTGCCATTAGAAGTAACAGTATAGAAAATATTGTTATGATTAATGTGATGATATATTGCGAAAGACTCGAGTATAATGTAAAGTTATAAGCTGACAAGTGATAAATAATGGGGAAAAACTTTACCTAAACAAACTAAATGATGTTGCATTACGTCCAAATATAAAATACATAATTTCATATTAGATTTGGATAAGAAAAAAGACGAATTTTTAAAATTAGATCGAAACAATCTCGGATTAAAAAACCTGTTAGATCAAATTAACTTATAATCTTCAATTAGTAATCTGTGTTATAGATTCGAGATCCAATATGGATCTCTTAAGGCTACACAAAAACATTATTCCCTGTCTCAATCAAAACCTCCAAGATCTATCATCTTCGTGCCCTTGTCTTAGAACATGCCATGTTTTTAAAACCATTCATTGATTATGTGCCCATCCCTTTCCTTTCAATTCCCCATTCCCAATCTCTTTTCCAAAACTAGCAAATTCCCCTCGGGAGTTTGTCACAACTCACCACATTGTACACTTTCCATGTGGCTTTGGGGAGGGACAGGGCACACCCTGTTCTCAGAACAAGGACATTAACTAAACCCTCAAACCCTAATCCTGGTAGGCCATTTCATCCCTCCATTAAACATCTATTGAGTTGAGTCGGTGCAAGGACCTTTTTTCTTCTTTTTTTGACAGGGAAATCGTACGAAATCAACATGTTTGTGTACTTTTGAATGAGTTGAAACAAATGATCAACCGCAAAGTTCGTGCGTGAGTGAGGACATCTTAGAAGTAACCTCCTACCAAACTCAAAATCTTACCAAAACAACAGAAGTAACCTCATACCCTAATTGATTCTCGAGCTGATTTACTTTGAACCTCTTCCATATACTATCCATATCAACTCATCCATAATGATTCTCCACCTTGATTTACGGTAAAGAATGTGTTCTTTCTGTGATCCAAATCTAGCATTGCCCAACTTTTAAAGGACTAGATTAAATATTGATGCAAAAACATACTTTGGGTGGATTACTTATGGAAGCAAAAACTAATAATGGAGATCTGGTGGGTTACCACTTCCCACCACCACCACCCCTATGCCACATTCTTTGTTTTCCTTCTGCTTCTGCATACATATCTCTGATCTCCCAACACATCCCCACTTGACTTTGATCCTTTCCAGAGATTTTTGTCCTCTTGAATTTGGGTCGCCCACATGTGCGCCCAGCTCATCTCCTCCACATCAAATCTCAACATCGCCCTCACCTTCAAAGCAAAACAAAGCTTAAACAATTCCATGGAGCCATTTGGAATCTCAGATTAGTTCATGAATGTTCTCATTTGGAATCTCATATTACATTCGATTTCAATGGTACAACCAGTTTGTGAACGGTGTTTAGTTTCATCCCAACCTACAGCGCCAACGGTATTGTTTCGGCCGAATCATAATAATTGATTTTGAGTATAGGCGTATCCTGTAAATAAGCAATGACGATTTTCAATATGTAACGCGATGATCAAGCTAGCATGTTTATGTTTAAATTTGTTTGAACCTAACTGAGTGTAGGAGTGAGGTTCGGGAAAATGGGTCGAGGAGAATAAGCAATGAGAATCAGCCGTGGATTCAAGAACAAAGAAAGGGAAGAATGAAACCGAGAGAGTTCTCTTTTAGTGAGAGAAGTCTGTTCTTTTGTCTAGAGATAGAGTCTGAAAAATCTGATCCCCTCACCCACCGGAGTAAATGCCTTATTTATAGGCTACATGGTGGTGGGTGAGTTACATGGTGACATGTCATGGTGACATGACTACTGACATGTCAGAAGACTAGACCATACCTCTACCTAGGACAAGTACATTTAGCCTTTCATTATACCTAGGACTAGGACTGCGATGTGACCACTCGGTAGGTGGGACGCGGCGTCGTTTTCCCATACTCGCTAATCTAGTCAACGCTGGACTCGGGCTGCCCTTGGACACGCCGGTGCTGATGCGCCCGTCTCTAGGTATTGGCGCTCGCCGGCGTGTTCGCTCGCGCAAGTGCTGGTGCGCACGTCTCTTGGTATTGGCGCTCGCCGACGTGCTTGCTCGCGCAAGTGCTGGTGCGCCCGTCTCTTGGTATTGGCGATCGACAGTGTGTTCGCTCGCGCCGGTATCACGGCCAACTCTTCTGATGTCGGTGTTTCTTTGGCGCAGCGGAATCCGAGTCACATGCCCAACAATTGCCCCCCATCAGGGGGTGTTCTGCGAACGTCGCTTGTTTGACTTTCGCGCGATTGACTCGGGTCCGCGTGATCTTCGTGGGAGGTTTAGAACTGGCGTCCTCCGATTTCTGCGCGATCTTCGTGAGTTGAGGGCTGGTGGGTTTTTTTTTTGTTGTTGCGCGCGATCGACTCGTCTGCGCATGACACTTTCTACTAAGTTTGGACTTTTGAGGGTGTGTCGTGCCCCCTGGTGTTTTTAGGGCTGACGCCATTCGCTTTCCGGGCGATTGACTCGGGTCTGCTTTTGGGCTTGTGGTTTTTTGTTGTTGCGCGCGATTGACTTGACTGCGCGTGACGCTTTCTACTAAGCTTGGGCTTTGGGGGTGTTTTTTCTCTCCGCGGGTGTGCCATGCCCCCCAGGCGATGCGCGGAGCTTGTGACGTCATCGGCTAGTGCCTATGCCTACGTTAGGTGTCCACGTGTCCTTGTGTGGTTGGCTCGTTTTGGCGGCCGTTTTGAATTTCGAAAAGGCTCTGACGATTGCGTTTTTCGAAACAACTTTAACCTTTCAGCTTCCCTCTCTCAGTTATAAATAGTTAGCCATCAGAGGAGTTGGAACCCATTCTGCCTCTTCCAACTCTGTTTCTTATTCTCTCTGCATCGGGTGTGTTCGAGATTCCTCTCCTTCTTATACAACCTCTTTTCTCAACCTGTTGTTGCCAAAACTCCAGAGTCTGCCATGGCTAACGTCAACGAGGTCGAGGTCGTACAAGGCGAAGAAGGTAATCTATCCTCTCCCTCGCGTGTTTCTACTGATCCTTCGTTGGATCTTGCTGATTCCGGCAACGGGGGCGACGGCGGTGCTGGCGGCGGTGGGGTTCCGGCGACGCCGTCTTACGACATCGATTCGGAACAGGACTGACGTGGCTCGTCCGATGTGGATGCGACGGTGTCTGAGAGTGGACCGTCCGGCACCGGTGCTCGCAGTGTGCTGATAATCCGGCGTGACCGTGCGGGTGCGTCTGGGAGCGCGAATCGTGAAGCACGGGGGGGGGGGGGGATTCTGACACGCAATCAGAGCCGCGCTGCATCGCGCGCGTATCCGAGGTGATAAGCCGCCTAGGGTTCCGCGGTGTGGGCGCGGCGTACAAGATAATTGATTGGGCGGAAATGTGGGGCGATCAGCCAGCGCCGCAAGACAGTCTTTTAAGGGGGCCCGATCACGCGTCAATCTACGGCCGGAGGGAAGTGACGGAGATCGTGCGCGGGTTGGGATTGCCCCCCCATTGGGAGTACTCGATTCCTTCCACGCGGAGTACTGTTGGTAATTGCCCCGCGGGATGGATCGGGGTGTATACCGAGTACTGGGTGATGGGGTTCAAGTTCCTCATTGACCCGCTGTTATGCGCGATCTATAGGTGGCTCAACTGCTCGGTTGGTCGCCTCTCCCCTTCGATTATTATGCACGCGAGTTGCCTCCGCCTCGCGTGTAAGAGGCTCAACATCCCGCCGTCCTACGGGTTGTTCCGCAAGATGTACAAGATCAAGGAGCCAACAAGAAGGAGTGATTGCCTCTCAATCAGGCAGCGTTACAAGAGGCCCGACGGTTTTGTGTATGGGTCTCCCAAGTTGAAGAAGACTTGGTTCGAGCGCTTCTTCTATGTTAAGCCCACGCCGGGGGAGTGGGCGAGTGAGTACATGGAGGAACCGACGGTTTGGAAGAAGGGTAGCACGCACGACTACAAGCGTGACCTGGGCAAATATGACAGGCTCGACGCTGAATATGAAGCGTGCTTGAA